CTTAACTGGTCAGATATTCACCTCAGCGTCTCGTGAGGCGGAAAACTCTTGTGAAAATCAGGCGCACATGGCGAGGTATCTGCTGAGCAAGCGGTCATTCGAGACCGTTTGCTCAGCAGATGGCCCTCATGTATGGCAGGCTTTAAGGCACTGAGAAAAATCAACAATCACTGCAAAGAATTCAAGTAGCTTTCATTAGCATAACGCTGGCACACACTGAAGCCATCTCACTTTATTCATAAATGAGAGCACTAAGCAACAGAATGAACGGGAGTAGGGCTGGTCGATATGGCCTAAAATCAATATCACCATATATTGAAGATCTCACCTCGATAACGATAAGTAGACGATAACTACAGGAATGCGTAGCAACAATATTTGTCCACTAGATGGGGCTGTCTCATGTATTACATTGACTAAAATTTTACATGACTCAAGGTGCTACAGCTTCTTAAAGGGACATAAATGTGGCCAACTTACACATCTTTTCATTTTTTTATCATCAAATTTATTGACATGGGAAAAATTATCTGGATGAGAGACAAGAACTTGGATAGCGATAAATCTTTGACATGTTGCCCAGCCCTAAACAGGAGTCTATCAGACTGCATTTATTGTTATTTACATGACAATCTACTGAAATAAAAATGGCCACAGTCAGAGTTTCAGTTCAAATGTGATTAGTGTATGATCTCCCTTTCATTTTTGTAAGGATGATACCAATGAGCCGGACCTCAGGGATGCAGCAGTTGTCCTGACGACCATCACTGATGATGCCGAGAGTCCAGTTACGTACGACCCAGTGAGAATCTGTTATCCTAGAGGGTGATGTGAGTGTCAACCTCTCCAGCCTTCCTGATGCCTTCCTGGTAATGTTCGGCCTCATCTATGCCTTACATCTAGATTATCCGAAGAGACTGACCAACACATTTGAGTTCACGCAGAAAATCTTACTTGGTCTTGATGAGTCTAAACTGTCACCCACGCTGCAGAGTCAAATATGACCTGATGTTACATGTGTAACTCAAAATCTGAAAGAGTGGTGGATTCAGATGGCTCACTCTGTTAGAGCATTGTCCACATCCACGATGTAATTTACTATTTGTCTGCTCTTTAATTGTTGATGTTAAAGTAACACACCACCATTTGGGCAAATATGTTCATTTTCCACTTCTCCTTGAGTTAACCCTCCCACTGTCCTAATGGGTGTGACCCCACGAGGAAAGTTGACCATTGAGCAGGGTTGATGGTTCATCCTTTGGGTCCATGTGCCAGGGGTGAGAAGTGAGCACCACCTCCCCCCTGCCACGTGGACCTCAAGGGATAAACCATCAACTCTGCTCAATGGTCAACTTTCCTCTCGGGGTCACCCATGAAGACAGTGGGAGGAACAGTTGAGTTTTACCTTTTCTCTGTTCGTCCAGCCGTTCTGAGTCTGGCAACTCTCATTTGTGGCTTTAGTTTAGCGTGAATAATTGAATCGGATTAGCCCATAGGCTAATCCGATTCAATACTCAACTGGTTTTATGCCAAATGGCATAAAGTACTCACTGACTTACTTGATAGTGGTTAGTGTAATTCATATTTTGTTAATGTTGAATCGATGTGCATCCTGATGTTGCTTTAAACCGCCTACTCAAAGAAAGACTACACACTGCTGTTGTCCAGTTTTCAAAAGTGTGCGTTTGTAATTGTTTCTTTCAAATTTTGTTTTATTTTCTGTTTGAGTTGGCTTAATCGGTAACTTTAATTTGATCATAATTTGAAAATATATTTAATATAAACTCCAAATATTCAAGTTTATTTATGGTCTGATATAGTCAAATATCTGAGTTTATAAACTCAGAAAATATGAGGCAACTGATTGCCTTACATTTTTTGAGTTCTGCCTACTTATTCGGGTTTACAGTGTACGAACTGTAAAGATTTTGTGGTGTCAGAGTTCACCTAACAGTTCAAGTGTTCATTTTTTTGCTTTGTGTGTTCACAGGGCATGCTCAGTTGAAGTTTCCATCTCTGCGCGTTCAAGATGTAAGAAAAATAACACGAAAGAAATGCAACAATGAAAACTTCAAAAAGGCATCAACAACCAAGCAAGTGGATCCATAAAATGGACTGATTTTTTTAAAGGCATTTTTAAAAAGTCTTTCAAAATGGACAGAATTAACGCGTCATGTTCAGAACCGTTTGCGTTCTCATCTTTGATTAATCCTGGTAAACAGGTCTGTTTTTGTTCTGTTCTAATTCTCTCTGTTTAATAAATTTAAACAAAATGACTTAGCTATTTTATTTAATTTTTTTTCTCTGCATAAAGACGAAGTATCAGTAAATAGTGGAAAGTAAATGTATTGGTAGTAAGCAAATAGCAGATGTTAAATGTTACTTGCAGTATGTGTTTATAGAAAAAATAGAGATACTTAAATGTACTAAAAGAATATTACGTCAAGTTTACTGTAAAGTGTACTTTCAAAACTGTAAGTATACTCAATTATATAAGAAGTACACTACAAGTAAACATATTATTACTTTAAGTATAATTTTAAGTATACATTCAAAGAGAAAAGTATACTCAATTATTTCAGAAGTACACTACAAGTAAACTTATAATGCTACTTAAAGTTTATTTTTAAGTATACTTTCAAGGGCAAAAGTTTACTCAATTTTATTAGAAGTAAACTTATACTGTTACTTTTAAGTATACTTTCAATGAGAAAAGTATACTCAACTATATCAGGAGTACACTACAAGTAAACTTATATTGTTACTTTTAAGTATACTTCCAAGGAGAAAAGTATACTCAATTATATCAGAAGTACACTACAAGTAAACTTATAAGTATACTTCCAAGGAGAAAAGTATACTCAATTATATCAGAAGTACACTACAAGTAAACTCATAAGTATACTTTCAAGGAGAAAAGTATACTCAATTATATCAGAAGTATACTACAAGTAAACTTATAAGTATACTTTCAAGGAGAAAAGTATACTCAACTATATCAGGAGTACACTAGAAGTAAACTTATATTGTTACTTTTAAGTATACTTCCAAGGAGAAAAGTATACTCAATTATATCAGAAGTACACTACAAGTAAACTTATAAGTATACTTTCAAGGAGAAAAGTATACTCAATTATATCTGAAGTACACTCCAAGTACACTTGTGAGGTTACTTTAAGTATACTTTCAAAGAGAAAAGTATACTCAATTATATCAGAAGTACACAACAAATAAACTTAAATTATTACTTTGAAGTATACTTGTAGTATACTTCAAGTATACTTTTAGTGGCCCAATTTAGTCCCAAGGAGTATACTTCTAAGTAAACTTTAAGAACAAGTATGCAAATAAACTTCTGTACACTTAAGTATACTTGAAATTAGATACTTAAAGTATACTTCTTTTTCGTAAGGGAAATGTTGGTTGACTCCAAAAGTAGACATTCAGTGATTCGTTTATGGGATTTCTAATACAGGCAAACCTTTTATTCATAGTTTTTTGGGATTCCAGTGACTTCTAGAGCAATTTTTGTTGTAAAGATAAAAGTGAATATGTTTTCTATAATGAAAAATACTATTTTCCGGTGGAAAGCAAAGCTGATTTTATCAGTACTAAAGGTTTAGGCCAACTGACAAGCACAGCGAAGGACGTATTATAATTGGGGTTCGGCTCAGGGGCCTCATTTATCAAGCTTGCTTACGCACATAACGGGGTTGTAAAACTGCGTAAGCAACTTTCCACACAAATTTTGTGATTTATGAAAGAAAACTTAGCGGAAAAATGTGCACAACTTTAAGTTGACTGAGGATCTGGCTTACGCACATGTTGGACATGGAGAGCACCTGCAGTGCTGCTGCTGAGAAGGATAAAATTATGAAATCCTGCAGCATTATCACTTGTACCACTTCACAGAACAAGACCCCCCCCCCACACACACACACATGCGCGCACACTCCACGCACACACACAGCCTGAAGCGCAGAATACGGAATGCAGAATTTCAGCAGGGGGACAGATCGAGACAGAATGTCAGGCGTCTGTGACTGTGTGTGTGTGTCCTGTCACTGTGACCCGATTGATCATGCGCCCTGGCTACTTGTACAGGGGAGATCTCTGTTTGGCTGACTGGTTAGTGTGCATGACTTTCAACTGGGAGTCTGGGGATCGAATCCCAATGGGACCATTTTTTTATATCCACCACAGATCTCTCTGAAGAATTCACAACATTGATGGCTTCAGCAGCGCTGTGTCACTCCGTGGATTTTCTCTTATTTGTTTTGCAAAAGCACTTCCTTTCATTTCTCCACCTCACCCACAGGTACCTCAATTTCTGCTTCTGTTAAATTGTGCTTCCTTGATCTGCCTTGATCTACGGTCGCCATCGTCATTGGCGGAGCGCTGCAACAGCCGGCTTATGTATATGCATGAGATCCACAAGGCACTTTGCATTGACCATTTTTGGCAGTAAGTGGGCGTAGTGAGGGCGGGATGTGACTAAAAAGCAGCTGAGAAACATTCTCGTTAGTCTCCTATTTCATGAAGCGGAGATTGCGTGCAGCTGCGCATACTTCATGTTTGATAGGTCACAAACCTACTTGGAGTAAGTACATTTTTTTGCTGAGCTTAAGTACGGTTTTAGTAAGGATTCTACGCAATGTTTGAAAAATGAGATCCCAGTTCCTTTTTATTTAAAGGCCTAACCCTAACCACCATCGAGAGATGTTTCTCTGTTTGCTCATGTCTCAAAGAAAAGCCCAAGTCTAAATCATCCAAACTTGATGCCAAAGCCGTTTCACAGGAGTGCCTTTCCTGAGCCACCGCCATCTTTGTAGTATTGCTTCCTCCCAGCTCTGCCATCATCGTCAAAAAAAGACAAAGCTCTGCTATGATGGAGTTAAGTCCACTCAATGTCTCTCTACAGTGATAGAGCACTGTGACTGACTGGGTATAAACTGAGCCAATGGTAGAGCTGCGGAGGGGGTTTTGTGCTGAAAAGTTACCTGAAATACACTCCATTCAGGCTCTCCAGACCTGGCTCCACGGCGCAGAAGATGGTCGTCTGCGCTCCCTGCACGGCTGTCTTACTGCACAGTACAAAGATCTTCATGGATATTCGGATACACAGGTTTTGGTGCCTCCACAAATCAGACCGTACTACGCCCGGGTGCAGAGAAAAGACACTCACCCCTGTACCTGAAACGCACGCAGGTTTAGTTACTTTCTCCAGACTTGCTGCATCTTCTGAAATTAATATTTTCTGTGAGAAATTATTAAACCGCCACTTTCCTGAGGTTCATATCACCAAAACATTTGCTCACCTCGTAACCGCTCAGCAAGAGAGCGCGCAAACATGACGTTGGCCAGTTTGCTTTGACCATAGGCCTTCATGGTATCATAGCTCTGCTCACTGTTGATGTCATCTATTCGAAGCCCGGTCCATTTGTGGGCCACCGAGGCCACAACAATTATACGTGCAGGAGCTGACCTCTTGATGAGGTCAAGCAGCAGGTAGGTGAGCAGGACGTGACCTGGGGATAGCCATGAAGGAGGAAGATCAAGCCTCAGTGATCAAAATACTTCAGATTACTCAGACATTAAAGAACAAGTTTACTGTCTTTACTTGTTTGTTATGAAATTTGATCGGTCATGCCGAGTTTCACGTGCAGGGTGAGGGTGAAAATAGTCTTCTATCTCTATTTAGCCATCGACAGGGAAACGCTTGGATAATACAAGCCAGTCAGATCTGCATCACACTGAAAATTAACGCTCATGGGCTCACTCAATTTGGCTCATGACGGGGAACGCTGTTGTTGGTTTAACATCGCTAATAGAAGCTAACCATTAGCACTAGCAACTCCACAACATGGCAGAACTACTTCAGGCTTGTGTTATTTGCAGGGGCGCCCCCAGAAAATTTTGATAGGGGTGGCCAGACGGAGCCAAAGAAATTTTTGGGGTAGCACACCAAATTGGTCCTTGTGGTAACTCTGGGAGAATTTGGCCTGTGGCAATGTACTGCATTGCACCTTTATTTGTTTTTATTAAAGTAACAGCACGTATCCAAAACATTTACCCTAAATTTTCCAAACGCTAACATTTTAGAAAAATACATTTCGGTTATTTAAAATGTTATCCCAAACTGAATTTAAAAATGAATGTTTTTAGGTTTATTCACCTGTTTCTGTGTTCACAAAAAAAAATAAATAAAAAATCAAACCTATGGAGATAAAAACTTTTTTAAAATGGTGAGCAGCAGAAACGTATGTATTTTTTTAGTTTGATTATTACTTTACTCATTAATTGTATTATTTTAACATTGTTTTACAATTATGTCCTGAACATACAAGATCAATATATAGTTTGACTGAACATTAATATGGTTTGTTAACACTGGCTTTTCCTGGGGGGGCAGCAATTTTCTAGGGGTGGCCATGGCCATCCCTTGGGGACACCCTTGGCAATTTGTGGACATAAATCCTCAACGTTGCAGAGTGAACAAAGGCAGTGGAAGAGTCGTGTTGCTGTTAGCCAATCAGAGATGAGATGTCCAAATATCAGGAAACACAGTCAGGTCCATAAATATTGGGACATCGACACAATGCTAACATTTTTGGCTCTATACACCACCACAATGGATATGAACAAGATGTGCTTTAACTGCAGACTGTTAGCTTTTATTTGAGGGTATTTACATCCAAATCAGGTGAACGGTGTAGGAATTACAACAGTTTGCATATGTGCCTCCCACTTGTTAGGGACCAAAAGTAATGGGACAACTGGCTTCTCAGCTGTTCCATGGCCAGGTGTGTGTTATTCAATCATTATCCCAATTACATGAGCAGATAAAAGGTCCAGAGTTCATTTCAAGTGTGCTATTTGCATTTGGAATCTGTTGCTGTCAACTGTCAAGATGAGATCCAAAGAGCTGTCACTATCAGTGAAGCAAGCCATCATTAGGCTGAAAAAACAACAGAAACCTATCACAGAGATAGCAAAAACATTAGGTGTGGCCAAACCAACAGTTTGGAACATTCTCAAAAAGTAGGAACGCACCGGTGAGCTCAGCAAAACCAAAAGACCCGGAAGACCACGGAAAACAACTGTGGTGGATGACCAAAGAATCCTTTCCCTGGTGAAGAAAACACCCTTCACAACAGTTGGCCAGATCAAGAACACTCTCCAGGACGTAGGTGTATCTGTGTCAAAGTCAACAATCAAGAGAAGACTCCACCAGTGTGAACACAGAGGGTTCACCACAAGATGTAAACCATTGGTGAGCCCCAAAACAGGAAGGCCAGATTAGTTTGCCAAACAGCATCTAAAAAAGCCTTCACAGTTCTGGAACAACATCCTACGGACAGATGAGACCAAGATCCACTTGTACCAGAGTGATGGGAAGAGAAGAGTATGGAGACGGAAAGGAACTGCTCATGATCCTAAGCATACCACCTCATCAGTGAAGCATGGTGCTGGAAGTGTCATGGTGTGGGCATGTATGGCTGCCAGTAGAACTGGTTCTCTTGTATTTATTGATGTGATTGCTGACAAAAGCAGCACGATGAATTCTGAAGTGTTTCGGGCAATTTTATCTGCTCATATTCAGCCAAATGCCTCAGAAGTCATTGGACGGCGCTTCACAGTGCAGATGGACAATGACCCGAAGCATACTGCAAAAGCAACCAAAGAGTTTTTGAAGGGAAAGAAGTGGACTGTTTTGCAATGGCCAAGTCAATCACCTGACCTGAATCCGATTGAGCATGCATTTCACTTGCTGAAGACAAAGCTGAAGGGAAAATGCCCCAGGAACAAGCAGGAACTGAAGACAGGGATGAAACCCAACGTCTGGTGATGTCTATGTGTTCCAGACTTCAGACTGTAAATGATTGCAAAGGATTTGCAACCAAGTATTGAAATGTATAAGTTTGATTTATTGTTCTTATTCTGTCCCATGACTTTTGGTCCCTTAACAAGTGGGAGGCACATATGCAAACTGTTGTAATTCCTACACTGTTCACCATTGATTTGGATGTAAATACCCTCAAATAAAAGCTGACAGTCTGCAGTTAAAGCACATCTTGTTCGTTTCATTTGATATCCCTTGTGGTGGAGTATAGAGCCAAGAATGTTAGCATTGTGTCGATGTCCCAATATTTATGGACCTGACTGTAAGTCTCCAAATGCTGCTGCTCCCCTGTGTTCTGGCTAACTTCTAGTTCCTGAAACAGGAGCGACAAAGCCTTTCTTCCACACAGATTGGCTCACAGAGCATTGATTTCTGCTAGAGACCTCTGCTATGCATGAAACAAACAAGTGAACTTGGTGTTTAAAACACATTTGACATAAATGTTGATGTTTTTGTTTCATTCATCGTTGTGTCTAGTTGTGTAAATAGGAACCACTATATGACTTCAGTAATTACTGTGTGTAATAGCTGCAGCATTACAGATATACTGCTGATCATCTTTTGAAAAATGCTCTGCACAAACACTTTTCCACACAGAAGCTCTACAAGTTTTTTTATTTCTCATGTCTTGTTTTATTCTTAGCATGAAACGCATTTTTTATTAAAACATTTCAAATTTACACAATGCAGATGTTATGGAAATGGTTTTGGGTGCATTGAGTCCACGTGTGTGTGGGCAAGGTCACACTGCTGCGTGACAAAAATAACGCAGATTGGAGGAAGGGAGGAGGACGCCATCCAGAAACGGGATACAAACACTGGCAGCTTGAATAAGTGAAAGAAAATTAGTAGTTTACTCTCTGGATTTGTTGTCAGCTTGTTAGAATCAAACTGATCATAACCTTTTTTGTGTTTATATCTAGTTATTCAAATGAAGCCAGTTTTATAAACGTCTGAAAACCAAATGCAAGGATACATTTTCTAATTGTACACAAAATGTTCTGGAGCTCACCCAGATGATTGACGCCCAACTGCATTTCGAACCCGTCGACTGTTTTGGAGTAGGGACACATCATGATTCCAGCGTTGTTGATCAGTATATTCACTTGTTTCTCCTCTGAAAAGAACACACCCTATAAGGCAACTGTCATATTAAGTGGATCAACGTTACATTGACAATCTGTTAACCCCAATAACAAATCGACACCAAAGTGCCTCTTGAGCCCTAAATAACCCAATTTTACAGCCAACCTTTGTTGATGGATTCAGCGAAGGCTCGGATGGACTTGCTATCAGACAGATCCAGTTTCTTGATGACCAGATTCTCGTTTCCAGTGTCCTCCAAAATATCGGTCCTCGCCTCTTCTGCCCTCTCCAGGTCTCTGCATGCCATGATGATGCGAGCGCCTGTGTGATCAAGTCAACAAATATAAGTTTAAAGGATGAGCTCAAAAAGAGCATTCTTGGTGTTCATGTCAAAGGTGTGGGAAACTCGTTTAATCAATACATTTGCAGAATTGCATGAATCGGCACGGAGGAGCCTGCTGCAACAGAGGGTGGTAAATGGTAAATGGCCTGTATTTGATATAGCGCCTTCTAGAGTCCTGGAACCCCCCAAGGCGCTGTACAACACTCATTCACTCATTCACCCAATCACACACACATTCACACACTGGTGGGGATGAGCTACAGTGTAGCCACAGCTGCCCTGGGGCGCACTGACAGAGGCGAGGCTGCCGAGCACTGGCGCCACCGGTCCCTCCGACCACCACCAGCAGGCAACGTGGGTTAAGTGTCTTGCCCAAGGACACAACGACAGCGACAGACTGAGCGGGACTCGAACCTGCAACCTTCCGATTGCGGGGAGAGCACTTAACTCCTGTGCCACCATCGCCCCCGTGCCTCCCGTGGCGCGACACGGGAGGATTTGGAGTCTTATTTCCTGATATGTCTTGCTTTGGATTGGCTAATAGCAACCACTACTTGCAACGTTGGTGCTTCTTCTCCACAAATAACTCAAGCCTGGAGGAGCTGCTAATGCTAGCGGTTAGCCTGCACCAGCCGAAATGCTCTCTGCTGTTTCCTAGATGTTAAACCAGCAACAGCCTTCCCCGTCGCGAGTCAAGATGGGTGAGTCCGTGAATGTTATGTGACAGTGTGACGTAGATCTGTCAGGCCTTTGTAATCCTAGAGTTTCACCGTTTATTTTCTATCAGAAGCTAAAGCAGGAGATAGGTGTAGGAGACTATTTTCATGTTCAGCCTGCGTGAAAAACTCAGAGTGACCGATTATAATCATAAAAAGGTTTTTGCAGTGTTTCACCCCTTTAAAGATAAAGGCTCCGAGCACCTTTCCTGTGTTCAAAGCTGCCACTAATAATAAAAATATGGGGTTCATCAGGGGACTGCAGCCAGGCTCTCTGAACGCTGGAAGAGACGTAACCCCACACAAGTCCAAGGCCGCAGCTTTCCCTCATAATGACATTTCTAAATGTCTGTGTACTTTTGCTCATTTTCTAATGGATCCTGTCACCCAGAACCCCGTTTAACCATCTGGCACCCCAACCCACACGAGCACAGCCCTCTCAGCTGCTCTATTCTTATTCCAGCACAAACCGTGACACATCCTCATTAATGAGCACAGAAAGAGGTTTCGAGGACATTCCTGCTGTCACCCATGAACGAATTTGCATGCCAGAAATAGACTTTTATATAGAAACACAACAGTACAGGCATCACCCAGATAAACAAACAGAAAAACACCCAACGTACAAACAAGCATTTGAAATATCTGTTCCCTGTAATTAAGGAAGGCGATCAGACATTTACCATTTGGAGCATCTGTTTCTCGTTACTGAGTCTTTTGTTCCTGTCCTGCTGCTCCCAAAAGGGAAAATGAGTCACAATAAAACATACAAATGATTAGATATTGATGATGGAGCAATCGCAGAACTTCTGTGCTGATAAATTACATGTTTCATGTTCAAACTGCCTAAAAGTGATGATTGAAACAGTTTCAGCTTGCTTTCTCTTGGAAGCAGCTGCCACACGAACCACGCCATCACCGCGTCACCAGACGATTTAACTCACTGACAGATTGTGCCAGCTACCGATTCACTCCTGGGCACGTTGCTCGTTTTGTTGTCCTCTTTGTCATAAAGTTTGGTGAATTTTTCTACTGAGTTAAATGAAAATTGTTTGCCTACATTTTAATGTATAGCTTGCAGAAGAAGAGTAATGATAACCAAGATGAACAGAAATGTTAAAACTGATGACAGTGTTTCATTAGCGTCGCCTTGGTAACTGCACACCTGTATCTTTAGAAGACGAGAAGAACAGATGGAAAATAAATCCTTAAATAAACAGTTGCTGTGTAAAAGCTACGAGTATTATTTAAAAATGTATGCATGTTCACATTTATTTTTATGAGCTTAAAGTGTTTTATGTTTGCCTAGAAATCTATAGACAAACCATGGCAGCAGCAATGGTTTTCCTCTGCAGGTTGGTCTAGCCACGCCCAATCGTAGCATCAACAGGTCTACCATTGGCTCGTTTAAATAGGGGCACGGCCAGTTACAGCAATCTGCTTGCAAAGAGCTGTTGGGACGGTTTAGCCCCATCATGGTAGAGCTGCTTAGGCGCCAAACTACAACAATGGCAGCAGCTCAGGAGTGGAACTTAAAACAGCTTTGGCATCAACTTTAGATGGTTTAGACATGGACTTTTCTTTTAGACATGAGCAGATAGAGAGACTTGGTTTATGTTAGAGTTAGCTCGTTGCTAACACAGCAACAGCAGGCAGCAGCAGGGTTGTTTACGACAGCTGCAATTCCACCTTCAACCAGTAGGGCAGAGAAGCAGGAAACTGCTCTGTGTTACTTTAGGCACACTGCATAATGTTAGTGGTGCATGGTGGCACAGTTGGTAGCACAGTTGCACCACAGAAAGGAAGTTGACGGTTCAATTCCTCACAGCAGCCTTTCTGCACTCAGTCAATGTTCTTCCCATGTAAATAAGGGTTGTCTTCCAGTACTCCTGCACAGATCCAACACATGGATGTTAGGTTAACGGGAGACTGTGAGTCAGTGTGTCCATACGTTCCTAACCGAGCACTTCGCTCTCAGACTGCAGGTTTACTGGTGGTTCCCAAAATATCTAAAATTAGGATGGGAGGCAGATCTTTTAGTTTTCAGGCTCCTCTCCTGTGGAACCAGCTCCCAGCCTTAGTCCGTGAGGCAGACACCTTGTCTACCTTTAAGACTAGGCTTAAAACATTTTTATTTGATAGGGCCTATGGTTAAAATCTGATGTTAGCCTAGATCTGGACAAGAAGGGGAGTAGAGGGAGGTGGAGTGTACAGTCGGTAAAGACGGCTCTCCCTTGCCCTGCCTCCAACATGCCTCCACCTAAATAGGATAGATTATCCAGAGTTTTCTCTGTAGTTATGCTGCTATAGGCTTAGACTGCTGGAGGATACACTGACCACTCTCCACACTTGACTACTTTCTTCTACAATCTGCTCCTTAACTGTATTATTTTCAGCAATTTCAGCTGTTAACTTTATTTTTTCTCTAAGTGTTTTTCTCCCCAGAAGAAGCTACAATGATGTTCTGCTGAGCTGTGGTGGCCTCATGGAGGGGGCCATCGTCTTGCACACTGCTGCTAACCACTTAAACATTCTCCCTCCCTTTCCTTGACGTTGAATGTGCTACTGCTAGTTTACCCGTTTACTTATAGATTCACTAGGATGAATACAATAAAGTTTATCTCTCGCCAAATAGAATATTTACTAAGAAATCACAATGTAACCATAGACACATTGCTTGGTGTGTGTGTGTGTGTGTGTGTGTGTGTGCGTGCGTGCATGTGTGCTTGTGTGTTTGTGAATGTGTGTGTGTGTGTGTGTGTGTGTGTGTGTGTGTGTGTGTGTGTGTGTGTGTGTGTGTGTGTGTGTGTGTGTGTCTGTCTGCTCTGTCTTCTCAATCCCCAGTGAGTCGTGGTGGATGGCTGCTTATACTGAGCCAGGATCCTCTGGAGGTTTCTTCCTGTTAAAAGGGAGTTTTCGTCTCCACTGTCGCTATATGCTTGCTTAGTATGAGGCTTGATGCAATTTGCTGGGTTCCTTATATAGGAAACATTTTTTTCTGATTGGCTTAATGAACTGACCTGGATTGGAATATTTATTATGTGAAGTGCCTTGAGATGACTCTTGTCGTGATTTGGCGCTATATAAATAAAATTGAATTGAACTGAATTGACCCTTGTCGAGAGCATCTCCCACCTCTTGCCCAGTGACTGCTGGAGTTAGGCACCAGCTCCAAGAGGGCACATAACATCAAATCAAAATCATTACAGAAAACAAACAACCAAATAAAAACAGTAGCTCTAAAATGGGGGCAGGTATGATGCCTCACGCTGAGCCTCGGATAAATTAAAGAACAATTTCAGCCACACGTTGCCCTGATGATGTCATCATCGGTGTGCATGGCTGCTCCAGTTTGGTCTGTCTGGCTCAGCAGTCAGAAGGGGGGGGGAGGGGGGGGCAAACCCTCACAACCTCCCCGTCCCTCTGATGCATCACTGACTTACCAGCCAGCATACACAGTTGTGTCCTATATGGACTATAAATGGGCAAACTGAATGGGTCCCAACAGGTTTTGTCTGTGGTTTCCATGGTGGCCCCACAGGAGTTCCCTCATCGATTTTACCGGTCCCTGAACAGGTTTTAATAAAGACCTAGGCGGTTTACCGGAGATGGAATGTAACAAAGTACAAGTACTTTATTGCTGTACTGAAGATGTTGTTTCTGTATCTGTACTTTTCTTAAGTAATTTTCTTTTGACCTACTTTTTACTTTTACTACACTACATTTTTAAGTAGTATCTGTACTTTCAACTACACTACATTTTAAAGTATTATCCGTACTTTCTACTTCACTACATTTAAAAATATTATCTGTACTTTCTACTACACTACATTTTAAAGTATTATCCGTACTTTCTACTACACTACATTTTAAAATATTATCTGTACTTTCTACTACACTACATTTTCTAAAAAAACTTCAAAAGTAAAAAAAAGAAAAAACTAAGTTTCAGCCTCAGTCCGATGGAGACTGGCAGTAGTACGCAGGACTGCAGTTCCACAGTTAGTAGTACTTTAACTTGTGTTCATGTCTCCATACTTTAATACTTTTCAAGACAAAGGCCAAAATCATGAAGTTAAACTTCCTCACGGGCCACAAAATGTATTTATTTTTTTAAGAATGCAAACATTATTTTATATTTTTCATTTGTTCTGCTCAAAAAAGGCCTCAATAAAAATGGGATATAACATTTTAAAATATATGAATTTACATCAACCGCCTCCTGGAGAGACTTAAATCCACAATTCCAAAAACAGTGAGGGCCGTGCAAAATCACTCCTAGGGCCACAAATGGCCCCTGGGCCGCACTTTGGGCACACCTGATTTCAAACATGTCTTGGGTACTTCCACTTTTGCTTAAGTAATTTTTTTTTACCTCCTTTTCTGTACCTTTACATAAGTAAAAAAAAAATCAAGTACTTCTTCTGCTGCTGGATAGACTCATACATGGGCCCCTGTGGGGCTACCATGAAAACAATGGATAAAACCCAACGGGACCCATGCGGTTTGTCCATATATATCCCAACAATATATGCTGGCTACATTTGGACAGTACTGAGAAAGGAGGGCATTTTACTCAAGGTACTTTGAGGTGATATACCAATCAGATCCGCTATAATGCATATAATGAAATTAGGTTTCATGAGATTAACAGTGAAGATTAGCTCCTAATCACCCAGGAAGAGAAAGTTTTTCCATCCGGAGAAAGGAGAGGAATGCTGGGTGGAAGTTAGTCACAATGAAGGAGGCACCCAGCAAAGCGGGCGATCCAGAACCGTACCTCTCTTTGCCAGATCCCTGGCTGTTTCTTTTCCAATCCCAGTGTTTGCTCCGGTGATGATGACCGTTTTTCCATCTAACCTCTCCTCAGATGACCAGTGGTTGCAGCACATACCCCTAAATAACACACAGGTAAATCAGGAGAGGAACATCCAATCACGATTGATACTAATTGATTGCTTTGTGAAACCTCTCGTCTTTCTTAGAAAGAGCAGATCAGTCAGCAAAATTACCCTTCAGTGGATTAATGTTACATGTCACAGATGGGAATCGGTTAAGTCGTTACTCTGATATAAGGGGAAATCATTTCTTAAATCTTATTTTACATAGATTTTAAATAAAATAATTTTAAAATATAAATTTAAAAATAATTTGCATAATTACAACAATCAACACTGATGTTTTTTATAAGCTTAGCATCTAGTAACACACCATAGTTTCATTGTCTGACATAAGAGATGCAGCCTTCCAACCTAGTTTTGCAAACAGAAACAATGAATGTGTTGATTAAATCTCCTACCTGCAGAACATTATTCCTCATAAAGAAGTTAATCTCCACTGTAGGATAGAAGAGCGACTTCAGGAAAATTAAAACATGTGTCCTTAAATCACACCACTCCTTCAGCGTTCAGTGTGAACAGTTCAGCCGTTGGCTTTTGTGCTTATCACCACCACACACACACACACGCACACACACATACACTCATGCACACACACACTTGCACAAATGCACACACTCACACACAAACACTCCGCCTGCTGCTAGTGTTTCACATCTCACGGCTGAGCCAATCCGGAGCGAGGTGACACATGACTGATTCACAAGTTACAGAATGGGAAACAGATGGATTCCCTGCTGGCTGAGAGAAAGAAAGAGGGAATGAGAGTGAAAGAGAGAGAGAGAGAGAGAGAGAGAGAGAGAGAGAGAGAGAGAGAGAGAGAGAGAGAGAGAGAGAGACTCCTATTGTATGCTGAATGCACCCACAGAACAAGGATGACGCCTCATGCATCTTATACTCAGTTCAAGTCATTTCTCTAAAACAACAACTGCAACACTGAGAAAGTGCAACAAAAAGGGTCTTTGAGTTTAAAATATCAGATCTAATGAAACATGTTGATGAATGCATGCCAAAAAAGTGCATTTTTTGTTATCCAAGCATAGCAAAATAAAGATTTTACACTTTTAATTTGCAGATGCATGCAGTAAATGGGAAATGCTAACTAATATATGCAAAGAAATCGAGCAAAAAATAACAAGAAGCATCCAGAAAACTGGAAGCACATGAGCACAACTGCACAAATATTCACAAAAGGGTCCAAAATTGAAGAGAAACCAAACAAATGATGAAAATAATGCTGATGAAGGATGCAAACCAGCAGCGAAGAGATGTGAAATACAAGTAAATTATGCACAGTAACACACACACTTCAAACTCACTCGATCAGTTTAATCTGCTTTATTTTTCCACACGTCTTCCTTCTTACATCCCACCAGTTTTATTTAAAATTTGCATGTTTCTTTGACCCCTTTGCACAACTTATGTCCATGCCTGACACGTACAACATTAAGCAATAAACCTCAGAAACGTCATGCATTTTGCAGCACAGCTTGTAGGAGAACGGTTTATCTCCAGCGGATCCCCAGCAGGTGGCAGCTCACAGCCCACAGCTTTAGGGAGGTGAGGTTGTCCTCAGCTGCCCTGCAGCTTGCAGCCAGAGCACAGTCCCTGTAGCGGAAAAGGGAAGATGTGAGAACATCTTAAACAAAATGATTGAATAATGATCTGAACCGTCTGCACCTGCTTTTTAAAAAAGACAATGTGTGGAATAATTGTAAAAGACAAGTTTTGATGAGTAATCAGGAATCTGCTGCAGGCGGCTGGATTTTACACTAACTTGTAGAATCCACCAGTGAGGACCTGGTTGTCAGGGGTGACGGTGCAGTAGACGGTGGTGTATGCTCCCTCTGCCGGCGTCTTCAGCACAAAACTGAAGGTCTTAATTAAGTCCACAAGAGGACGCCTTATGTGTCGTGTGATTTCAGTGTTCACAACACCCGGGTCCACTGAGAAAACCATCACTCCAAAACCTGCAGAGGAACAGTCAATTATTGTTGTTTTAGGACTCAGACATAAATAATAGAGTCGTGTATAATGTGTAAAATAACAAAGTATAAGTATCTATAGAAATATTCAGCGCTCTCATTCACTCAGTGTTTCATTAAATCTGCAGTGGTCTCTAGTATAAATGAATGCCTTGAAATTGTTCTTTGTGGGAAAAAAAAGCACTGGCGCTCCTTTTTCACAAAGTCAAAATTAGCCGTAAGAAACGGGAGCAGAAAACGACAGGATTTGTAGACTTTCTCGTTATCATTGGGCATCTCGCCTCTGATTGGCTAACAGCAATGCAATGCAACTCTACTACTGACTCCATTTGTCTGCAACTTTGATGTTTTAGCTCCACAGATAAAAGAAGCCTGAAGGAGTTCTGCCACGTTGTGGAATTGCTAATGCTAAAGGTGAGCTTCTACTAGCCGAGACGTGCTCTGCTCTCTCCTGGAGTCCAGAATGCCAATATACAGCGTGATGTAGCTCTCTGTCTTTCTCTGACCCGAGCATCTCCCTGTCTAATTTCAATCGGTGCTAATGCAGGAAATAGGGGTAGAAGACTAGTTTGACGTTCAGCCTGCACGTGGAAGTCAGCGTGATTGAAAGTTTCTCAGCGATCTTTAAAAAGACAGCTATGTTTCCCGCCCAGAGTTGAGGCATGAGACTCACACCCTGACAAGAGAGGCAGATGCTTTTTACAGAAACATAAAAAGTAAGATTCATGAAGTCAAAGATCATCATGCCGTCAGTGTTTCCCCCCACACACACATTACCCTCGGTTTTTTTAGCTAGCTCTCTGGAGAACAGCACGTTAGCGAGCTTGCTCTGAGCGTACGCCCTGACAGGGTGGTAATCTTTCTCCCCGTTCAGGTCATCAAAGTGGATCTTGCCCATGGCGTGAGCTGCTGATGACAGGTTGATAACTCGGGATGGCGCCGAGTGCTTCAGTAGGTCTAGAAGCAAGAACGTCAGGAAGAAATGACCTGAAAGAGGCAGAAATGAAAAAAATAAACAGAGATATAAAAAAAAACAACACAAAAACTTTACTGGTATTGGAAATTGTAAATTCTTTAACCTAAGTGATTGACTCCAAACTGCATCTCATATCCGTCCACGGTCTTCGCATAAGGACAGATAGCCACCGCTGCGTTGTTGATCAGGAAGTGGAGAGACTTTTCCGCTGGAAAACCGGGTGTCGTCATTTAACAGGCTGCATTTTTCAACTGTTCTGTAGATTTGGAATATCTGTGCTAGTTAATGGAAACCCACTGTTGTAAATGTTCTCAGCAAACAGGCAGATGGATTTGGTGTCAGCCAGGTCCAGCTGCCTGACCACCACATTGGCGCCATCCACGTTCTTCATGATGTCAGAAGCAGCTTGTTCTCCTTTGGTCACATTTCTGCATGCCAAAATCACTCGGGCACCTACACACGAGATATCGACTCCTCCAAGTGATGACAAGGCTTCGATGTACGCCCAGACTGACCCACTCAACAAACCAGTCCCTTTAAGGTCAAATTTAAAAGGTGCAGCCATGTTTTCTTACCTCTTGCAGCGAGCTCTTTAGCTGTTTCTTTGCCTATTCCAGTGTTTGCTCCCGTTACTATTGCCGTCTTCCCCTCCAGACGCACATCTGACGTCCACTTTGGGATGAACAGAGACCTGAGGAATCAAGAAAGATCAAAACAAGTCAAAACTCTTTTCAGTGATGTTCATTTTTTGTGATAACATTAGCATTTTTAAAGAAAATGTGCTCTAAATCCAGATATTTTTGTTGAAATCGTGTCTCTGAGAAACTGAGAACTTCAAAAACATGATCCCACCTTACAGTCTTCATTTCTAAACTGGCAAAATTCCCAATGAAATACAAATGTCTTTATCCTGTAGAGATTCTGCTTCAAATCTCAGGTCCAAATATTGAGCAGAGAGAAAAGATCTTCCCTTTATATAGTTGAAGGTTCACATGGGATGCTTGTAGGCACAAACATTCCTTTGTTCAAGTTCAGTTACTGAAACAAATCAATGACAGCTCCATTTTTTATTAGGGTTCTGATGAGGAGACACATGACCTGCAACAATTCAGCCAAACAAGCTGTAAAGCATGTTTGTCTTTAGTTCTAGTTTAATAAAGCTTGTATCTTTCACTTAAATGATTCCTCTGTTATAAAAGTTGGAATTACATCATTGCAACTTGAGCGCTTTAAGCTAAGGTTGTTGCCCAGGCGTTGCAGTGTTAAGTTAATATTAGACCATAGCCGTATCAGTAAGATCCGCGTGATTCAAAAGCAAAACAAATATCACAGAAGAAACCAGAAACTCAGCTTTTAAAGCACTTAGATGTCAAGGTCTTTTGCAAAAGAGCGTTTGAAACTCAAAACCTGGTTCCGCCGTTAAGGTAACTTGAGTTTTTTATTAATGTGGATTTTCTGGTGCTTTCCACATGTCTGTAATATCACTTGGACCAAATATTTGAAGCTGTTGTGCCAGTTTTGTTATATTATTCAGTTCAGCAAAATGTAACCAGTGGCGCGCCCAGAAAATTTTCATGGGGGGGGCCAGTGGAAATTTTGGGGTGACTCAGCAAATCGGTGTCTGTGGTAGCTCAGGGGAGTTTCGCCTGAATCTGTGCATTGCTTTGCTCCTTCGCTGTTTTTTTTATAACAGGCTTGTGCTTCGAACACATTTACCTCAAATTTGTGAAACTTGAACATTTCAGAAAAAAGACTTTGGCAGTTTTTAATTTTTTCAGTTATTGTTTCTATTTTTTCCGAGTTTTAATTAAAAAATTGATTGAGCCTGTTGCTGTTTCAACAAAAACAATCAGAGTTCATACTTTTTTCTTGATAGTGATGATTCTCTTACGTACTTTAAATTGTGATTTATTAAAACAGTTCTATTAAAAAATTCTATTAAAATAAAAATTTTATTAGCTTTAAAATTGTCTTGATTAGAGGAGATGAATGTACGATTTGTGTGAACATGAATGTGATTTATTAATGAGGGTGGGGTCTTCCCTGAGAGGGCAAACTGGATGGCCAACAATTTCCCGGGCGGGACCAATGGTCCCCCTTGGCCGCCCTTTAGAGGCACCACTGAGTGAAACCCTACAGAAGCTAAAACTGGAACACTGAATAGGACTGGGCTTCCTCTCATGTTTTCTTTCATAGAAAACGCGTAAAAAGTACATAATATATAATTATTTAAATGCATGATTTATTAGGAACATTTGATTTGGACACAAAAGAACAAACTCTCTAAGATGTTACCTAAAACCATAGTACACAGAGAAACTATGAACTTTAAATAAAAAATGATTAATGTAGGTCACAGTGGCAAAAAGTACACTCGATATCCATCCATCCATCCATCCATTTTCTGTAGCTGCTTATCCACGGAGGATTGCAAGGACAAGGAAAAAAACTGTTATATCACCCAAACAAATGAGTGAATTATGACTTGTGACGAGTTCCTGGCACCAACATGAAAAAAGCTTCCCCTTCAAATCAGTTCTTTGCTCATTTATCTTGTGTGGCTCTACAGTTGATCAGAAATTGAAATGAAACGTGACAAAGAAGCAGCTTAGGTTCTAAGAAACCTTGAAAAACACATTGATCAAGACCACTCTTAAAATTCTTGATTCCCAAAGACCAAAGCATAATTTGAGCCTTTTGCACAAGCTACATATTCTCTTGGTTTCAGCTTTCTCTGACAGTTTTACCCATTTATTTATTTATTTCACCTTTGGTTCTAGTCTAAATAAAAATCAACATTTTCTGACATGTTTATAACGTTTTACCACTTGGGGGCAGACTATAGCAACTTCAAAACACATTACACACGTTCAGATTATTTTTCTCACACATTTAAAGCTCAAGAAAAAAAAAAGAGAGATGAAATCCTTTGACTACAGCTGAGCCTTGTGTTGGCCGTCCAGCCATTCCTCGTGTAAACCGTGTGAAAGCTAGTCATAACTTCCTGTTTTCACCAACAACCATAAAAATAAGCAGAGACGAGATGCACGCTGAGACACCAACACACACATATGTAAACACACTGCTGCTGACCCAAACCAGGACCGATGAACGTTGCCAGTTCCTCTCATGTGGTCTCTGTGTGACTCTAGCTGGTCTGACTGTTGGAGCAGTTTCTCCTCACAGCTGCTCGCCATCCCCTGGCTTGATGAAAGGCCGCCTGCCTGTCTGTCTGTCACTGCTGGGACAAAGGCAGTGAAAACTTGCCACACATGTAATTAAGATTGCTTCACAGGCATTATAGATCATCAAGGGGGGATCAACAACTCATTCATTGTAATTTGTCCATCTCAAAATAGGAATGTAGACTGAGAAACCACAGGATGCAGGATGTCTGCCATCAAGGAGTGGAAAAACAAACATGCAAAACATATTTAATTTCAATCAAAATAGTCTTTTATTTAATCATTGCAACATGTTTGATTGATGTACATGATTTATACGGTGAGGGCTGAGACAATGCACCGACGTTTCCAGAAGCGTTTACTTTTTACCTTTTGAACGATTTGAACACAAAATAAGTTCCCTTCAGCCTTTTTTCCAAAGAAAGCACAAACCAGTTGTGACATGGGTTCTTCTAAACTTACTTTTTTGTAAGTTATAATAGTTCTATGGTCAATACGAAACATAATTATGAAGTTCTTTGCACAAATTCCCTCTCACATAAAGCAGTTTTATTCTCAACAGCTTTGGTATCTTCCAGAATGAGTCCCTTTTCAGGGCTCAGTCACTTTAAGACAGCAAGCTGGAACTGGCCACACCCACCCCCTGCTCAGGCTGCTATAAGCTGAGAAACTCCGATATCTGGAAGGGGCTCACGTAGAGTTACTCCTCCTCCAACAGCAGCTCTCTCTTGCGTGTTAGAGGTGGTTCTGTTTTCCTTATTTGTGACATCACAAACGGGGGCTTTTCAAAACTGCTTGTTTTAGGCACATATTTCCTAACATTTGGTGTTTATAGAAGAAGTAGAAAACCACATGGCAGTGCAAATTGATGCAAAAAGTGAGTTTTACATAATATGTTCCTTTAAAGCAGGAACTTATTGTCTGAATGAAGTACTAAAATCCGAGCACCAAGGAGGTTAAGGGTACAAAAGGCCCCAAGGTCTCAGTGCAACAAACTTCTGCCACATGATTTCTGTATCTGTTAGCTTTGTGATTGTTTGACCTAGCTTATAGACGACAGCTAAGCTAATTGTCATTTGTGCAAACCACTGAAATGAGCGGGCTTCAGGGCCCAGTGGTTTGGTATGAAAATGGCCAAAAGGAGCTGCAACACACATAAATAACATCAATGAGCTCTTGTAAACACAAACATTAGCTAACTTTCACCTTGTTAAAGCTAACAAACATTTAGCTAAATATCTGCTAGCAAGATTTGGCTCATAAACACTATAAAGACTCAAAGTTAGCATCCCTGTCAGAGTCTTAAGATGTATTTGGTGAATGCTGTAACAGCAGTGCTTTCAAAAAGGTGTTGTGAATGCTAATTAGAAAACCTTTTCCAGCCCCTCCTGGATTCATAATGGATTTGGTTTTAATTTTCATGGAATGGACCAATAGACTTCAATTACACAGAACTTTCTTTTCAGACCCTTTTTTATGTTCGATTGTTTTAAAACCAACAAGATGATTCATGTTAGAACAAGAAGGCAGATGAAAGGACCAGTATTCTATAGAAAATCTACCAAAATAAAAGCCCAAAAAGGCAACGAAAAAACAAATAAAAGCCTCAGGAACTTACCTCATGTTACTTTTAAAGAAACAAATCAAAATTTTCTTTAAAGTCCCAAATTGTGCTCATTTTTTCCTGCTGTCGGTGGCACCAGTATATCAAAACACATCACACATGTATATTAAAAATATCCCTTGATATTCACAAATCAGCAAACTTTTTCGGGAAATATATAAAACTATTTATCACAAAGGCAACTTGTGAAAAATGCACCAACGATTTACTTCTGCTAAAATATTTTAAACAAACATTTTACTTCTTTTCATCAAAGATTAAAACAGAATAAAAAGAGTCAAACCAGTGATAAAATAGCTTATCAAATGCATAGCATTTTTCTACTCAAACTGCACATGTGGTGCAGGAACAAGAAAATAATGACTTGGAACAGATTAAAGAAGCTTCATACTGCTGTAATGTGAACTAGATTCTGTTAGCTTCTCTTAGCCTGACGCCACACTGGAGACGTCAGCAGCGTGAAGCGTAGCTATACTTCAAACCGAATCCTTCAGAGTCTTTAGAGTTGATCCATACCGGCCGCAGCGCAGAAATATTCAGGCGCATCCCAGAAGCAGTTTGCCATGCTGCTAAATATACGTTAGGCGCAAGCTGTTTCTGGGATGCGCCTGAATATTTCTGCAGTTAACATAGACCCAGAAACAAAATTACACACGGTTTCAGTGTAAAATGTCCGATCATTTTCAAAATAAAAGACTATTGCAGCAATGCGATTTCATATCTATGTAAATTACGTCGATAAGTGTGACCTTACGTCTCATTTATTACCAGCTTTTTTCGAGAAGTGCAACGGTGTGTTTTTCATGGCTTCAATCCTGGCAGTGGAGAGGAACATCATAAATGACATCACACAGTGACATCAAACGGGATCTTCTTTTTGATTTAATGGCGGACAGCCGAGACTCTCCCGGTGAGGATCGGCATCCACTAAAACTGTCCCGCTGCCGTTCCGCACCGCTGACGCCTCCAGTGAGAAGTTGGGATTAATTAAATATTTAAAATTCTTTTTGCTTTTTGTAAAAACCTCAATTTTTAAACTTAGAAACATTTTAAAAAACTCTGCCCACATGGTGGACATCTTATTTTACAAAGCAAGTCTAAATTAGCTTGATGTCAAAACAAAAAAAATTTTTTTTTATGTTTGAAGGTTATTGAATAAATTAGATATGTATTAATATTTGGTTCCAGTTAAAAGCTCGACACCATAAGAAAAAATATAAAATTAACAAACTAATTTTCCCTTTCTTTGGATTCCATCAGAACCTGATATGGTGGAACAAATGTCACTTTCCCCTCTGCCTCTCCTGTCTCACTTCTTGGACCGGCAGTGTCTCGCCTTGTGAGGTGTTGTGGGTAATGGAGTCCCCTTGAGGTCTCAAGCTGCTCTGAAAAAACTGAGTCGTTTCGTTGGCTTGCTCCTGGATGGGGCTCCCGAAGGTGCCGCCCTGTCCGCTCTCCTCGCCGCTGTGAGACGTCGGGCTGACGTAGACGACAATGACGTCTCCGGAAACGTTCATCACCTGACCGCTGGAGATGAAGGTCGTGTTGTGGTTCCCGGAAACCATACCTGAAGGGAAGATTTAGAACAGAAACGCACAAATCACAGGGATTAGTGAACATTCAGTCATAATTTAAATAAATCTGCTCTAGCATGAATAAATGCCTTGTGAGTCATTGTCTGTGGAGGAAAAAATGCTCTGGCAACTATATTTCAGGAAGTAGAAGATAGCCAGAGGAGTGGGAAGAAAAACAGCAGGATTTGGAGGCTTACTGATTATTATTAATGATTTTCGGACGTCTCCTCTCTGATTGGCTAACAGCAACGCAACTCTTCCGCTGCCTGCGTTCGCTTTTCAATGCTGATGTTTTATCTCCACAAATAACACAAGCCTGAAGGAGTTCTGCCATATTGTGGAGTCAATGCTAACAGTTAGCGTCTACTAGCCGAGAAGCGCTCTGCTCTCTCCTGGAGGCTAAATCAACAACTGCTTTCTGTGGTCGTGACGTCAAGATAGGTGAGTCCAGAGGTGCTAACTTACATAGCTCTGTGTGGTTTTTCTGACCCGAGCGTTTTCCTGTCTATTTTCAATCAGAAGCTAAGGGAGGAAATATGGGTAGAAGACCGTTATCACATTCAGCCTGCATGTGAAACTCAGAGTGGGTGGTTGCATTTTAAAAATAACAAGAAGAGTGTTAGATTTCCATTTAAAGTTGAGGAGCTGCAGTAAAACGAGGTATGTACATTTCCCCTAATTATTACGCTGATGAACTAAATCTTGGCTAACCTCAGGTGACTAGGACATTGAAGCGGCTTGCACAGCGGGTTTAATGACAATGCAAAATGACCACAGACAGGCCACGGAAACACAGACTCACATCATTTCCTTTCCAGCCACACTAACATTTAGGTTGCATGGGAACATCGAGACCCAAGAATTCCCTCGTAAACGGCTCGAGATTTTAAAGAGAAGGCGACATTTTGCTGCTTATCAGATCACTGTTATGAAAAATCCTTTAATCTGGCTCTACAAGGAGTATAAAAGTCATGTTTATAGCTCAGTGGCGGCATACTTCAGGTGTGGAAGGGGATCAGTTTTATTATTTACACTCGTCCACATTTAGCCTCCGCTTCCTATTTTATCCTGCCTCCTGTCTGGCTTTCCAGCCGACCCACTGACTCACAGCTCGTGTTTCAGAATCATCAATGTATTTATGCGCACGCACACACACACACACACACACACACACACACACACACACACACACACACACACACACACACACACACACACACACACACACACACACAATCAAAATCTCGATAAATGTAAGCAAATGCGTCCTAGCAAGCGTGTTTATTCCTGCGTGCACAACCATAAAAGCAGACAGTCCCACGGAGTTTGGAAAGACGAGCAAACATCCTCACACACACACAGAGAGAGTGTCTGTGTTCACATCTCAGCAGAACTTTTCCGGGAACGCCAGTGGAGTTGAGAAAAGGGAGGGGGGGTTACCACAGCTTTGAAAACAAAGCTAAGAAGAATCTGACTAATGTCTACAGATTTATCGTTTCTTAATGCTGCTCTGATTTTTCTGAAAGTGCAGCGTTCTGCTGCAAGTGTGGCAGGAAAGTGGAAAGCTACTCTCAAGTTGTCAACAACATGGTGCTCTTTTGTTTCAAGGCCTGAAATGACTGGAGGCTAAAATGTACCTGAGCAGGTGAGACCTCTCGCTTCTTCTTAACCTTTATATAGCAAAGGTGGAAAGTGTATCCAGTCAGTTGCATGATGGGAAATAATCTCAAACCAGGAAGAATGTCCTTTAAATACCCAGCTGTTAATGAGAGGCAAAAAATCCTAACACGATGTGTGTGTGTGTGTGTGTGCTGTATTTTTGTTGGGGAGGGTAAGGTTATAGAAGTATTACTCAAGCTGCACACATCTTGCTTCAATTAAAGCTGTGGTCACTTTGCGCAACCCCAAGGAACTCTGGGTAAACAGGAGCTTTGTACTTTAGAAGTTATAGTTCACTCACACACACACACACACTCACACACACACACACACACACACACACACACACACACACACACACACACACACACACACACACACACACACACACACACACACACACACACACACACTAAGCAGAGTTTGTTAAGAATGTGGTTCTGGTGGTTCTGTAAGGCATCAAACATGAATATCGTTTTCCTGCGTCCCGTGTGGTCCACCCTCAGAATTCAGAGACCAACCATCAATATGAGCTTTATTAAAACATATTTCTAGAAAACAATCGGACCCCGTATTTTTGTGCTGAAACCAAACCGCTGCTATGAGCTGTATTCAGCATCTACCGATGTTCTGTTTGGACCAACCGCTGACCCGATTGGGCTGCTTTCATAACGAAACATCACCACTCGGAGGCTGAGGCACAGAATGTATGTAAATAAGTTTCCCTCAGTGTTTTGGCAACACAAAAAGGTCCACGTGAATGATGGGACAGTAAAAATTTCCATTCAGTGCATCAACTGTTTCCTGGGTTGCTGATTATCTGATGACACGGCCGCTCAAGGCAAATCTCCCGTGGTGACAAATGTCGGTGAACGTGAGCGTGATGTGCAGGTCTGTGGTCGTCCAGTGTGACTGGTCCAGCAGCAGCTTCACGAGCTCTCTCCCTGTCAGAAAATCTGCGGCTCCAGTCTGCAACGGACCAACGACAATACACCCAGGAAGTGACGCAAGAACAATGTGAGAGAAGCCGTATCAACAATAGCAACAATGGAGGCTAGATGCAAGAACGTGTGGAGTCTGCCTCTTTGGCATTCAGTCCGGGGTCTATTGATGCTAGAGCTATTTTCCCTTCCAATTTTACCATCTTTGGTATCCGTCATGTATGCATTTCAACAAGTACACTTGTGACGTTAGCATGTCCTGCTAGAGCGAGCAATCGTGCTATTTGGCTGACTAAAATCTCGGGCTGTAAAGTGTGCCACCACCCTAGAGTCTGTGCAGGTGCGACATGAAGCAGTCTGTTGCGACAGCCGGAAAACACAGAGTGTACCAGGCTTGAGAGGTGGGATCTGGTGGAAAAGGTTGTGGTCAGGAATCGCCTGCTCTTGAACATGACCTATAGGAAAAGATGTGGTTGTTAACTTTCTGTGGAAATAAATCTCAAAGCAGACCCATCGACATCCTGGGTGATGAGGGTGAGGGTTAGAGGGAGACTCACTCATTCAGCTGTTGTTTTGTGTGGAAGAACATTACAATCTAACGTTCTGCAGACCAACATCACGATTATCGTGTTTTGTGAATATGTAAATTGCCAAGGATAGTATGTGCATGGAAACCGTTTTGCAATGGTCGTTGGATTTATATTATTCAGCCAGAGATAAAAAATAAGGGGTTCTCTTAGCCTGCGAGCGATCTTCTGTATGTGCAACTGAACAGTCTAACCATGACCCATAGACAGAGCTCAGTTGAAGGGGCAACATCTACAGTTGTCATTAAAAAAGTCTCTAAAAGTTATTGGACAGCAATTGGACCAATCAGAGCAAAGGACAACATGACATATTCATAGCAACAGAAATGAGTCAACAGGGCAGTCCGCCACACACCATAGAAGAAGAAGAAGTACCTCCATCTGCTCGGGTCTCAAAGTAAAGCCTAAATCTTCCCAAGTTGATGCCAAAGCCATTTCAAGTGAGTGCCATTATTGAGCCGCTGCCATCTCTGTTGTTTTGCCGTAATGGCACCAAGCGCACCAGACATCGCTACAAACAGAATGCTGTGATTGGCCTGGCCTAAACGTAGCTGAGCCAATGGAAGACCTGCTGAGGCTACAATGAAGCGTGGTAGAGCCACCTGCTATGGTTTTTCTTCACATAAGGAACACATGCTACCCATGTTTAAGGTATTGGGTTTATCCGTTGCAGATTTCTATACATAATCTTGAAGTATGACGTACCTGAAGTACCTGAGGTAAGACTTGGTTCAACCAGCCGACTGTGGAGGCTCTCCGGAGAACACCCCAGTTCCGACTCTCCCGAAGAGAGCTTGTTGTCCCTGGAGGAAACCCCCAGGTCTTTCTCCGACCCAGACGCCTCAGACGGTTTGTCCAGGTACAAATGTCCCGCGGATGTGGAGGTCATCAATGCGTTGACCAAGGTGGTGGCAGAAGCTGAGCTACTATCATGTGAGGCGGAGTTTGCATTTGCTAGTCTGGAATCTTCCTCCTGTTTTATGGGTGATGTGTCAGATAGGTTGGATCTGTACTGAGGTCTGACTGCAGCCTGGGACAATGGCACACAGACTTCAGCAGGTGGATTGGATATTGGGATCGTGGAGGAGGCGTGGATGAGAGAAGAAGAAACCGAGACAGGATATGTGACACAGGTCTCACCGTTAGATGATGAACTAATATTTTCAGGTCTTTGTCCTCCTCTTTCGTTCTCCTCTTTTCTGTTTTGCTGTCTCTTTTCTCCATTTCTTTCTTTTTCAAGAATGCCACATGAGCAGGTTCCGGACATCCCAGGATCCACAGCCTGGCTACAGTCCTCATTTTCCCCTACTTCCAGTGGTTCATGGACGGGGACGACGCATGTACAAGGCCCTGCCAAATGCAAGGGCGCATTCAAAACCTCTTCTTCTGAAAGCTCCTCTGGCTCCCCTGACACCCTGCCATTCTCTGCCACCATCTTCTCCTTGATGTCTTCTTTATCCACCATCTCTTTCGCGGAGGTTGGAGACACCCCGACGTTGGACACAGGAGGAGATGGAACGGTGCTCGGCGAATCGGTTCCAGGACTGTGAGGTGATTGGCAGATGAGTTTGGTGGTTTCACATGGGGAACTAGTTCTAGGGCTTTCTGCTACTGTTCCACTGTGGTAAGTAGGGCCCAAAGTTTCCTAGAAAGTATATAAACAATAAAAAAAAAGTTTTCATAAAGTGTCTTGTCTCCTTTATTTGCTTTGCAACAGAAACGTCACAGTACCTGCTGAATCCTGCTCCTCTTCAGATTCTGGACACAAGACCGCAGATTAACTAAAGATAATATAAACACAGCAGAATTAGCCAGTGACCCACACAGATCTGCTGCAGCCACCGTATGCGGACATACCAGAGAGGAGCTTCAGCTTGTCCTTGTAGCAGAACAGCAGCAGGATGAGGAGACACAGGGCAGTGATGACCAACAGCACAGTGACTAAAACCCAGGGAGATGCTGAGGAAGAGAAAAAAGTATGTTTTTGTTGTTGATCAGAAGTATTTTCCATTTCTTTAAAAGTGAATTGTGTAGAAATGGAGTGGAAATTACATTCTGTGGTTCCTGCAACCGCTTTAAACAACTGGAGCTTTTTGCCGGCCGTCGTCAAATTACAATTGTGGGCGCTGCAGCATTAGCTCGCAGGAGACATGGCAACCCCTCACTAACTAATGCTAAACAGTAGCGATGTCCCTCCTTCTTTTGTTTAGAAAGGAGATGAACGGACAATCCAGCAGCCCGCAGGATATGAAATATGTTTCAGTGTAACCTTCCTTCAAAAATGACTGAAACATTAGATTATTTTGGGATTTTAGCACTGTAAAATTCTCACTATATTCTTACATACTGCACCTTTAAAGTTCTCATTCAATTTTTCCATTTTCTGGGGTCTCTAATATAAATTGTTGCTTCTCTTTGGACAAAAAAAAAGTTTTGGTGCCCTTGTTTCAGGAAGTAGAAGTTTGGGGGGGGGGGGGGGACAGAAAAGGGCAGGATTTGGAGTCTTAGTCATTAATGAATAGTCGTTAATGACCGATGAAGGTTCTCAGTAATCCAGGTCTTGGTGATCCAAAAGGTTCGAATGAAGGCAACTGAACATCTCTGGTTTCTTGAAGACGTGTCGGTTCTGACTGGAGTATGGGAGAGTCGAGCTTTAAGCTGCAGCTGCCTGTTGTTGCCTAATAAGCCAAGATGTTGATGTCGTTAGTTCCTATTGTGTTGATCCAAGAAGGTGTGACCTAAACTGAAACTGTTTTGGAATTAGGTTTAGAGTTGCATCTTAGGTGCTGGGAAGGAGACATCTTGCCTCTTATTGGCTAACATCAACGCAACTCTTCCACTGCCTCCATTTGTTTTATCTTCACAAATTATAAAAGCCTGAAGGAGTTCCTGTTGAAGAGTTCCTAGCGCTAATAGGGGTATAGTAGTAGTAGGTATGATCGTATTTAAAAAATAACAAGTGAAACGTTTTCTGTAAAACCAGAAATGCTGTGAAGGTACTCGCTAATCACAGTCTCCCATGATCTTTTACTCATTGGAGGATGCGTTACCTGAAACGTGCTCTCCACACATGGCGTCGGCCTGAGCATTGCCTGGCTTTAACTCACTCCTGCCCTCAGCTTTACAACTGGAAAACAAACAGGAGTATGAAGATTTGTATCACATCACCTTCATTTTCCTTCTTAAACTTTGGTGGATGTACCTCCGCCACGGTTTGCACTGCTCATTAAGACCCCCAGCAGAAAAAAACCCATTTTTACACGGAGCACAGACTTTCCTTCCGCTGGTAGAGTCTGAAACATAAGCACAAGTACGCAATTACTTATTGGTGAATTGCACCCCTTAATAAATTGCTGTGTTATTTTTTGTCCTGGTGCATCACCATTTTCCAGCTCAAGTGTGTAACCGGGATCACAGGTGGGGATGGCCTCACAATATTCACAGTGGATGAGGTGACACTGGTAGCCGGGCTTACAGCGACACGGCTCCTCCGTCTCAAGACTTTCGGTCTTTTCATTTCTGCTCATGAAACCCTTACCTGGTAATAGGAAGGAAGAAGAAAAACTAGATTAAAAAGTCATTATCAATGTGTCAAATCGAAACGCTCACCTCTTTTGAACTTGTTGATTTCTTTCTAGATACAAATGTAATGATCTGAGCTGAAACTGCAGAAACTGACCCGTATCACAGAACTTCTTCGGGATACAGGTTGCGGCATCTGTCCAGCCGGGCTGATACTCGTGATGATTGCAGTTTGAACATACGGTCTGTTGGGATTCAGTGCAGGGACTCAACACGCGGGATCCTGATGAGAACACAATCAGAGGAAGGGAGGAGAACTTTGTTCATTGAATTTTAAAAATGCATAAAATCCATACAATTGCAAATTTTTGGGGGGCATTTTTAGCACACAAAATATAGTGTGTGTGTGTGTGTGTGTGTGTGTGTGTGTGTGTGTGTGTGTGTGTGTGTTTTACTACCTGGCTGACACTTGTTGCAGCATCTGGAGTCCTTAAAGTACTGTTTTTCCCCACACAGAAGGGCTTTGGAGGTTACATTCTAAAAATAAAGAAAGATAAATGATAAATTTTGTGCTTTCTGGGTGTCAAAATAAACGATTTACCAAATATGATATTTTACATGATTTTGTTTCTCACACTCAACCCTTTTAGTCTATATTTAGTTTCCACATCTTACAGAAGCACTGAACTTCATTGAAAATAAAAGCAATCAAAATAAGCAGAAATAGAAAAAGAGGTAATCAAAAATTCTGAAAAATAATGGAGATGTTTGAATAAGAAGATTATTGCCCTAAATTATCATTACTTAAATCATCAAGTTTTTTTTTCTTGAGCAGTATTTAAATAATATTGGACATAATTGTTCACATAGCACAAGCTCAGCACTTAGAGTAAGGCTACAAACAGTTTCCAGATGTGGGTTTAGTTTTAAGATCATTTTTACTGAAACAAACGGAAACATCAAGAAAAAAGAGGTCGAGATCTACATTTCAAAGACACGCCCAGGAGGATTATTTTCCATCCTCTCAAAAACACCCGATCACTAAATTTGCACATCATCCTGCTGCATGAATAAAATTAGCTTTACCAGAATAAAATCCACTCTGACACCACTGGTGCTGTGAGAATCGCCACGGTGCCCACACATCTGCACTTTAAAATCCCCATTAGTGCAAAGTGCACTGTGCACTCGCTCACACACGCAGATCAAGCTGCACACACCCTCCAGTCTCCATAAACTTGTGGCTCCTCACCACACTGCTGAATTAGAGAATCCAGCTGTTGTGACAGAGGTGATGCCAAAGCCACAGACTCTAAATATAAAAAGGTAGAAAAATACAACCTAAAGGTCTGACTGCATGTTGAACTCAGACCGACAGCTTTTTCCAGTTTTGCCTTTTTTAGCTTCCATTTATCCATGAAATGGAAAAATCTTTTTTAAATCTAAATCAAAACTAGAATGGATGACTTTAGTTCTTCACTGACGGACCATGAAGACAAATAAAAGCGTTTTTAACACTGCTGCTTTCAAACTGGTTTCAGTGGTTCTTAAGCAATAAACGTCACATGGGCCAGCACTCTGCTTTCCTATGCCGGCTAGAAACTACACTTGCCGTAAGCTTTTCACAACCTGTTAATGAGAAGCACAAGAATAAGAAGAATTTAGCTTTTTTACAGCATGACAGAGCCTGAAAGTAAAAGTAAGAAAGGAATGTCTTTGGAGCGACCTACGCTAGTTTGAAGAAGCTAAAGGACGCTACAAAATCATAAACTGATGGTGACCTGGCTTTGTTGCCACTGGACTTGCAATGATATTTTTGTTGTTGATGTTTTTGTTTGATGGCTTATTTAGTCAGTTTGGCTAGTGTTAGCATTAGCTCATTGTTAACGCTAGCTAACTACAGGGCTGTTTATGAAGTGGGAAACTTCTTGTGTTTAAAGGTGTGGATCACTCATTTAACCAATACATTTTCAGCAGTCTCTAGTAGGAATGAATGGCTTGTAAGTCGTACTCTGGGGAAAAATATCACGGGAACCAGCAGTGACCAGCATCGCAGCTGAGCTTCAAACGGCAGGTTTTGGAGTCTTTTTTCCTGATATTTGGGCATCTTCCTTCTGATTGGGTAACAGCAACACAACTCTACCACTGACCTGCAACGTTTGGAGAAGTTCTGCTGTGTGACGGAGGTGTTAATCTATAACTGATGCAGTTTAGTGTCTTTGTTTGCAGTTTTTGGCCCCAGAATAAGAAGAAAACAGCAGGAGGACTGGCGTGCAATTAACGACCTCCCCTTGGAGTCACCCAGCAGCCAGCCTTTGTTTTCTGATTGAACTAAAGACATAATGCAGCGCGGCCCATAATGACAACCATGCGCTGCATCAGACTGAAAAGACAGAAATATGAAAGCTCGTCCCTTAGATCACAGCTTACTCAGAATGGTCTGTCTTCGTTTTCTGTCAGCCATATCAAAACTTTGGGTGTCCATTTTGTGTTTTAACTCACTAAAAAAGAAAGCTTATCCACCCTTGAAGATCACAAAACCATAAAAATAAACATAATTTATTGTTTTGTGCTCAAATGCATAATTACGAATGTGTGGATTTTAAATGGATTAAGGTGGAAAAGATGGAGTGGAGGGGAAAACAGACAAGGAGCCATTCACCTTTTCATGCTCAATAAGTCATTGTTTCCTGGATACTTTGTTTATTAAAAATAAAAACTTTCCCCCCTCATGAGATTCCATTAAACACAACCGCCGCACCAAGAGCATTCCTCTTGCTCCCAGAGGAAGGTGAGGATTTGCATAACGGCTGCAGCACTTATGGGCACAGAGCCAAGAGGCGCTCAGTGTGACTTTTACGCCTCCGGGGGTTTTACTGATCTGTGATAAGAAGCAGTGAAAACATATTTCTCAACAACCCAGTCTTTGAGAAGAATGCTTGTACCTGTGATTTGTTTATGCTAATGTGTTATAACGCTATCTTGTGAGGAAACATATTTTTACTGTTAATGATCTCTTCTCTGTAAAGTTTGTCTTTTGAACAGTATGGGACTTTTTTTGAAGGGGGGAGCTAATAAAAATTGGTAAAAAGTTAATCAAATGTCATAAACAGAGATAAAAATAGAGAATATCTGAATGAATTGATTAAAGCTGGTTTGTGCACTTAATTTGTTGCACAAAAAGACATCCTAGATCCTCCTGGTTCCACAAAACGGTCCACTGCAACCACACAAGTTTTGTTTGAGTGCTTTGAGTTTAGATTTGCAGATTTGACTCAGTGGCTGTGGTGAGATCAACATGCCACTAAGTACCTAAAGTGGGTGGAAAGCTGCACTTCAGAGAAATTTAAGAAAGTGATTGTTTCGCTCAAAAGCAAACCTGCACCCTAAGCTGTTGTGATGCCGATAAATGGATAGATGCATTAAAGCTGCTTAACGCAGAAGAAACATGCAGAAGTGACACTCGTGTGTAAAAATCCTAAGTATTTATGATTGATTGCAAAGATTCGTGAGCATCTTGAAGTAATTGCAGATTGCTCAATGTCTCAGTTCGAGGTGAATTTGGAAAGGATAGGATGAAGTGGCTGAAAACCTACAACGTGGAGGGGAATTTTGAGGGGATAATGTGAGTCAATAATGGCAAGACCACGGCGAGGACAAGCCCCAGCCAGAGGTTTGCAGCGTCACCTAAAAAATCTGGAAAATATTTTTGCACTTTTGACTCTTTTTTTTTCCAGGCATCCGAATCATGCTAGAGCTCAATACCATTTGTTTCTTTGGCTGTTGCTGGTTTGGATTGATGCACGAAGCGAGATCATGATGCATGTTTTGTTTTTGTGCAGGACTTAAAAAAAAGGCACGGAAGCATCTGTTCCAGTCAACAAGCAGTGGTAGATCACTGGAGCCCTGAAGTCCCACCGCTGCAGCCACATATGAACCACAACACCTGGGCTCTGTTAGTGCTGCATGGACTAAACTAAATGACAAAAACACCAAAACTCGAGATCAGCTGAAGTCTAAATTGCGACATGAGGAAGCCCTACATCTGGTCCGCTTCTAGTAAGGTTCCATGATGACCCATGTGGACCAGAACGTCCCTTTGACATTGCACATTTGTGGTTAGAAGAGAGGAACACAGTTTGTGCGTAAAAGCGGTGCTATTGTGGAAATTATCTCATGTGCTCACAATGCTGCTGAATATAAATAAATGATATTTACCTTCAATGTTTTAAATGTTTAGTTATTCGTTGTTTTTACACTTTAAAATAACGAAAAGGCGCGTCTTACCTGTGCGTAAAAGATGACAAGGGCGCACAGGATCCATCCGCGGAGCATCCGGCTTGTTGTGGAGGTCACCTCCATACTATTGCTGCTTTTTATGACCCGTTCTTCAACTTCTCACCAGATAAACCGAGATCAGATGTTTCTACACTCCTTCAAAAATCCTTAACGCAAACTTCTTCTTTCTGGAGGCGCGAGCGGCGGTAGTTTCCACGCAGCTTGTCTGCACATTCCTGCGTCTTCATTCCCCCGTTAGTTAGGAAGCTGCAGCTCCCGGATCTCCTCTCATCTTTCCTCTGCTCTTCATCCACGCGCTCTGGAGGAAGCTGCATGCAACAGCTTGTAAAAACTATGCGCGCAGAGGAGCAGAGGGAGGCAACTCCTCCCACCTTACACCCCCCCCCCCCCCCCCCCCCCCCCCTCAGGTCACAGATAGGAGGACCTTTAGGGAGAAGTTGAGGATCTATCACAGATAATTGGACTGATTGTTATCTGTGATGGCAGTGGCAGGACGGCCTGGGGAGACCAAAACACTGAAACCGATGATTCATTTTGTTTTGGTCATGAATGACGCAAAGATTTAAGGTAAAGGTGTTTTTTTCAGGTCACTTACATTTGCATACTTCATTTATTCATTGTCATCATTTTTATGAACACACATTTCTTTTAGTTTATTTAATCATCAGTTTTATTTTATTTTTATTTCTGGTTTGTTCATACCTTCACACACAAACAATTAAATGAAATTAAAGCACTTTAGCAATTTTCACCTAATTTCAAATGCCCCCCTTTCTCAATTTCAGTGGCTTATAGCATCAAACTATGTTTAAATCAACTTATTCAAATAAGTAGTTTAATTCATTTTAAAGACACATTTCTCTTTGTTTGATCTAAAGGTGTTTAGGTTCAGTCTAAAAGTCAGTTTTTAATTTCCTTTGAAGGATTTGGTGGTTTATTAGCACATGACGCCACGATCACCTTAATATTTTGAATATACTGGAATGCCATTCTTAAGCTGGAGAGTCAAACACATGCCATTGCTCATTTAATCAGTCAAATACGACCTCACATTAGAGCCGGACTCGTTCCAACTCCCCACTGGAGATATAGTTATGTGGACTCTGTCAAAGATGTCACATCTCAGTTGAGCCGTCATGGAATTTAAAATACTTCCTGGAGTCTGGGTTCAGTCAACAACCATTTCCACAGTGTACAAACGTGTTTTGGAACAGCTTAGCTATCACCTCCAGGAAATAAAACAACTTTTACCAAGAAAGAAGAAAAAACAACAACATGGCATGTATTCCCTGTGAATTTGCCTAACCCGGCCTACCTTGGCAGCAAAGAGAAGGAAGGTTACAAAAACTGGAGAACACGTTCTCCTAAATTTGACAGTTATGCAAATCTTAAATCAAACTGCAGATCCCTGGGTGGATTGGTTAACTTGAGAGGGAAAGAAAAAAAAAGAAAGCTAAGAAATTGTGAGATCTTTTCTTGAGATTAAAAACTAGAAAAGATAAAAAGTCACAGTTGTATCAGTAGTTTTGGTTTCAAAAGCCAAAAGCTATAGAAAAACGTCAATTGAACACATTTTTACTCAAGTAAAATATAGTCATTTAAAAATGACTTCAAAGTACAAAGTTTTCGGTAAAAAAGGTTCAAGTAATGAGTAAGTTTGTAAAATCAAAAATGCTGATTTCATTTTTTCTAATTATTTAATCAGATTAATCAAATAATAAAGTTACCGACAAATTCCTGTGGTTTCGAAAAACAAAATAAAAATGAGTAAAAATCACACACAAAAAAAAAGAAATAAAAATTCTAAATGGCTGAAATTTACAAGGAAGTTTTACCAAACAATCCTTACAATAGTTCAAACTGACTAAATACGTTTTACTGACTCATGGTAGAAATCTTGGCGTCATAACTGATTCAGACCTGAGCTTCACTGGTCACAGTAAGGCTATATCTAGATCAGCGTTTTATCATCTTCATCAAACAGCAGAACTCAGAGGTCTCATGTCCAAACAGGACCTAGAGAAACTCATTCATGTGTTCATCTCCAGCAGGCTGGACTACTGCAAGTCTATTGTCTGGTCATCCCAAAACAGCTGTGAAGCAACTGCAGCTTATTCAGAAGGCTGCTGCTAGAGTCTTAAGGACCAACAGAGTCAAGCACATCACTCCTGTTTTTAAATCTCTACACTGGTTACCAGTAAACTATGGAATGGAAATTCAAAGTGCTACTACTAGTTTATAAACCACCAAATGCTGCTTTTAGCTAAAACGCTTTACACAGATGGAATCAGCTTCCTCACGACCTCAAATGTGTCCCAATTCTGGTAACTTATATCAAAATTCACCAGCCTTGAAAGCTTCTTATGCTATCACATTCATTTTAATATTTCATGTTCTTGCTCCTGGAGAGCACATTGAATTGCTTCGGTCTATGAAATGTGCTATTTGGATGACAACGCCTTGCCTACTGTATTTTCAAAAACTGTAAACATCTTTCTGTTGCATTTCTGGTTAAAAGTTGCTTGATCATCATTAAATGAAGTAACTAGAGGTGGTAGAGAAACTACAAGTAAAAGTAACGTGCACAACTCAATAAAAGCACTCAGTTTTTCTCAAGTGAAGTTAAAGAAATGTCTGAGTAAAAGTAACTATTTACCACCCAACCCTAATGTCTACTAATGGGAGGGGGTTGATGGTCGGTTTTCCTATAAAAAAATTTGAGAAAAAAAAAAATGCTGACAGAAGCCATTTTGTGGTGGGGCCTCTGCTGCCACCATCATAGTAATTAAGATTCAACTTCAGCAAACAAAAACCTCAGCTTGACTCTGAACGCACCACAAACATCCATTCACCTTCTTCCAGTAAAGCTAAACTGTTGGCGTAGTGAGGTCCCCATTAAGAGCGTCTTAAACCCAGCGGCATAAACGGCAACGTGCTTTAGATGTGTTAACATATAGATCTACAGCAGACAGACGCCACCGTGGTCGTTTTAAAGCTGTCGTTAAGCTGTATCGCAACGTTAACAGGTCAAAGTTCACAACAGCTCATTTGTACACAACAAACCACAGAATGGTATCGATTAGCTGAAAACACACTCGCTCCAAAGAACAAAACCAGCTTTGGCCGGTTTTGGTACAAGGATTTTGGAGGAAGTTTCAAGGGTTTGGTCTGGTGTCCCAGGAGCGCTGTGGAAAAAGAACATGCACATCAACCGAGAGCGGAATAATAATGTTCAGTCACAGCCACGATGTTCCGGTGGTTTCAGGACTGCATCTGCAAAGCCTCTGCTTTGGAGACAGATGGGATCTATGAGTCAACTTAGCAAAGTTAGGAAAAACAAAACTGTAGCTAAAGGCTTCGTACTGAAAATAAAATAAAAACATGGGAAAGAAGTTTTTGAAACACTCAACAGTGAGTACACTACCAATTCGTGTAGAGCTGTGAAAACTTCACTAAACAGTTGCCAATTATTCAAAGAGCGACAATTCCGGATCATTTCCCAAGGTCAGAGCTTGAAATGGTCAGAGGAAATGCAACTCAGGCAACAAGGCGTAGATCAAAGTTCAATAGGTCAATGGCAGAAGAACTGGAAAGGAGTACTTACAAACAAGTTATGGGGAAAACAGGCTGCAATGCTTAGTTTTTGAGGTTTTATTGAATACTATGGTAGTTTATGCTGCAAGCAGAAATGTGAATATGTTTGCCATAATGCTATACTCCATTTTTAGGAAAAACAAAGAAAATTTTATTGGTACTAAATTATTAGACCAGTGGTCAAGCACAGCAAAGAAGGTACTATAATTGGGTTTGACATGCAGCATCAAAACCTGAACATTATAGCCACAAATTCACCATAAATTCTGTTTTGTTTAAAGTTGCATGAAGTAAGACCGACATTCTCAAATCATCCTTCTAAAATATGGACCTGCAGTCCATGCTTCAAAAACACAAGAGTGACTTCCCTCCTCTCGTTTGTGAGTTTCATGGCTGTTGCCGGTTATGGATCAGTGCCAATAGCTTCTGGATTACGAGCAAAGATGAGTTGATAGGTAGATACGTTTCACTGTATAAGCGAGCTGTTGGTGTTAAACAAGTAGCTTGACATTTTTAGAGCAGACTGTTTGTAATTCACCATTAGCATTGTTAGCTCAACGTAGCCTCTCGTCTTCTTCACTTGATATCAGAGTAAAACAAAGTTTCCCTGGCAGCTCCTGTTACTGCAATGCTGTCCACACATCTGAAGCTTTCTGCCGGCTGGTGTCGAAATATAAATGTTAGTGCTGCTGTGTTAGATAGCCCAGACTCAGATTGTAAACAAAGGCTGTTTCGCTCTTTGGCTTTTATTTATTTATTTTTTTTAAGGAGAAAAACTGGCCCAGCCAGCTGAGAAAGAGATCTGTTTCAACGCAGCATTCCTTCCAACATGACTGTAACAGACCGTTTTCTGATCCTTTCACTGTTTTTCAAGGGCTATTCCATCCCAAAGTCAGATTCTCCTAGTCTGGCAGTATTCTGTTAGCTTTAGCTTAGCATAAACAATGTAAGTGAATGGTAACGAGTAGCATTTCATATGAAAGTCATGATTCAATAACGATCCTGATTTTTTTTTTGGGTGACCTCAATCATTGCTGGGAATTGCTGTAAAGACACTGAAACAAGTCAGTGACTTGATGCTAATAAACCATGGAGGAACACGGGGCAATTTTGACTTTGACTACATTACGACAGCACCGCTGGAAACCATCATTGCAAGGCACAAGGACACGATGCAGCGGCCACAAAACTCATACGCTTACTGCCATTGAAATGGGTGAAATGTTGTAAATGTTATAAACTCAGAAGTGACAATGACTGCTAGATGCATCATGTCCTTCTGTCTTGCAACGCTGGCTTACAGCAGTGCTAATTGTTACCAATCACTTACATTGTCTATGCTAAGCTAATGCTAACATAATCAGCCAGATTAGGAGAACGACTAGGCTGGTTGCAAAAGGCTTTTACCCACTTATCTAACTCTGGGGAAAATAAGACTAAATTTCACTTAGAGGTGGAATATCGCGTTAAAAAAGTTAAAATGGGGTCATCTATCAGAACAGTGATCCTTAACACTCAAAATGATTACAAAAGACAAGATGTTGTCAAAATCTGGACCTCAATCCATTTAGCACGAGGTGGTAGAACCATAGAGCAGGTGTGCGTAAGCAAATGTCTGAAAACCGCAATAAACCCAAGCCAGATTGTAAAAACGAGTGCTTAAATTCCTCCACTATGATAACAGACCGATAGGGCTGTAAAGACAATTTCTTCAGGTTATTGCTGCTAAACGTGGTCTGTTTTTGACTCAAACAGGAAACACACCAGTTTAGAATTACAGCCCGATAAAGACCAGGTGACGCAGCGTGGGTGACCAAAGTGCAGACTCACTTTCTAGCGTATTTTTACATCCAGAATTGTTTTGAAGAGGAAATAATTAAACCATTTACTCTGAATGCAAATCACACACGCATCAGGCATCTGTCCCTGCAGATGCATATCTACAGACACACCCACACAGTCTGGCATCCCTCCCCATCACGCACGAATCAAGTATTTGCCCACCTGGCCAGTAATCAGTGAAGGTGGTTGAATATTAGCCTCGAATATGCAAATCCTGCTCTTTGAGAGATAGCGAACTCAGATTGCTCAACTATCACGTAAAAAATAAGCATTTTATCGATTCTGAATAAAAATGGATTCACGTGACTGATGAGGTAAAAGCTGATTTCACAACACTTCTGTGAAGCGTGTCATTTTGTAATATTTTAAAACAAGTTGCATGAAGAATTGTGAATGTCCCTGAAATTGGACTTTGGTTTGTTGCACTAAAGGAGACAACGGACAACATCAAAGGGTTGGAAGTAGAAGAAAATGGTAAATGTGTGTTTTACGACTTTCGACACCTGCCGACACCATCCCAGAATGCTCTCCCACCATCCCACAAGAACCAGAGCCACTGCAAGCACATCAAAGTGCACAAATGACCTCCATCTTTTATTACATTGTGACACAAATTTCAAATATACACAACGAGTACCATCCTCCTCGGTTCGGTGTATGATACAGGTGTTTGCCGGTTCTCGTGGAGCATAAAATAAATGAACTACTTCAGAAAACAACTTGGAGACGCGGCAACGTTTAGACAAGATGCAACAAACGGAGAAAAGGTACTTTAGATCAGTGTTCTCGTCCACTTCATGATGCTGAAACGGACGGAGATAAAAGTAGTGATGGTTATATATATATAAGACTCTAAATTAAAACAACAAAAAACACAAGATAAAGAACAAAACTGTAAAGTGAAGTGCAAATTTCTTTGGAAGCAGAGATAAAGTATGCTTGTTTTCCTTCATTAAGACATACGTAATAAAACAGAAGCTTTCAAAACAATAGAAACAATGATGTTAAAGGAAATAAAGGCAAGACGAGATTTTGTTTCAAGTAGGCAACATTTCTGAGCCATCAATCTGATTTCTCCCCCAATTCAAGTCTTTAGAAACCCTAAAATATCCCCGAATAAAATTCCAGCAGGCTAAGCTCAGAGACCCCAGTGAACGCCTTTGAAAACACAATACGCTGAAAATGGGATGAAATCTGGTGGTCTAGGAACGTCCGGCGTTTATGTGTCAGCAGCGGCTCCTCCACCTCACTCGCTTCCTTTATGAAATGAAAAACGTTAACACTGACACATAAAAAGAAATCTGCAGTCCTCAGCAACGTTGAGACGAAGAACTTTAGAAGCCGTCTCTGTCCCCCTCACAGGTAGCTCTGCTGCAGAATTGTATTTGTTTAAATGAGACATTTAAGCAGAGCCAGATAAATAAAATCCCCCCAAAGACAACAGCGTTGGGGGACTTGTCAGTTTTTGGGTTATGGATCTTCAGTCGATCACTTCTTTCTCTGGAAGACATTGGCTAGCATGGCTCCAGAGGTGGTTAGCTGACCCATCTTGCTCAGGAACTTGGTCTTGGCGTCCTCACCCACCAAACTGGATGCAATAGATATCGATCTATAATAAAAAAACAAAACAAAAACAAATCAAAACAAAATATTTAGATTTAATTTACAGTATTTCTGAAGGAGAATAGGAAACACATCAGACGATACCGGACCAGACCTGTGCTCTACATGTTTGCCAGTAAAGCCCTCCTGGTGTTTTACTGTCTAACGGCTCTTCCAGTTCCTCTTTTGGGTTAGTCAGACGCTGTGACTGATATAGCGGAGGCGCTGCGTTGCTCAACAGAAGGGTAAACATCATATCTCAACAGTAAAGTCAAGGCAGTGAAATTAGGAGGTACTGGTGTTTACACAGGAGTTGGTCCATCCCAGTCCGTCCATGTAACAACTTTTGTCTCGTTTTGTGGACGAGTCAATATTTTCATAACACTTAAGATGATCACTGAGTCTTTTTGCGAAATTACCAAAACTCTTAAGATTTTTCCCGTTTGTCTCTCCAAATCTTTACCCATTAACTCAGGTTTCAACATCGGTTTTCCTTCTCTGTTAATGATAAAAGCCTTTTGCACATCGCCTAAAGCAAAGGCAATGACACCCCAACCTCATCCTAAGCAGATGGCCGAGCCGACTGAACGATTCACGATGTGGAGGAGCAGCGGATCTACTCCAAGCCCCTCCCGGATGACAGAGCTTCTTATCCCATCTCTAACGGCGCATTTACACTACGGTCAGCTCGGACTAGCCAGGTGGGGACAGCCTGCACCTGCACCGTCAGGTTGTGCTTACATGGCCTTCTCAGGTCATGGCCGAGAACATGGGCAGGCTTCGCTTAGCAAAGTGGCACGGAGAAGTCTGTGGCGTCATAGACGGGTGGGATAAGATGGTTGAAAACAATGAAGGACCTAGAGGCACTACTTGCTACTTGGACTGTGGCTCTTTTTGAAGAAAAACCTTTGTGCATGGAATACAAGAAGGCATCACCAAAAAAGGCTTAAGGCCCAGAAGAGGTGCAGAATCCTCCAGGAAGCCATTCTGTAACATGGAGAAACATTTCAACAGCTATGAAGTAGACAACGCGTAAGGGTAAGTGATTGCTGTTGGCGTATACAGTGATCCCTCGTTTATCACGGTAGATGCGTTCCAGACCTGGCCGCGATAGGTGAAAATCCGTGAAGTAGGGACACCATATTTAAAGTATTTATTTAACAGGTACGTATTCAGTATTCTAAAACCCTCCCTTTACATAGTACTGTATTTTTACTTGTTTTTTTATAGTTTTATTACAAAAAGTGCATTTTATGATATTGATGAAAAAAAAACCCAGGAATTTCTTGATATTTCGCATAGAAAAATACCACGAATCAGTGAAAAATACCGCGAATCAGTGAAAAATACCACGAATCAGTGAAAAATACCGCGAATCGGCGAATTTCCCTTGAATAAGGCTCCAAAGAAAAAATCCGTGAAGTCGTGAATCCGCAAAAATGAACCGTGAAGTAGCGAGGGATCACTGTATATAGCTGCTGAGGCATGAGAGCGACATCACTATAGCCAGCTCATCAGATCATTGGAGGGTGCAGGGAAGTTGGCTCCAAACGGACATCGCTGTCCAACCCGGGCCAGGCCGAGCCGACTTAAGGGACCCCCTGTGGAGAAAGCTTGTTTGAACCGCTTGTATTCTCAATCTCATTCTGTCGTTCAGTACCCAATCTCACCAAAGATGGAACAAGGATCGAGCGGTGAATGAAGAGCTTCAGCTTACGGCACAGGTCTCTCACCACTACCCATTTATTTAAAACCCAGTGTGATGGACTCTCGTCTCACATCCACCGACATCATCATGGTAATAATCGCTTATTGCCTGGTGTTTTAAAACAGGAGCATCCCTGATTTACTCACAGGCTCCTGACAAACAGTTACACGGTCGTTAAAAGACCAGTCTACGTGGGATTACGTGTCTACTTTAGCTTTGTGGTTGCTTCACGGGAACGATGAAATGGAGATGTTTTCCTTGGAAGTGACTCACCCTTGTGTGTCGGACATTCCTCTGTTCTCCACCTTTATCTCACACTCCTTAATCATAGAGCTGAGAATCACCTGTAAGGAGAACCACACGGTTCTGACATGTTACACAAACATGCCGGCCCAACAAAAACAATAAATAAGAAACAAACGTGTGACGCTCTGAGGAACAGCTGTTCTGGACCTTTTCTATCAGAATGCATTACGCAACACACGTTCAACACATGTCTTAAGGCTTTCGTTGCCACTAAATGCACTGTGATTTATTATCATGTGATTGTTTAGTTAAACAATGCTGATTGCATATTTCTTCAAGTTGACGCAGCAATAGCTCGCTCCTGTTGTATCGTTGTGTCCCATTTTTTTTCTATTCTTTCGCTTTCTGCAGGTCTAGAAGCAGACTCTTGTTCTTTATTGTTTATTTTTGTGGACCCCCCACCCCCACCCCCTCTCTCTCCCCACCTTTTGTCTTTTCCTTTCTCTTTCACCTCTGTCTCCGTGTCTGGTCGGAATTACAAAGCATTCAAAAACAATAACAAGAAAGTTTTAAGTATCAGGCGTGACATTAAAAGCAGATGCTTTGATGCTCCACCTGAGAGTAAATCTGTAAGGCTTGTCACCAGCATTCAGACATCAACTCTGTTTGCTTCACAGCCAGACTGGACAGTGGGAAAAAAAAAGAATGCATTATGGGAATAAAATGAAGTAAACAGAGTAGATGAACCCAGAGAGAAAGAACCAGCTGATCATTCATCACCTTTGGAAAATGCTCACATGAAACAGAAGGCATGCGACTCTGACACATACATATTTTAGGTGTGTGTATGACTGAAAGTGTTTATTTTTGCGTGATGTCCTGAGAATTCAAGAACAGGAGACCGGTGCAGCTGCGCATGAGCATGCAGACGAGGTACCGTGTTTGTGGACGAATAAAATAACTCACAGGAGTCTGTGTGTGATTAGATAGAAAGAAAAAAGCCGTATCATCTGCTGACCTCGTGCTCCTGAGAGAGCTGCTCCATGTCGGCGTGCAGACACCTTAGCCCCGGCAGGAAGTGGTTGACCATGACCTCCTCAGAAATGACTGCGTAATGAGTCAAGGACTGAAATCAAAGAGGCTAGTGAAGCATTAATAATCATATTACAATAAGAGCAGTTTTCAGGCCCTTCCTAGAAATGTTTCCCACATTTTGTTATGTTTCCGCATCTCAATGTGGATTCAATTAATCCTTCTTCTTGTACGTCTACACACAAAAGCTGCACAATGACAAAAACATGCTGGAGTATTAAGTTCAGACTCTTTGTTTTAACGACCAGAACCAAACTCGGCATAATCCCTGAAAGTTTGTGTACTTTTCTAAATAAGTTTTTGAACATTAAATGTTCTTTAAACAGCAATGTATACTTTTTAGAAATGCTGGTCCATTTATGACAAAATTGCTTAACACTATAAAAAACTAACATGGATGGACCCCCACGTCCCTGGTTTCTGGATAACACCCTGATGCGCAGTCACCTGCCATGACTGGCTGAGGTTTTTGTCTTTTATTTCCCCAAAAACTTAAATAAGGCTTAATTTTTCTCATTCAAAATACTTGTGAATTAACGATAGATGGTCCTAAATGCCAAATAAATAAAAATAATAAATATAAAACGTGGGTGAATTTGGTCAAAAGGGCTAATTTTTAAATTAATATACTACATGCATCCTAATAACTGTAACACACTCTTCACATGTTTTAACAAAAAAGCCCTTGACCGCCTTCTGTTGGTCTAGAACTCTGCAGCGGGGCTCCTAACTGGAGAAAACAGAAGAGCACACATCACTCCTGTTCTACTGACTCTGCACTGGTTACCCGTTAACTTTAGAGTTCATTTTAGAGTCCTGACTATAACTTTCAGTGCTCTACATGGTCAAGCTCCTCCCTATATTACTGAACTGTTAAAGTCTTATGCTCCAGCCCGAGCCTTCAGATCTATGCCATATAAATAAATATAGTCCTGCAATATAAATAAAATTTACTTACTACTAATGAAATACTTTATATACTTATAAAACATGCTTATGGATATGAATGTGTAGGTATGTATGTGTGTGTATATACACACATATATATATATATACACACACACATACATATATAATATATATATGTGTGTGTATGTGTGTGTATATGTATGCATCATGGTATGCATGTATTTACATATTTATTCTATTTTTTACTTTTATTTTTTTAAATTTTATTTTATTTTTATGGTAATTCATAGTTTGTGCTTTTTTCCTGATAAAGGAAAGCATTCTCATTTATTGTATGTTTTAGAGAACTAACATCTACTGAAGCTAAATTCCTTGTAAATGTAATTTTACTTGGCCAATAAATCTGAAATCTCAATCTGACTCTTCTGATTGGCTGAGATACTTGCATCATTACCATTTCTGAGGTGAGCTAATTCCTACAACGTTCTGTGTTGAATTTGTAAATGATAATACTTTGTGAGCTAAATGGAATGCTCTGCAGAAAATAAAGGTTACATTTAGGAAATTTTAATTATATATGGTATGGTGTATATATATATATATATATATATATATATATATGCTCTATTTAATAGCAAGAAATAATAACAGTATTTATTGTACATCACTTTACTTCCATAGAACATAAACGGAGTCATTTGTCGCCAAGTACAGAAGTCCAACACTAAACTATAAATTCAAGCGCACATTTCCTCTGTCCACAACTGCGTGTGTTCTGCCACATGTCAGTGAGGCTACGTGGGACGAGCGGTGAACAAATCTGTATTTTTAGAGATGGGAATGTACGGCTTCAGCTCTCGTTGCACCGATTTCACAAAAATCTGAGCTGTGGGAGGTAGGTCCTCTGCGGTTTGGGCTGCACCTCCTGGACAACACTGCAGTGAAATGACAGCCTGACAAAAATCCACAGGAATGAACCTCAGACCAGCTGCCCTTCATCAGTGTGTGTGTGTGTGTGTGTTGGAACTGGGTGGGGCACGGTTAATGAAGGAGAAGAAACTAGAAAAAGGAACACAGTGATAAAGACGAAAACAACAAATGTTAGATTAATAAAAATTCATTCCTGAAAGCTCCTCCTGAAACAGGCTCTGCTCAGTAATCTTCTACTTTCACACACTTTCTCCTGCTCTCATCCTTTCCTTTGCTTTACTTACCCACCCCTGTAATTACATCTAGCCCCAAAATGGAGGCAGCTCACCCCTCCTTTTGTTTGCTGCTGCCAAATAACAGGCGGACTCTGCCAACGCACACAGTGAACCGATCTTCGAGGCACCGCGGCCACAATGATGCGTACCAGCACACAGTTCCACATTCAGGAGCAAATCCCAGCATTGTAGAGTGTTTCACTAGTAATTCTGACTTAATCCCAGCCAAACATGACAAAGACTTCTAGTAAATCCTCTAAAAATACACACAGGAGAGTAAAAGTATGGGTGATTGATGCAGATTGCTCCTCAGGGTGATATTTGTGTGTTTATGCACCAATAGCACAACCCCAACACTTCTGTGAGAAAAAAGGATACAGCAGCAGGAGAGGGCACTGTAGGCCTCAAACAGATGGATGGAAATGTCAATCTTCTTGCTTTCCACTGATTGGCTGTTATTAGCCAACGCAAGCTTATGAAGGTGAGGGAGCACAACTGAAGGGAACCAAAGAAAGGTTAAAAGTCAACAAATGGTTCAATAAATGAAGAGAAAATCAGAAATCTGATAAAAGTAAAGATTTTTGTGATATTTCTGACATACAGTCGTCTCTGAAGCGTGGCTCTGCGTTAGGCCCGACCCGGCCAAACGTCCTGATGATCTCCATGTGCAAAGAGTGCTGATCTTGGTACTGGGGGTCTTCTAGGAAGGAGGCCAGCTGCATTTTTACACGTTCTAGCAGCTAAAAAAAAGGGATTTGAACATAAATAAGGAGACTCATCAAATACTCATAATTCGAATTGGATCATAGACACTTCTGCTTGGTTTCATCTCAGCAAAGAAGATCTGTATCAAAGACATTGTGAAAAAACACAGCATGCAGCCAAACACGGTAGTGGTAGTGTGGTGGTCTGGGACAGCTTTACTGCGTCAGGACCAAGGAAACTACTGTAATGCAGTGATGGAAAGTAACAAAAGTACTTTGTTACTTAAATATTTAAGTAGAAAATTTCTTGGGGCCTACTTTCTACTCTTACTTTACTACACTGTAAGGAATTAGCTGTACTTTCTACTCCACTACATGTTCTAAAAGGGTTCAAAAGTAAAAGTACTGTATTTGCATTTTGCACTCTCCTCCTGGTCCAACACTTCCACATATATTTAAATGTTACTTCAGTACTATTAATTTTTTACTTTTAAGTACTTTTTGAAAATACACACTAATACTTTAACTTAAAAATCATTTGAATACTTCCATTTTAACTGAAGTACTTTTCTTGAGGTCCAATTTTTACCTTTACTCCTCTACATTTTAAAGCAGTTATCTGTACTTTTCACTTCACTACATTTTCTAAATAGTTTCAAAAGTATTCTAAGTATTTGAGTTTTATCCGGACCTCACACCCCCGGCAAAATGGAGAACGGCAGCATGGGCTCTTGTGCGGACCAGACTGTTTTGCACCCTCCCCCGGGTCCAACAGCACGCACGCACGCACACACACACTTCTGCTTTTAAGTACATTTAAAAATGCATGCTTTAATACTTTTACTTGAGTCAAAACTTTCTTGGATACGTCTACTTTTACCCTTTTACCTGTACTTTTACTCACGTAAAAAGATCAAATACTTCTTCCACCACTGCTGTAATCTAACAGCGAGTGCCGCTCTCTAAATAAGCATTTTGTTTTTACTCGGGTTATCTGTGATAAAGAAGGTCTTTGCTGATCTAAAACATGCAATTGCAACCAGAAGAAATCTGTAAGGGGTCAAACACGTTTCCTTGGCCATACCTCCTTCTGCGTGACCGTCTCCATGATGGTGCCAAAAGCTGGAATAGTGGAGATCCTCACTGATCTATAAACAGCAGGAAAGCACGTGAACCTTCTGCTGCTCTTGCATTACCTTTTAAAAGTTATTTTCAATCCTTCAAACCCAGAAACAGAAAGACTCAAATATTATCTACACAAAAAAAGCTACCTCCAACACTTGAACAACGCCTGACTCACAAGATTGTTGCATTTTAACAAATCCAAACAGCTCGGATGGCTGCAGGGTAAGTCACAAGCAGCAGGGAGACACCGTGCAGGTTTCCCACACCACTTTAAAGTCTTGAAACTGATTCAGACTTTACCCTAAATTACGAACCTTCATGCTTTTTCAACTCCAGCTGGACCTTTAATTTGAAATTAGCATTTACAGCAAAAACCACGAAGCTGACGCAGAATACTGTGATTACTCTGTAATGACATGCCGCTGACCACAAACATGACAGAGGTGGATACATTAAGCTGACTTACAGAAGTGAGTTTTTCTTTCATCGCTCTCCAAGTTTATCAACAATTGCGTCTCAAAGCGTTACCACTCAGCTGGTAAATGTTGACCAATCAGTGGCACCAAATTAGACAAACTAACCTTTTAGCTCTTGCAGTTAATATTAGACCCAAATCTGCACATTTGATCTACAACAATGGATATCAAACTAACAAATAAATTAGTTTAAAACTTTAAAATGGCAACACAAGTACAGAGTTCCCCAATATTATGAATTTTTAAGTAAATTCCTCCACAAATTGTCTTGAAATTTCTCTTAAAACATCTGATTATGATTAAAATTATTGTCATTAAGCAATGTTATTAACCCTTTGATGCATGAATTATGAAATCTTCAACCATGATTTTTTAACATGTTTTTTCATCCATCTTTAGGTGTGAATGAAACAAATTTCATATTTATATATTTTTTGTAACATTTTATTTACAAATAACTTATTACACGTCCACCTCAGTGGACAGCGTGCATTCTGAACATGAAATATGGTGGCTTGACTTACTGAAGTCCAAATGGAGGGGCTCAAATGCAATAAAGTCTTCAACAGCTGTGCTTAATAGCAAAAATAAATAAATAACAATTTTGAGTACCTGTCCACTGTAGTGACCGTTATGCATCAAAGGGTTAAGGTTTTAGAGCCGTGATAGGTAATCATTTCAATATCAGAAAAAACAGAAGACTAAAGAAAAAAAAATGCAAGCTAGGTATTTCTACAGAAGCAAATTGATGCCAGTATGAGGAAAAAAACATTGGAGCTCATAATAACAAGGGCCTTTTTTTATGTGATACAACTTAAATCTAACCAGAAACTTTCTCATAATAACGTGTTTGAAATTTCGTTCCAACGAAAAAGGTTGAAATGATAAAATAGGGATTATATATTGTGGCGTACTACTCCCCCAAAAAACCCCAAAGCTGTTATTCCAGTTTTTCCCATCTAACATTTAGACTCCAGCAGCAGCAGCAGCAGTTCCAAAATGGGTGGAAAAAACGCCAAATGACGGTTCAGAAATCAATAAGAACACTCGCTAGCCCTCTTCTTCGCTGGCTCCACTACGCACACCCAGTTACCAAGGCAACAGACTGACAGCATTTCGCTATGAGGGGTTGGATTTCAGTGCATAACACCCAAAAAATTAAATAAATAAATAAATAAACCACCCTGTCTGATGTAACATCTTTTTATTCAAATGATTGTATTAATGTAAAAATGGTTTAAAGTTTTTAAATGTGAAAAAAAAAATAACAGAACAGGAAGTCAACTTTTACTTTGAAAGCTGCACCTCAACTTTAAAGCGTAAGTTTCTCTAATTTACGTGGGCAAGAAATCAACCGAAGTGGAATATGTTCCTCTGACCAACTACTGCTTCTTCAAAAGGCATAAAGAAACTCTCTCTGATGCTTTTCTCCATCAGTTTCATCTAGATGAGACTCAAACATCAGAGGGATGTCGTCATTTTTTGTTACCATCTCATTATCACACAAAATTAAACGTGTTATTTCTAAAAGCTACCATGGTAAAACGACTTTTATACGTCGTTATTTTGAGAAAGTTTATCTTTAAAGCAAGATTTAGATCATTTTATAATATGAGATACACTCCCACATGTTTTTATATACTGACACCAATATGCTTCCGTAGCTTTCAGAGCAGAAAGTACACTTTTACTTTTCATCAATAATCTTTAAATTGTACATATAATATGCAATATGAGTGTGGATAATGTATGCAACCATCACGGTGTGTATTCACATAAAATAATGAGATGAAGAGAGCTGCATTCCAACTGCGGTGCTACAAAATTTGTGTTTTTGGTTAAAAATTTCAAAACTTCAAAAAAATAAAATAAGAAAAATAAAAAAGAGAAAAAGTGGACATCAGTCAAATTATAAGCTGCAGGGTTCTTGAGCAACAGCAGCCAGTGACCTGTAGGAATGCAGCCCACAAAAATGTTTTCAAAGACCTTTTGAAGTTTTTATTTTTGCATTGATTGACTCACGATTCAGGCCCACTGCACAGAGTTATAAGAGCCGGAGCCGCCCGACGGTCTACTAATGCTTCACTCATGCCTCGAAGAACCAACTGCAAACCCATCACACGCCGGAATGAAAGAGTGGGGGAGGAGGGAAGGTGGGAGACAGGGAAAGGTGAGAGGGGGAGGTAAAAGATTGAGGAAGAGGTAGAGAATTAAATAAAAAAAATAGGGCGGGAGGAGGCAACTAAACACTAGCTGAGTCCGTCAGGAGAAGTGGCTCTGGTCCAACGAGGAGGGAGGGTGGGGGAGGAAGAGGAGGGTGGGTAACAGATGAGCATGCAGGGATGGTGCAGTCAGGTGTGGGAGTGTTGTAGACAGACAGATGAGGCGATGAGAGCTGGCGTGAGTTAGTGTTGCAGACTGATGACACAGACATGCACGGTTTATTAGTTGTGACCGGTTGTGCAGAAGAACCACCCCAGCACAGCCTCAACCTAAACAGGAGCCGCTCCGAGATCAAGCCAATCGGACACAACAATGAGCGATCAACCACTAATCGTGTTAGTGATGACTTGGGTTGGGCTCCTCGCAGGTACAGACTTGTTCTAGTATGATTGTTCTCAGGCAGCAGAGAGAAGGGGGAAAAAGACGCGACGTCGTTCCACTTACATTTCAGGGTCGGAGGACAGTGTGATGAGAGCCGGCACCACTCGCTGAGCTACCAGCGTCTCATTCACCCCCTTCACCAGCAGCTGATCGGGATGGAGAGAGCCAGCCGTGATGTCACACAGTTGGGCGGGGCATTTGGACATGAGCGAGCAACATACCGCCAAAAGACGAACAGTAAAAAAAAAAAAAATAGGCAAAGGAGGAGGGGGGAAAAGAAAGACAAAAACAACAGAACATAGGAATAAAGTGATTTACAATGAAAGGAACCACAGCTGCAAGGCACAACAAGCAAGTGTGTGCACATACACCCCCCCCCCCCCCCACACACACACACACACACACATCCACGACAAGACAAAGCCAACAAAGTGTTAAAGTCAGTTCATTCCACAGACTCTAGATCAGATTATTTCACCAAATTCATTCAGAATGTATTTGCCAAAAGGCCAAAATGATCTAGCATTTGTGGCAAAGAAGGAGCCCCATTTCAAGCCACATTCTTAAAAATGGAGGACAGTTATTCACTATGGAATGGTGACAGTGTGGCACTTTGGGAAAGGACTTCACAACACAGGAGGGACATGAAAACAGCCTGCTTCTCCTCCTCCTCCTCCTTCTCCTCCTCCTCAGGTAAATTCCACCTAGAGCCTCCTGCAAGCATCGAACCTGAAGTGTGCACAGGCTCAATACAAGTAAATAATAATGGCTTTCTTCCCCAAAAATACATCACTTTTGGTTTTCATAAGCCTCGACATTTCTGATCAAATGACAATTGAGATGAAATATTTAGATTGCAGACTTGGTGCACGGTGACAGGTCCTATGCTGGTTTAAGGAGGTCGTACAGTTGGAACCAGAGTGCTGACAAAGTTCAGCCAAAGTCTTCACTCCAAAATACGTCACAGCTTAATGTTAATGCATGTTTAACAGCAGCAGCAGCAGCAGCAGCAAGCAAGGCTGGCACATTTACAGCAAATAGAAATAACATCGCAAATACAGGAACGGTGCAAACTGCTGTAGATTTTCTTAAATGCAACAAAAATGTTTACATGACATTAGAAAATTTTTTATGTCAAATTAAACAAATACGATTTAGATACACAAACAATTATAACATGATTAATTTATTCTTATGTCTGATGATAAAATGTTTTTAAAAGTGAGCATAAATGACTAAAGCATGACACATTAGTAAAAAAGTCTATTATCAAACACTTTCCTCCATGATCCTGTGTCAGTGTGTTTTGTACCTCAAACATCCGTGCTGCCGTACACCGGACCAGAGCAGACGTATGGACCACCCCGTACCACAGAACAGTGAGCAGTAGTTCATGGTATACTGGATTGGCACTGACACAGAAAAAAACAAGAAAGGGAAACACTTTCAATCTCATTCTGGAACTGCGCTGCTCTGGGTGGCTGCATGTTGGAGCAGCTCTGTTGACTATATGTAAGTTTTGCCTTTTTTTGGACATTCTTCTTCTAGTTTTTCAAGAAAAACTGTATTTTTTTGGGACATTTTACTTTCCGTTTCTGGTGCTGTGAAGCTTAGAGGATTTTTAGTGCTATGTTTTCACTTTTTGAGCATTTGTTATGATGCGTAACCATGGCAACACACTGGTTTACTATCGGGAGCAGCTAATTAACATCGGAAAGGATGAAATAATACCTCAACTGAAGCCACAAATCCCACATTAGCTAAAACGCAAGAAGCGTGGGTGCAGATCGGGAGCAAAACGGAGACAGAGAAATAGGATATTCAAACCATCTCTTCCATCGATCATAATGGACAATGTGAGATCACTGGCCAACAAGATGGAGGAACTCCAAGCCCTTTCAAGGACTCAGCCAGAGTATCGGCAGTGCAGTGTTATGCGTTTCACTGAGACGTGGCTGCAGGACCATATCCCCGATTCCAGCGTCTCTCTGCCTGGATTTCTGACTGTACGAGCAGACAGAGATCTGAAGAGGAGTGGGAAAAAAAAAGGAGATGGAGTGGCAATGCTTGTCAGCAACAGATGGTGCCATCCAGGTCATGTTTCAGTGAAATGTTGTCTCTGCAGCCCAGATGTTGAACTCTTGGCGGCAAGTTGTCGCCCATATTATTTGCCAAGAGAGTTCACCAGTGTTGTCTTGGCAACCATTTATATTCCACCTTCAGCCATTGCTGAAAATGCATGTGATGCCATCAGTTCCGTTGTCGCTAAGCTACAAACCCAGCACCCCAATGCATTTGTGTCTATATCTGGTGAATTCAATCATGCCTCGCTCTCTGCTACACTTCCAACATGTCAACAGTTTGTCAGCTGCTCCACCAGAGAAAACAAGACATTGGATCTGTGTTATGCAAATGTAAAGAATGCATACATGTCCAAAACAAGACCTCCTCTGGGACAAGCAGATCACAATCTTGTTTTTCTCTGTTCAGAATACAAACCACTTGTTCAGAGGAAACCTGTGACAAGAAGAACAGTGAGAAAATGGTCACAGGATGCTGAAGAAGCCCTGTAGGGTTGTTTTGTGACCACAGGTTGGATGACTCTCTGCCAAGGATATGAAGAGGACATCAATGCCATGACTGGATGTGTCACTGACTATATAAACTTCTGTGTGGACAACATCATACCCACCAGAACAGTGAGATGCTTCGCTAATAACAAACCCTGGATCACCAGTGAACTGAAGAATCTGCTAAATGAGAAAAAAAAGAGCCTTCAAGGAGGGAGACAGGAAATTATTGAGGAGTATACAGAAGCAACTGAAGATCAAGATCGGAAACAGCAAGGAGGCATACAGGAAGAAGCTGGAGAACGAACTACAGAGGAAAAATATTAGAGATGTCTGGTCAGGGATGAAGAAGATCACAGGCTTCAAGCAGAGGAAGGATTGCACAGATGGCAGCCTGGACACAGCCAATGAACTGAACAAGTTCTTCAATAGGTTCAGTTCAGGAACAAACCCAGCATCCTCTTTGCCTGTCCCCAGCCAATCAGACATCCCATCCTCCTCTGATCCAACATTTTCCTGCCACACGCCAGCTCTATTGTCCTCTAACACAGTTGTGGACTCTTCTGGTTCTATAGATCTGTCTTCAACCAAGTCAGGAGATGCTGCTGCCCCATTTACCTCCCCCTCCCACCTATCCGTCTCTAGAAGTCAGGTGAAGAGGCAGCTGGAGAGACTGAACAGGAACAAGGCTGCAGGCCCAGATGGTGTCAGCCCCAGAGTACTGAAGGCCTGTGCAGAGCAACTCTGTGGGATTCTGCAGCACCTCTTCAACCTCAGCCTGGCCCAGGAGAAGGTTCCAGTCCTGTGGAAGACATCCTGCCTTGTTCCAGTTCCAAAGAAAACTCCCCCATCAGCCAATGACGACTACAGACCGGTTGCCCTGACATCCCACATCATGAAGGTCCTGGAGAGACTCCTGTTGGTCCACCTGAATAAGCAAACTAGGACATATCAGGACCCGCTGAAGTTTGCTTATTGCCATGGAGTTGGAGTTGAAGATGCCATCATCCAGCTGCTTCAACCAATCCACTGTCATCTGGGCAAAGCAGGCAGCACTGTCAGGGTCATGTTCTTTGATTTCTCCAGTGCATTTAACACAATCCAGCCTGATGTACATTGCCAGAAACTCCAGAAGACACAGGTGGGGGCCTCAACTATCGCCTGGATTAAAGACTACTTGACAAACAGACCACAGTTTGTGAGGCTGAAGAACTGCACATCGAACCAGGAGATCAGTAACATTGGAGCACCACAGGGGACTGTACTCTCTCCATTCCTTTTCACCCTGTACACCTCAGACTTCCAGTACAAATCAGAGACCTGTCATTTACAGAAATACTCCGATGACTCTGCAGTTGTCGGGTGTTTCAGAGATGGACAGGAAGCTGAGTACAGAGAGCTGGTGGAGTGATTTGTAGCATGGTGTGGAAACAATCATCTGACCTTGAACGTAAACGTGAACAAAACAAAGGAGATGATTTTAGACTTCAGAAGAAACAGGGTGGAGTCAAACACTGTTTCCATCATGGGAGAAGAAGTGGAGGTGGTTGAGGAATACAAATACCTTGGTGTTCACCTGGACAACAGACTGAACAGCGAACCTGTTTACAAGAAGGGACACAGCAGACTGCACTTCTTGAGGTTGCTTAGGTCCTTCATTGTCTGTGGCAAGATGCTGCAGATCTTCTACAAGTCTGTTGTTGAGAGTGTAATCTCTTTAGCCATCGTCTGTTGGGGTAGTAGCATCAGAAGCAGGGACCTGAAAAGGCTCAACAGCCTAATAAAAAAGGCTGGTTCTGTTCTGGGGACGACTGTGGAACCACTGGAGGAGATAATGCAAAGAAGGATTCTCTGGAGAATCAAGAAAATGATGGACAACCCTGAGCATTCTCTTCACAAGACTGTCCGACAACAGAAGAGTGTCTTCAGTCAGAGGCTTCTTCAGTTTTGCTGCAACACTGACCGCTACTGGAGATCCTTCCTGCCAACAGCCATTGTAATATACAATAACTCTTTGATGACTTTATTATTATTATTCTGAGCTACTACAGCAATCAATTTCCCTCTGGGATTAATAAAATATTTTTGAATTGAATTGAATTGAATTAGGTGAAAAAAAACAGAACTACATCCACTTATTAGACGATACCTGTCATGACCGAGAGACCACCGGAAGCATCCTGAGCAGCTGTATCACTGTGTGGTATGGCAGCTGCTATCTGCAGCTAATAGTGAGAGCAGCTGAAAAGATCACTGGTCCCCCACCTCCCTTCCTCTGGGACCTCTGTCAAACCTGCAAAGCATTGCAGCGAGCATTGCACCTGACTCAGCAGTCTCCAGCAACAGCAGCAGAAGGGTTAGGGTTAGAACCAGGCCAGAACCAGCAGACTGAAGCTGGGTCCACAATGAGGCACAAGCAACGTTGCTGCTTTAAATAGAATCCATTATAATCTATAGGGCTGATCCAAACTGGCTGTGGTGCGGAACATTTCAGGCGCGTCCCAGAAGCAGCTCGCTGTACCGTGCCACTAAGGTTTGGGATTGGGTTCCAGTTTTGCCACAAGCTGCTTCTGAGATGTGTCAATTTCCACAAGTAACATAGGGCTAGACAGGAAATTATACACGGTTTCATGATAAAACTAAACTACTGCCTGTTCTTATCCACATAGATTACATCAATACAACACAATAAGACTTAACGGCTTATTTACTACCAGCATCTTTCGAGACGTGCAGGTGTGTTTTTCAAGGCTTTAATCCTGGTTGTGGAGAAGAACGTTACATATGGCATCAATATCAAACGCAATTTTCTTCTTCATTTAATGGTGAATGTCATAAACATAGAAACCACGACTTTGTGATCTCGCGAGTCCAGCAAGGAAGTTGTTCCGCACTGCTGATGCTTCCAGTGTGAACAAGGTTTCACACTTCTCTGTAGGGGCCCTCTGCCCCAGGAGCGGTGGTCGACTGTTGCTTCCTGGGCGCTCTACAGGTAGTGTTTAAGTGAAGGTGGGGGTCTTTGATCCCCCTCCTCTGAGCACCCCGACTCAGTGTGGAAGACCTGATGCTGCCGGGGCAGACAGCTCCTCTGATGGCGTTTCCTAGCCTCACCTTACTTGGCTCATCTGTACTCAGCCGAATATACATTTTTACTGATGTGATTGTGTGTGTGTGTGTGTGTGTGTGTTAATGTTTTCAAACTGTTATGGGAATTTAGGGTCATTTTAATTCTGTAAAGAACTTTGCACTTTGCTTGAAAAGCGCTTTATAAATCAAATCTGACTGACTGAAGGTTTCAGAAACCGTTTCATCCATCAGGCTGTCAGGATGCTGAACCCCCCACCCCCCATCTTCCACCTCTGCCCCAAAACCTGGACAATAACCAAAGCTTGCACACAAGTCAAGTCTTGATAATAAAGAAAACTGATTGATATATTTAGTACCTAGCTGCAAATATATCAATGGATGTGTCCAAGTCTCACCCCAGTTCTACAAAAGAGGCCTTGAGACTGTCGAGAGGTGCGTGTGACAGAGAGAGCGCCGTCATCACATCTTCCAGGAAACCCACCAGCAGCTTGCGATCCTCCTCCTGCACAGGTTTAGTGACTTGTTTATATCACTGGCATCACGTGATGTTAGCAGCATTAAGACAAACCGATCTAAAGTGCTTTGAGTGTTTTTTTCTTAAAGAATGTGTTTAAAGTTAAACGTAACACTGCTTTACCTATTTGGAAGACGCAAAACTAAAACCTTACAGATGTTTGGTATGCTGGCTTTTAGATTTATAACAGCGTTCTTTTTCCTCAACACCGGCACAAAAAAGGTCAAAATCTAAAACCTTACAAGTTTTCTATATAATTTCCAACAATTACTAAAGACCATGTCTAAAGGTCACCTTGTGAATTTGAAAGAAAATTGAGAGAAATGGATTATAGGGATGCAGTATGAAATATAATAAATAGAAAGGAAATTTCATTGCTGTTATAGAAAAACAAAACAACTTGAAATTTAGATTTGAAACAGCCTTCTGCTACTTTTTCACTCGGCAACTGACGAACACTGGAGGGTTCTTCCCGTTAACGGGGAGTCTTCCTCCCCAGCGTCACGACTTGCTTGCTTATGATGAAGATTCTGTAAACAAGTCAGTGACTCGATGCAGTCTGCTGGGTTTTCTCACGTTGGAAACCTTTAGTTCACATAATGAACTGGACTCAAAGCCCTGATAAGCAGGTTTAATTGGACTGTTTACTTTGTAACGTAACTTGTGACTTGGAGCTATACGCCTTCAGCTAAACTAAATTCAATTTCTTTCCTTTACAACAATTAATTTTGTTGCATGTTCTAAAACTAAAAGCAAACATATCTGAATTATTTTTGATCTATGCTGGATTAATTGGAAAATACATAATAAAACTAGATTTTCTGTCCATGTCTAACAACTTTATGTCATACAAACATTCACCTTTTAGGGAACAATCAAGTTATTTTGGGTTAAAACTAAACACATTTTTCAAACATAGAACGTATTAGGAAACAAACATGAGTAATTCAAGTATTGAGACTGATTTTGCAAACAAAAGCATACAAAAGTTTGATATTTTATGTGCATAAAGCTTTTTTGTGTTCATTTACCTGGTTATAACAGGTCAACACGCCAGTAGCATAGATTGGGACTGTAGCTTTGGTGAGAATGCCGTTTCCTGCTGAAGCATCTAAGAGAATAAAAATAGGTGATTTAAAAAGTAAAACGCGACGCAAGACTAAACATTATGAACAACTGAACATCTTGTAATTTCTGTCCAGAATAAAACATTATTTTTCCTTTATTGAGGCTGCATAACCAGTTTAAAGAATTCTGTGGTTCAACATCCTCATTTTTTGTTTCATTAATCCAGGGAATTAAAAAGTAATCAAACAAATTTGAGGAATTCCCTCATGCTGCCGTGCACATTCGTTAACATGACCAAACCTACAAAAATGTGCCTTCATTACACTTTATACTGTTGTGGCGTCACAAAAAGCCACAGAATTGAGTGAACGCTAAGTAAAGATGGGGACGACCTCAACACTGACGGGATCTCAGAGCAAAACACATTTCATGAATGGCCACAATACCAGAGTGTAATGACTTGGCAGCCAAATGAGACCAAGTAGCTCTTTAGACCGACAGAAACATGTCTGGAACTAGAAGGAGAAAAAACTACAAGACAAAGAAGGGGAACACCCATAACTGACTCCAAATAGCTTGTTTACATCAGTTGAGTTTGTGTCCGAACTCCAGCCACAAATTTCTTCTGTAGAAAACTTAAGAAATAATCAAAATCAAATAAAAACAAGTGGGGAAGTTTCCGTTACCAACGTTCTCTTCGGAGAGTCGGAGAATCTCCTGGAACTGTGGTTTCACCTAAAGAAAAACAGAAGCAACGTGAAGCACCAATACCTCCACATATTTACATTTTGAATACATTTTAAACTAAATATTAAACATATGATAAAATAAATGTTTATGGAAACATAAAAAAAATACAAATTTTGAGATTTGATGCGGTTTTACCTTAGTGTTGGTGAAAATCTTGCCGAATGTGCGACAAAACCTCCAGAAAAAACGCGAGAACTCGTGAACGCAGGTGGAAGACGTCACATTGATGCGCCCCACAATCTCTATGAGCTGAGGCAATCTGGGGGAAGAGAAGTCACATAAAAACTTTGGACTTCTGTGCATTCTCCAGGTTAAAACTCGAAGTTCCTAGTTGTAAAGAAAGACATGCTTTGAGCATGTTTGGCTAAAATCTGGCATCCTTTTAAACAACTAGTTGGATGGAATATGCTAAATAGTAACCTGGCAAGCCAGACTATACATGTAAATTAAGGGTAGGACTCCATTTTATTTGTAAGCATCTTTAAAGCTCCCAGGTGCGCAGAATAAAAAATAAAATAAAAAAAGACGATCTCTTAAAAATGTCCGTGTCACAAACCCCAGAGTCGTCACAAGCCCCATGTTTTCTCAAATGCTGCATCAGTCAAAGCAAGGCACTCTCTTCAAATTCTTCCATTTTAGTAGCCGATAGTTTGGTGTGTGTCAGTGTAATCGGTGTACCAGGAAATGGTGCGCTGACAAAGGTTCCGCCTTGCTTAACTCATTCACTGCTAATATTTTTATTGTGTGGGCGTCGGAACGAGCCCCCGCGCCGTGAGAACAAACATCTCAGCTCTGAAGCCGATCTTCATCCGCATACGTCACATGTCACGTGATCAGAAAGCAGAAAATCCATGTGTTAGGAGATCGTTTTGGGCCGCTGCTGTAAAAAAAGCGAGGCGCGAACTGGAAAAGCTTCTGCCGATCACAATTCAACAACGGATCATGAAAGAACGGATGACGCTCGAAACGTGCGGATTCTTCCTGATGTAAGAGGCGAGTCTCCGCTTTGTTTTGGTTGTTTTGGCGTCGACATCATCCTAGCGTGCAACATTCTGTGACTCTTACAAAAACAGTAAAAACAGCGAGAAATGCCAGCAGCGAAGGGCTTTAGCGATCAGGAAACGGCTGGCAGCGAATGAGTTCAAATTCAAGCTCTGATTTAATGTGTAAATTCATTTAATGCATTACTTTTTTCTAACTAATTCATCATAATTAACACATTAAATTCCCACCACTAATGTAAATATATAGACAGAGCTCAGTAGGAGTGGAAATTACAGTTGCCTTTCAAACCGTCAGGGTAACTGCAGGTTTAAGGGAGCCAAATTTAAGACCTTTTTTAAGGCCACTTTGACCAAATTTAAGCTTTTTGTTTTAATTAAATGTAGGTTATAATTTCCAGCTACTGCCTGGAACCGGTGCTAACCACGTTGCGAACGTGGGATTAGCCATCCAGTTACCATTAAACTTGCACTTCCCCATGGCGCAAGCTCCCACTAGCATAACCAGCTAATGTGCTCATCTAAAAATAGCCCCCTTTCACAACCAACTGAATGTATACGGTTCCGCTTACGCCAACATCATACACAAAAAATGCTGAACGCTAACTAGAAATTCACGAAAATTTTATAGAAATAAAAAAAATCTTGTTTATTGGGTCTTTGGTAATTTAAGACCTTTGGAAACTGTAATTAAGGATTATTTGTCATTTTTAAGGATTTTCAAGGCCTTAAATTTGGAAATGCTAATTTAAGACTTTTTAAGGACCCGCGGATACCCCGCAACAACATGATGCATTTGTAGCGACGGCGTCAGTAAATGGAGCAGTATGCCACAGACTGTAGGAGAAGAAGCACCTCTATCTGCTCACGTCTCAAAGGAAAGCCCAAGTCTAAATGGTCCAAAGTCTATGCCAAAGCTTTCGCCATCTGGGATTAATAAAGTATCTTTGATTTGATCGTTGTAGTTTTGCTCCATTGCGGCTCTAACATTGTGGAAAAAAATCTCTGCCATAAAAGTGCTAAGCCCAGCCATCGTCTCTCTGCAGAGTGCTGTGATTGGAGCGGCCTACACTTAGACAAGCCAGTGGTGGTCCTACGATAGAGTGTGGCTAGACCAACTTGCACAGCTAATGCTTTAGCTGTGTTATGGTGTGTCTAGATTTCTAGGCTAACCAAAAACAGCAAAGGACACATTGACCAGCTGCTTGACAGAAACGTCCTTACAGCTGGTTGACCACCCATAGCAGGCTGCCCCAGCCCGTCGTTCCTTCATGCTCCAGCTGGTGGTCATAAAGAAGCAGCAAGGCGCTTAGCATCTCTCTACTCCCGATAATGGTGGCCATATCTTGCAGGGGAGAAGCTGGCCTGGGGAACCGAGTCACTGCAGGACAAAAAAAAAAAGCAGCACAATAATATAAACCTCTAATGATACTGTATGCATTTTAGTGATGACTCTTCCCACCTTCTATTGCAGGTATGTCCCCATGGAGTTTGACTCTGCTGGTGAAGGGTGCGTTCTGCAGCACCACAGCAAATAAAGGAGGAGTAAGAGACTGAAGGGCTGACAGAAAAATGTGTAGCTTGTGTTCATCCAGACCACGTTCCCCCTGCTGCAGAACAAAACGTATGAATTAGAATTAAATACGAAACTAGGAAGTACAAATGGTTCTACGCACCTTTAGTAGTTTCTCTATCCGAGCCAGCAGAGAGGGGATTAGAGCAGTGTGCAGTGTGCCCAGCTCTGTGGTCCAGGCAGCAAAGGCAGGAATGAAGACCTGGTGGACTGCGTTGACCACCCGCTCTGATGGGTCCCCGAGTGACAGCAGCATTAACTCAAAACCCTGCGCCAATAAAAAGCGTCACCAACAACTTCCCACAGTTCCACCGCACACAAAAACACCTCAATTCAGACAACAAATGTACCTGGGAGTATTTGTCTGAGTCATCGATGTAACCCATGATGATACCCAGACTCTTGACCACCGCCTCCCTGACCATGTCGGCTTTGTCCTCAGTAAGCATCTGCTGCAGCATTGACAACACCAGAGAGCTACGGATCTCCTTCTATGAAGACAAAATATAAAACCGAAATGGAATTTGGTCTTTGGTTGATCAACAATCACCCAGAATCCAGTTTGAACAATGTGCACAGGGTGTCCTTACAGGCAGGTAGGGCGCCAAAGCGCCACAGGCCTCAGCCACCAACAATCTTCTCTCCGGATATTTGTGGTTAATCTGCGAAGGACGAGTTCAGAGAAAATGTCGAATGCAAAAGAGGGACACGTAAAAACAGGGAGAAATAGACAAGAGGGGAGTCGACATGGAATGGTAACAACCTGGGTATCACAAACATGCTGACCCTGTGGAAACCACAATTTGTCTTTTTCTGAAGATTCTCAGCGTCCAGACTCATCGTTGCCATGGTAGCAGATTGTATTTATCAGCATTGCGGTGATACAGGAGGCAGTAAAAACAAAACTGCCATCTCATTTATAAGAATAGAATGGGGTATGAGCTATTCTTTTTGGTAACTGGAAAATAAAACTAAAACAAGAAGAATATTCAACTCAAAGGAAATCATTTTTCTTGATACGCGTGCAAAATTTAACCAACTTATTTCCAAATTTTAACTTTCAAATCACTAATATTAAAAAAGAACAAGTAAATAATACATATGATGGCCTAATCATACTTTTTTTTTCAAAAGACAGGAAAAATACAAGAAATATGATATCAAAAATGAAAATCAAGTTGTCTGATCCAAAGCGGCTCGGTTAAAGGCAAACGGACTTCTTTGGTTTCTTGAAGACATTTCGCTTCTCATCTGAGTTTCGTCAATTTTGACTGGAATATGAGAGGGTCAAGCTTTTGAACTGTAGCTGTCAACTCCTCAGGAGGTGGTGGTGGTGGTGGTGGTGGTGGGGTATTCATAGGTAGTTTCTGCTCATTAAGCAACAATAGACAGCCACAGCTTATAAGCTTGACCCTACCATATTCCAGTCAGACTCGACAAAAGCTCTCGGATGAGAAGCAAAACGTTTTCAAGAAACCCAAGAAGTCCATTTGCCTTTAATCGAACTCCTTTGGATTCCCTTGATCTGGATGACTGGGAACTTTCACCAGCATACCGTCGAATGATCAGCTAAATAAACTAACATTATCAGATGTGATTATGCTCATCGTACCTGTTCCCAGCACTGGGGAAGGAGCTCAGCCTCGACCCGAGTGGGACCCACATGCCTCGCGAACGCGACGCAGCCCGTTAAGATCATTTGTCTTTGGATACAGACAAAAAACAGGAATCAGCGACACCTGGTAAAGATCCGTCACCAAAATATGGACATTACAGCGTTTACGACAAACATGCTCACCTCTGCTCATCGTCTGGTCTCTTGATGAGGTTAAAGAGGATGTGCAGGAGCTGGTCCCGCTCTTTAGGCTCAGGGTGAAGGCATGCAGTGCACAGGATGAGAGGAATCAACTCCTGATGGTGAGAAGAAGACAAACGGAAACAGATGCGATTAAAAACACGCAGAGAGATCAAGTTTGGTCGAGGCTGAGGAGGGCTTTTCCATCTGTGATGCAGGATGGATTAGAAAAGGGGAAATTATTAAAAAATAAACAAAAAGAAAATGAAAATTAAATTAAATTAAATTAAAAAGTGATCTAAAAACAACAGAAAACATGCTTACCTTAGATATGTTTTTATGTTAAAGTGATTCGTTTGGTTTAGAAGTCACGCAGTGAAAGCCACATATTGCAGCAGCTTACAAAGCGCATGCACACACCCAAACACGACTGGGGTATAGACAGAAATACACAACTGCCCTCCCTGAACGGAGCTCCATCCCAGAGTTCAGGCAGAGTTCATGGACCCTTCAGCTAGAAGGGAGAGAACTCTGTTGCCCTTGATTCAGGGACTCCATGGCCAAACTGTGGTCAGCCCTTCATTCCTGACACACATACACTGAAATTATAGAGTGCAAACGGAGTTAAAAATATACTTTTTTTTCCCGTCTTTCCTATTTTCCTGCCAAGTGCTGGAGGACTAAGCAAAGCCCTAAAACTGCTAGAGACAGCCGGACCTAACAGAAAGAATTGGGTCAAGATAAGTTTGTCATTAGACACTAACCCCAAGCTGGACCAACGATCTGAAGTTAGCGCCACGTTGGACAACTTTAAATACAACAATGAGGTGCTAGAGGGTGATTTTAAGTGTCCAACGACAAGTTCAATATGATGAAATCAGTCAAAAACTGAAAACGTGCAAATAAACAAAGGTCAAACCAAAAGTAACTGTCACAACCAATCATTTGTCTTTGCCTCAGACTTGCAAAGAAAAAAAAACTTTGAACTTCCCAAGAGTACTTTTTCTTAAGTCAGAAAACTTCTGCCTGACAAAACAAACTGAGGAACTCAACAGTAAAGCTAAAAAAAAAAGACTGTTACGATTCTACTTGAGTGAATTCTGATATATCGGATGCTCCTTGAGAGGGATAAACATCTGACCAGTCATAGGTAAATACTGTGGGAAAGTAAAGTGAGCAGCTCAATGTTGGGATCCAAGTACAGCATTCATGAATCGCTCTTCACAGAGCAAAACCACTTTATGCTGATGATAATGCAACAATATCCCACACAAAGAATTTCTCTTTTCAAAAAGCAAAAATCCACAAAACTACTGTCCTTTTGTAGCCTTACACACTCACTGATGGCTTATTAGGTACACCTTCCTAGTACAAGCTGTACATTTCATTTCTCAGAGGTTCGGATCTCTACCGACATTATAGCATCAAACAGTTGCTGCAGATTTATCAGCAGCACAGCTATAAAATGAATTTCTTCTGCACCCAATACAACAAACAAACAATGCCCGTGATAGGAAAGTTTATTTATATTGCACCTAACTGAAATTTGTTTGTTTCTTCATATTTTTTTATTGCACTTGTGAAGCACCTTATGTTCATTGTGAAAGGTGCTGTATTACCGTATTGACCTGAATATAAGACAAGTTTTTTTTTCACTGAAAATAGTTTTAAAATGTGGGGTCGTCTTATAATCGGGGTCTAACCATTACACGCCCGCAACAGCAGAGGGCACCAGGCTGAATGTTCTCAACAGGAGATAAAAAATAGAGACGAGAGGTCCGGAGTAGAGTGGACCGAAAGTGGGGCAAGTTAACAAGCTATTAGGCAGAGTTATGCAAATTTTAGGATGACGGTGGTCAATTCAGCAGAGGCGTCAAACATTGCATGCATGGATGTATCGGATGGCAGTGAGGATGACGTTCTGGGAGGAGTCGGCAGGTGTAGCGATTTGATGGTAAACCGGGATCGCAGCGAGAATGAGAGTGAGTACAGCGAGGCAGACGGCTTCTGAATAAAAGCCTCATTTGACTTTTGATTTCACATGTCAGCAAAGTTCTGATAGTCTTGGAAAGGGGAGCTGTCTTATAATCGGGGGTCGTCCTATTTCGGGTCAATACGGTAATTTGAGTCCTTGTAATGATTACGCAAATAAAAAGAAGATATATACAAAACTTTAGAAAAATATACACAAAACATTGATGGGAAAGTTGTGCAGTCTTGTGTTACGACACAAAAAATGTTTACTGATTTACAGAGTCTGATAATCCAGCCAGGTGGCAGGCAGTTTCAATTTACCGTTTCAGGCATAACACCCTTTGTTCTTATGCAGGAGTCACACTCAAACAACTCAAGGTGGGTCTGCAGGCCTGATGATGCATTTGGAGCACCAAGCAGCAGAATGGAAGTGTGAGCAGCTGTATTTGTTGTACGGTGTCAGGATCTGCAGATCTAACGGACACGGTACAAAGTCCACACCACTTACGAAGGCTTACACAAGCCTTATGGCTCTGCTGTTTCTTGCCAACTTCTCTCTTTGATTTTGTAAAGAGATTAAGCCCTCCTTAACCGTCTTAGGCGGAGGACACCGTCATGGCCTTGGCGATATGCAAAGTAGGGGACCCAAAGCTACCATAACCAGACTTCCTACATACACTCAGTCTAGAGACTTCTCAACATTGCAAAATGTAAGCACTTTGTATATTTGCACACAAACACACAAACACTAACTGCACACAAGAAATTGGAGTACAGTTATGGCCCAAAATGTATTGAAGGAAACAAGCATGAGTTTTGACAAAGTTTGCTACTTCAGTGTTTTTAGATCTTGTCATTAGTTGCTGTGATTTGCTGAACTATAATTATAAGCAGTGGGACAGCAGTAGCTCAGGAGGTAGAGCGGGTTGTCGGGTAATCGGAAGGTTGCAGGTTTGATCCCGGCTCCGACCAGATAATTTCACTGTTGTGTCCTTGGGCAAGACACTTAACCCCCCCGCCCGCTGGTGGTGGTCGAAGGGACTGGAGGTGCCAGTGCTTGGCAGCCTTGCCTCTGTCAGTGCGCCCCAGGGCAGCTGTAGCTACATCGTAGCTCATCCCCAGCAATGTGTGACTGTGTGTGTGTGAATGGATGAGTGGCTGATTGTGTTGTGAAGCACCTTGGGGGGGTTGTAGAACCCTAAGAAGGCTCTATACAAATACAAGCCATTTACCATTTACAAGCATTTTGAAAGTTTAAATATCATTACTGATTGAGTTTATGCAAAGAGTTCATATTTTCAATGATGGTCCTTCATTTGGGCATCTAGTCAGGATGCCTCCTGGACGCATTCCTGGTGAGGTTTTCCGGGCACGTCCAACCGAGAGGAGGCCTAAAGGTAGACCCAGGACATGTTGGAGAGACTGTGTCTCTCACCTGACCAGAGAATGCCTTGGGACTCCCCCGGAGGAGCTGGCCCAAGTGGCTGGGGAGAGGGAAGTCTGGGCCTCTCGACTTAGGCTACTTCCCCTGCGACCCGCCTCCAGATAAGCGGATGAAAATGGATGGATGGATGGATGGATGAGCGGGTCCTTCATTTGCAAGACTGCTGCAATTCCCTCTGTCAGTAGGGTTAGGGTAAAGTTGGTCTGGCCCAAGCCCTGACTGATGCTATCCCTTATTTGCATTACCAGTGCCTAGGGGTGACGGGGGAAGATGAGTTATGTGCCCTCCCTAAGTTCTCACTTCGCTCAGACTTTCATGGTCTCCTTGGAAAAGACACGTCACCTGCCTTGCCTATTGGAGGTTGTCAGGGTGAACCACCAGTGCTTTGAGGGTATGGAAGCCCCTACCTGTGGTAGTTAGTCCTAGGGTTGCTGTGGCCACATTGTGTGCATCGGTGAATGACTGTTGTGTTGTAAAGCGCAAAATTTGTATGATTTTAGAAGGTTCTATGTAAATACAGGCCCTTTTCCATTTGACAGCTTGTGGGAACGTGTCTTTTTTTGACCATCCACCTCTTAAGACAAGACCATAATTTCTCAGTGGAATTAAGGTCTGGTGAGTTTCCTCGACACCGACTAAAATGTTTGTTTCATTTCCCGAGCCACTTTAGCCTTAGAGCACAGTGCTCTGTCCAGACAGTGTTCTTCAGCCAACATTTTTTTGGATGTAGAGAAGGGGTTCCTCTCGGACGATGATGATTCATTTCTGTATTCTGAGGCTAAACGGTAAATGGGCCCACTCCCTTGGCACAACTCCATCCATGAACAGTCTCAGGATTCTTTACTCTTGACATGGCAAACAAACCTTTCTGCCAGATGTCCCAAACAACTGGAAAGTAGATTCAGAGAAAAATGTTCTTCCATTCCTCAGAAGTTCAATCCCTGTACCTTAAACAGAATCAGTTTGTCCCTGATGTTTTTCTTGAAGAGAAGGGCCCTCTCTGTTGCCCCTCTTGACACTGGGTGATCCTTCAAAGGTGTTGCACTCACACCTGCCTAGTATCATTCCTAATCAAGCTCTACATTAGTGGTGCCCAAATCCCTGAACTTTAGGAGATGGTCCTGAGCACCATGTAGCCTTCATTGGCATAGAAAATGGATTTTTCCAATGAAGTTAATTTTAAGGCAACTCAGGCCTAGTCCACACGTAGCTGGGTTTTTAAAAAAAAAAAACGAATATCCGCCCCTCAAAAAACTTGCATCCACACCAACTCGTTTAAAACAAAAACTCTGTCCACACGTACCCGGATAAATACGTTGTTAAGGACATGCCAGACCTGTAGGCGGCAGTACTTCCCCCGTTCTTAACCTCGTCCTTCGTCTGTGGTCTTCCGCGAGGAGCAGTAATTCCGCTTGCAAAAACAAACAAGCAAAAAGCGCTTGGACAATTGATAAAGCGAGCGCAGCTCTGAGGGCATCCATGCTGTCGGCTAGTGTAAACACAGGTCGCACACGTGATGTCAGCATTTTTTGTCGCGGAAAGTGACGTTGCGGACCTTAAAACTCCGGTTTTGTCTGTCCACACGCAGACACCCAAAACGGAGAAAACGCAGATCTTCACTTTGGCCGGAGGTTTTAAAAAGATCCGTTTTCGTGTGAAAAAACTCAGTTTTCGTGTGGATGACAGGCCAAAACGTAGAAAAATATCTACGTTTTGGCAGATCCCCGGCTACGTGTGGACAGGGCCTCAGTAATTCATCTGATCACCTAAGAGTATTCAGTTTAGTCAAATTTTAATCCTAAAACTGAGGTAGCAAACTTTGTGACAATTAACATTTGTAGCATTCTCAAAATGTTTGACCACCACTGTATTAGGAGCCCAAGCCTCCTCCCCTTTGGATTGGCTCATGGGTCCCTGACCCCAAAAAATGTGAACAATGGTATAAAAGTTATTTTCTGACCCGTTTTGCCTTACACCCTGAATCACACATCCACTGTACTTTCAACTGCCTGTCACATAATTTCCTATTTAATTGTAAAAATTTGTAATTAAAAATACTACAATGTATGACGTCACAAAAGAATCTCTTCTCGCCCAGCATAGCTGCTGCCACTCTTCGTCTTCAACTGCATAAAACTGCTGAGAGGAGCTCTAGCTGCCTGCCAAAAATAAGCACTTTCTTGGCATCAAAATGTGTCTTTAAACTTTACGGACATTATATGTTAAAGCCATGGTGTAGGGCTGGGCGATATGGCCCAAAATCAATATCATGATATAGTGAAGATTTCACCTCGATAATGATAAATGCACGATAACTACAGGTATGCGCAGGAACAAAAGTTGTCACTAAATGGGGGATGTCACATGCATTACGTGGAGTCACATATTTACTTGACTCAAGGTGGTACAGCTTCTTGAGGGGACGTGAACGTTGCAAACCTACACACATCTTTTCATTTTTTATTATCAAATTTATGGACATGGGAAAAATTATCTCAATAGGAGTCAGAAATTTCGATAACGATTCCTTTTGTTAATTACTGCCCAGCCCTAACATGGTGCAAAAAAACGGGATCAGAAAATAACCTTTATCATCTCATAGACCCCCATTCATTTATTTTGATTGACATGGACTAGAAGTAGATGGGCGTGACTTGGGCTCCCCATATGGAGCTCTGAGTAGGTGTCTATGTGACATTGCCTCACAGGAAGCACTGACGTCTGAGTTAAAAACTTTAATTCCTCACTTTACATTTGAAACAAATCATAGTTTAAAAATTTTTTTAAAGCAATGTGTTTAATACAGGTTAAATAATACAGGTGGTTAGAAGTATAACAGCTAATTGTGGTTTTCGACATATACCAATGCCATAATTGTTATTCAGTTGTTAAAATTGAATTAAATCCAAAGAAACCACCTTAAAAATAACCAACTATTAAACACTGGATGGATTTGAAGCATAAAAAAGAACAATAAGAGCAAATTTATTGCCAAACGTGAAGCTAAAACTGCTTCACTGTGGGCAACATTGCATTAAATGTCACATTATTTTTCCCATCAAATTTCTAAAACAAATCTGACAGATGCTGGTGAAGGTTCTCGGTCAACCAGGTCACGGTAATCCAGAGGGTTCAAATAAAGGCCGCTGGACTTCTTTGGTTGCTTGAAGAAGTTTTGCTTCTCATACAAGTAACTTTGTCAATTCTGACTGCAATATAGGAGAGTCGATGAACGAGCGGAAACTACCTATGAATACCCCATCGAGGAGCCGCTTATGTCATTAGGTCCTATTGTTTTAGTATGGTTGTTTTGACTAGATGCATCTTTGTAGGAATTGGGTTTAGACCCAAATACAAAAGTTTCAGTTTGGGTCACACACTCCTGCAACTAATCAAAGCAAACATTCTAACACAATAGGACCCAATGACATCAACAACAAGTGAGGAGGGGTATTCATAAGTAAGGTCTGCTCGTTAAGCAAAAATAGACAGCTACAGTTCATAAGCTTCACCCTCTCATACTCCAGCCAGAATTGACAAAGCTCCTTGGATGATGACGTCTTCAATAAACCAAAGAAGTCCAGTTGCTTTCATTTGAACCTCTTGAACCTGACGGAATCACGACCAGCAGTTGTAGCTTCAAGATGGCTGTTCAGTAGTTTCAACTCTCATGTCAGAAACATGCAGATGAGTGCGTGAAAGACTCACCTGGCAAAGATGCGCAACCAATCTCTAGAAGAGAGGCATGCATGAGGGCGAGAGAATGAGTGAGACGAAAAGAGAGGAATAAAAACGACAAAAGGAAACAAGTGAAGGCAAAATCAGCAGCAAATGTGAGTGGGCGACACAAAACGGTCGGAGAGGAATGGTGACGGCAGGAGAGAGCGAATGCCTTTGTGAGAAGTGGTGATGGTTTGAATCAATAGATAGAGGACACAGGTCAGCAGGGGAGGCATTAGATCGCCCCAATTAATTTTTGTGTTTGAGACTGTCGACTAAAGAAAGATTTAAAATACACTGGCAAATCACAAATCACCAGGATCGCTAAAGAAGGGTCATAGTCAGTTTCCTGGTTTCACGTAGGCACAGTTCAGATCAAAGTTAAGAGTGGAAGACAAAATCTTTTGGTTTTCACCAGTTTCTTGCTGCTCTGTGTGCATCTATTGGACATCATGATTGAAGATCCAAGCTCGTGACAGTAATGACGGAGGCGCAAGAAGGAACAAGAAGGAGTCGGAAGAGGAGGAAGTTAGATTACCTCTCGTTTAGCAAGTAGAACATTGGGAACAATGTGAGGAAGACAGCGGCCCAACATCAGCATCACACTGTCCTCGTTGTCTGCTATACGGGACACCTGGACACAAAAGCTACTTTAAATCCACTGGTGCTGCTTTTAAATACAGTGATTATTAGTTAGCGTCATCTCTGGTGCAGACCTCAGCTCCAAGGCGGCTGTCTGAGCACATTCTGCAGAAGGAGAGCAAGGCTTGCTGGAAGGCTGGAGATAACTTCCTGGAACCAAAACCAAAGTTGGAATCAGTCGTTACCGTAGAGTCCATGACATTTGCTATTAACGTCATTAAAAGCTCGGAGATCGCCCTGACCGCTAAATAACAGAGGAGGCTGCCAAATGGCCAAACTGCTGTCAGTCTTCTCAGACCGAGAAACCAGATATAAGAAATGTATCAAATATGTTGCAGCAACTACACGAAGGATCACATCAGAGACCGGAAATTATTAAATAAATTACAGAATATTAATTTATTTGTGTTTAAGAAAAAAAAAAGACTCCATGGTCACACAAGAGGGCAGCCAACATGTCTCACATGCTTTTAATGTTTACAAAGATGGTTTACTACCACCATCTAGTGGCTGCTAGTGGGATTACACATAAATAGGATGTAATAAAGTCTTGCAGATAAATAAAAAGTACATCTAACCATATTAATAATGTTCAATTTCATCCCGCCCAATTGGATCATAGACAGAATTAAACAGAATTATATGTAATTTTTTTGTGTTGCACGCATCTCCAGGAAGGAATTTGTTGCAACAATAAAAAGTTTGATTAACAGACTAACACATTTTCTATGGAATCTCAGATTTGTTCGTGTTTTTATTCCTTTCGTTTCTAGGCAACGTGATGACATGATGAATAAAAATTCTCCACGTTCTTGTCCTGCACACCAGAAACTCCCCTCACCTGTTCGGTTGATCGAACTGGACGCGCTGCTGTCTCACGGCTTTGTTGCAGCACTGTAAGTGGGGATGTGATGTGTTCTGATTAGAGGGGGGTGCAGAGACATTTTCCGATTCCGACACCCCTCCGATGTCTAGATGTTGGCCATTATCTGTTGGAGGCTGAGAATAAAAAACATATTTACTTTTTCCTTTCGTGTTCCGTCGCTCCTTTTACTAATATTAGGATCAAAGTCAAGTTATTTAAACAGAACCTGCTCATTTTAAATAAGCACATACCACTGATGGGTTAGTGGAGCAAGAGTTTGAGTTGGAAGAGGAGGACGAGGAAGATGGGCGAGGTGAATTCTGGGAAACCAAATCCAGAGACGTGGGAGGTGGAGAGGAGACGGCCCGTTTCAGTGTTTGAATCTCGCTGAGAAGAAAATTGTAAAAAATAATTAAAATAAGGTGTTTTTAAATGAAACAGGTAATTTTTTTTCTAATTTAGAGCAAAAACAGGAAGTATTTGAGTACAAGCTCATGCAAGCACCTCTGCAGCTTCTTGATCTGGTCAGCTAGACTCTGCTTCTCACCGCTGAGAAGGTTCAGCTGGTACTCCAGCTCCTGCACGACTTCTGTTTGTTGCTAGAAAGGATCATTGAAACAAATGCATGAAAAAGCCATCAATTGCAGGTGTCTGCATAATAAAATCAAACCTCAACTCGCTTTTTAAATAAGGTGCTAAATAGGGCTGCCGCGACTAGTCGACGCGTCACGACGATGTTGACAAAAAAAAAAAAAAGGTCGACGACTAATTTAATAGTCGACGCGTCGTTTTTTTGTATGAGCATTTTTAAAATCTCGCCTGCCAAGACTGGCACATGAAAAGCTTCAAACTTGCCACCATGCCTCTAGAGGAGAGGCACAAACACGATGACTTGGATAGAAGAGGTTTTAGCTGAGTTTGAAATCCTGCCTGTTAAAATAAAAGCAGCAGTTCACGACAGTGGGTCAGATATGGTGGCAGCAATGAGACTGCTTGAAGTGAAACACGGATGGGCCTCTATCTGGTGTGCTGGACTGTGGAGGTTCCTCCAGCCATTTCTCAGTGTTAGTATTTTTTTTTTCACATGCTGGTTTATTATTTCATTTTGTTGCAATATTGTAAGATGTTTACTAATGGGTGCACACATTTAGTAATTTTATACATAGTTTATTTGATCATTAACTATTTTCATTTGTATTCCTGAGATTGGATGAACTGGCAGAGAGAGGGGACACGCCCAGTGTAACTCCAGGCACAGGGTATCTGCAGATTTAAGGGAGACAACTTTAAGACTTTTTAAGACATTTTTAAGGCCACTTTGACCAAATTTAAGCTATTTTAAAAATTAAATTCAAGCGATAATTTCCAGCTATTGCTTGGAACCGGTGCTAACCACGTCGCAAACGTGGGATTAGCCATCCAGTTACCATTAAACTTGCCCTTCCCCATGGCGCAAGCTCCCACTAGCTTAACCAGCTAATGTGCTCATCTAGAAAAATAGCCCCCTTTCACAACCAACTGAATGTGTACGGTTCCGCTTACGCCAACATCATACACAAAAAATGCTGAACACTAACTAGAAATTCACGAAATTTTTATAGAAATAAAAGAATCTTGTTTCTTGGGTCTTTGGTAATTTAAGACCTCTGGAAACTGTATTTAAGGATTATTTGTCATTTTTAAGGACTTTTAAGGCCTTAAATTAGGAAAAGCTAATTTAAGACTTTTTAAGACTTTTTAAGGACCCGCGGATACCCTGCAGGCAGGAAGTGGAACATTCCATCTGGCTCCTGGAAGCAGGGGACTTGATAATGAAGAAACCAGAAACCAGACGTTCTGAAGCTCTAATTGAGTTTACCAGATTTTGTTAGGATGTATTATTTAAACTTTTTGTGGTAGTTATACTTTGTTGACTTGGTTTCCTAGGTTTATTTACCGTTTGTCTTAGTGTTTCCCCTGTCTCTCCCCTCCTCATTGTCTGTAGGCTAGCCTGTGTGTATAAATTCCCCTGTGTGTGTCTCAGCTGGGTGAGTCTTGCTTGTTACTTTTAGTTAAGGTTATTTTTGTGGCCATTTTTTCCTTTGGGCCTGGTTTTGTTTTGATTTTGGTTAATTATTTATGAAATAAATGGAGAAGATATTCTTTTTATACCATTGTCCTGGAGTTTTACTGCTCGGTCCCTGACATGGACGCACACTCCATCTCATGTTTCTGTGCATCTTTGCCACTTCCAACGCCATCTGAGCGGACCTTCTCTGCAGCTGGGGACATCTGCTGTCAGAAGAGAGCAAGCCTCTCTCCTGAACGTGTGGAAATGCTGACTTTCCCGAGTCTAAACCAGGACCTTGTGTGATTATTTAGCTGGATACATTTCATGTGAGCTCAAGTGTTTTTTGTATTTTAGTTTTTAGTTGCTTACATCTGATCTGTTTGACATTGTAGCATTTGTATTAGCATGTTGCAACAAAATTCATTAAAAGCAGTTTGATAAGCTATTATCTTTTCTTTATAATTAGATGGCACATAACTGATCACACGTAGAACTAGAAGCTAATGATGGGTACATTAGAGCATCCTGGTGCAAGAAGCTATACTTTTATGAATGACACCATTGGTCGCGACTAATCGTTACCAAACTGGCGACTAGTCGACTAATAAAATAGTCGTTTGTGGCAGCCCGAGTGCTAAAGCCAATTTTCAGAAATCTGTGCAGTAGATCGTTAAAATCCTGTGAGGATTTCTTGTTTTTCTCTGAATGGTGTGCGTTTTTATTTATTTATTTATTTATTTTATCAGACAGAAATATAAAAGGATTGTGCAACTTTTAATATATAACACTTTGAAGAACCTGGATGCTTGAAAATAAATTAAACTGTATGGAGGAGCATTTGCCTTGCTCAACATTGAGTAAGAGGTGTAGCATCTTGCTTTTCCTGCACAAGCACACCCATTATTAAAAAATGAGCAAATATTGACCAACTGATAGAGCTGCCTCTAAATGCATTCAGCTGTTCAGGTTCATTTGGTAGTCCCCAAGCAGAATGGTATTAACAGGCTTTTAACGTGGCCCTCGTGAGTCTTAACTGGAAGATTTCATACAGAAAAAGAGTCGATCCTTTCATAATTTACCAAATAATCTCAGCCTAATAAGTTTGTACTAAAACTATTTATTTTATAGGTAATTCTCGTGTGAATCAACCTTTTTAATTTACCGGAAACAAACAGCAAAAACTAATCAAATTGAGTAGCGGGTTGAATGCATTTGTCTTATTAGTTAAAATCAGTAGAATTTGCAAAGAAAAGTTAGTTTTTGCTGCCAGACGCAAACAAAACAGAGTGTGTGCTTTTTTTTTTTAACACGGACCTGTTGGGATAGATCAGGTTTCTTTACGGGCTCCTGAGCGAAGCGGATTTCCGAAAGATCGCCTAAGTCTACACCGACTGATGCGTCCACTCGTTCCCGTGGAGAAGTGAGAGAGCTGCCACAGTTCCTGTAGAGCTGCAACAGGTCCGGGGGTTTTGGGATGTTGAGGCCAACGTCATCCCACAACTCAAAGTCCTGGAAAACAGCACAGAACAAAGCAATTAAACACACCGATTCCATGCAGGGCGTAGAGCACAGCTAGACATAAAGATTTCACCTGATCATCATTTTCATCGGAGAATGTGATGGATGTCAGCTTGTACTCGTTTTTTAATAAATACTCATTCACGAGGAAGTTTAAGGCTCTTTTCTCCAGTGGACGTATGGGTTCCTGTGGTAGAAAACACAAAGAGAGCCTCATTTTAGTCAGCAATACATTTTTACTGCATTTATTTAAAGGCCCAGTGTGTGAAAAAAATGTCTCTTTGGCACCACACAGTTCAGAGTAGGTACTGCAGCTACGGTAGCCCACAGGCACCAAAAAGGCAATATGTCATTAATAGTCGTGTTTCAAGTAATCGAAATAAAAGTCTGATTGGGGAAAAAAAATGTTTCACGTAAAACGCGCCATTTAGAATACTCTGACTTGATCACACGCATTAACATGTCCTTCCGATTGAGACGGGTGGGTCACGCCGATTGTTATTCAAATCTCTGTGCATGCAAGCACTTCCTCTGAACGTAGGTCATTATTCCGCATACCTGCTATGTCATGCATAGACGTACGTTCTGCGTACGTTTACTGAAGGTAGAAGAAAACATGGCGGGCTTAACTCATTCACTGCCAATGACGACTAAAGTCGTCGTTTGCATGTTTTTACTGTGTGGGCGGCGGAACGAGCCCCCGCGCCGAGAGAACAAACTTCTCAGCTCTGAAGCCGATCTTCATCCGCATACGTCACACGTCAAATGATCAGAAAGCAGAAAATCCATGTGTTAGGAGATCGTTTTGGGCCGTTCCTGTAAAAAAAAAAAGCGAGGCGCGAACCGGAAAAGCTTCTGCCGATCACAATTCAACAACGGATTATGAAAGAAAGGATAACGGTCGAAACGTGCGGATTCTTCCTGATGCAAGAGGTGAGTCTACTCATTGTTTTGGCGTCGACATCATCCTAGCACGCAGCGTTCTGTGACTCTTAAAAAAACGTAAAAACGGTGAGAAACGCTGGCAGTGAAGGGCTTTACCGATCAGGAAATGGATGGCAGCAAATTAGTAAAAATAAATAAACCAGGTCAGTTTCGGACACACATGCGTCGCTAGAGTTGTTAGAACTAACGATTATAGAAAGACTTGACAGTAGAAAGTGTAGAAACTCTGATTTGTTCACTAAGGTAATAAACCTGAGCAGAAAAAAACTTTAGCACACTGAAGAACTGCTTCATTTTAAACGCAAGCAGCCATGTTTGTTCACAAAGGATGTCCGCTACTTCTACTGTAGATGGCTCTACGCGTGTCAAAATGATTCATTCCGGCTGAACGTGTGATCGATGTAAACGCTCGTCAGAATCAGATACATGTTTTCAAATTCTAATCAAATACCTGATTAACACCATTTTGCACACATAAACATAGCTAGTGTTATTCTAACAAACCAAATACAGCAACAGTGCACCTATTCTCTTCCTCTAAAGGCTAGTTTATACATTTCCCTGCAACGCCATTATCCGTCATCAAGGGCTCTCCAACAGGCTCGCAAGGACGAATGGAGTTGAGCCCAATTTTCTAAATATAAGTCAAAAGCGACGGAGTCCGCAAGCCTGTGATTGGTCTGGACGCAGCTTCCTTTAAATTCATCAGCAGCGCCGCCATTTGGCCTCAAAAAAATAAAATGAAAGCCAAACACTTCTGGCAGAAGACGCGGAGCAGATTGAAGAACGACTGACGGGAAACGTGAGTTTAGAGGTGGTGACAGGATAAAGAGGTGGAGGACGAATATGTCCAAGTTAAAATGTCCCTGAAATACATAAATGCAGTATAAACACATTAGAAACATGACTGCATATCCTAGAAAGGGGCCACGCCCTCTGCTGTCCTGGCAGAGAATTGCTTTACACTGACACACCAACAGAGAATTTAAAAAGAAAACATCTCAGTCGATACGCGTGCGTGCAAAGCTGCTTTAGTCGGTTTGGCAAACTGCATGCTTCCAAGGCGTAATGCTGCCCCCTGCTGTTTATTTCAGGTTACATCATGTCAAACTGCAATGTAAAATGCAGAGGATCATGTCTGGTATGTCCTTAAACAGCTACTGTATTTCAAAATGGCGCATGACAACGTAGGGTCGACCGCAGTTTTTGTATGTAAAAATACTTAGAAATACTTAGAGTAAACGTTGGTGAGAAACATTATTTGATAGTAAACAAGTGAAATATTCCACACTGGTCCTTTAAAAAAAGGAGAAAGAAAGAAAATGTCACTTTTTCTGATTTCAAAGGTTTCCCACCTGAATATCAGGACTTGATTTGAAGTTTTTTCTCTCCTGAGATGGAATTTCACTCTCTGAGAAACAAACAAATATATATCAGATTGCTGAATTAGTGCTGCTGAGAACTGGTCATCGATTGTAGAGGTATTCTCTTAGCAACAAAATAAAAAGAAACGTTTTAACAAAAATGGGTTTCAGGTGGAGAAGAAGTCAAAAGTGCGCCACACCTGCTGCCTGAGTCAAGTTTGCGCGCAGAGCCTGTATGGTCTCCTTTGCTTTCCGTAGCTCAAACTCCAGCACTGGACAGGAAATGACAACACACACAGGAAGTGGATCCAACAAAGGACAGGGAATAGACAAAAATAATACAGAAAAGATCAAAAGAATCAGAAATCAAACAAAACAAAATAAAATAAAATAAAAGTCATGCAAACCATGGGTTTATAAAAACACATGCAGCAGAGGATGGTGGTAGACCTGTCCAGATTTTTGACAGGTGTGTGAAATGAATTTTTGCTCATTTTTCCTCCCATTCAAACAATCAATGACAATTAACTCATGAATGAGATCTAATTCAACTTAAAATGGAGCTGAATTAAAAAAATAATAACTTCAAGCTACTGATCCTAATAATCTAGGAGCTGTCTGACACAGGTTTTACATTTAGGCAAAAAGGCCTAATTAATGAGTAATTATTAATACGTTTCAAACCACTCAGTGGACAGCCACATCTCAGGGAGCGCGTACATCAAACATTAGGTTACTACATTAGAAACAACTCAGTTCACATCTGATTTCATCATCTGTACTTTTTTACTTTTACCCAAAAATGTTAAAATTTTGACAAAAAATTTGCATTTGAAATGTAACAAAAAACATGAGATGAGTTTAAAGTACTTCAAAACTGTTTTCTAATTGGTTTATTTATACTTTCCTTTTATTGTAAACTAACTTTGAACAAGGCAGAAAAAAAACCACACCAGATCTTGAGACACGCTAGAGTAAAGACACATGCAAAAGCGATGGAGCATTCAAATAACGTTGCATAGATGTGCACTGAAAATCCGCCATTTATACCAACCTCGTTGCCCTTAAAACCTACTAATACTTCCTTTTTGTCCCTTTTATGGTTTTATTCTTCCAACGCTTTCTGAATCGAACGCGTTAGCAAACAACGTCAGCAGATCTAAAGTGCACAGATTGCAATCGCAACAAAATGAAAAACCATGAAAATAAATAAGAACGAAGGGAGAAGAGCAGGAAGCTAGTCTAGATGGAGTGACTTGTCCAGAGGTTCACTGGGGTTTGATCAACGTCAGGAGAAAACCCAGAGTCAGACAGCTGGGGGTGGGGCAGGCGCCTTAACAAGAACAGGTGTGCTTGGAAGGGGAAAAGAGGAAAGGGGGTGCGTTCCAATTTGGTGGATGGGAAGTGTATGGAAACAGGATTTGTATTTTAAAAGATGCATTTGTAGGGATGAGGGGAAACCAAAGTCTCTGCTGCATGGGTTAGTGAAATTCTAAACACTAAACCAGAAGATGTTGACGCATTCGGCATGTTGGATTTAAACGTTAAAAAATATAAATTTTATTTAATTCTGCTATTATGCACATTCAGTTTTAATGAAATATTTATTGTTTAGCAGCTTAAAACATTCATATCATAGTTATGAGCTGTTAATGACTACAACATGCTTTAGAGTGACCCTTGCATGGCAGAACTGTTTATTTCGGTTTGTGCAATCAAGCAATAAAAGTCAGATTTATTTTCGGTCTACACTGTAAAACTAGCAACACTAGTCACCAGACTGGCTCGTATTGGAACAGCTGCTCTCAAAAGGCAGGCTTGCATGACGGTGCGCCACTAGCGTCAAACACAAATGGTGTGTCACGACTGGGCCACAAGGAAAGGAGAGAATGTGTTTGAAGAATGCAGAGGAGTCTCGATTAAACAGTGTGACACGTAAAAGGAGCTCCAAATCCAACCCGACCAATATCTTGTCTCGTCATCTTGTATTTCCTCAAAGGTGAGCTGGGATTCCTCCAGCGCTGTGCCCTGACGCGACAGGTCATCTTACCTGCCACCCGTTCGTCTGTCTCCCGGTTGCCGTCATCCGAGTAACGTGCAAAGTCCAAAGAGTCCAAGGTGCTAATACTGCCTGCTCGATCTGGACAGAGACACAGACACAGAGGGGGACGTGAGACGTTGACATCTAAAGCTTAATAGAAAAGCCCCTTTAGTTACAGTCCTACCACAGAGCCTAGGAGTACTTTCACAAGTACTTTAGTCTCTGGGACCAGACAGAGCTGATAAATAAGCATACTTGTGCTCATATTTCACTGAGCTCGGCTGCCCTGGTTAGCTTCGTCGGTGGTATTGGCTTTCTCTCCACTGCAGGTGCAAGATTGGCCAGATAATCAGATCCCATAAGGTTGAACCAAATGTTTCCTACGGCCCTGAAAACCAACTTATGCAAAGCTCAACAGAGCGGTGCATAAAGGCAATGTCTAACGGAAATTCTGCGCTGGTGCTAATGCTAACTCTAATGCTAACTCTAATGCTTAGCGTTTACTTTGGACAAGTTTCCTCCAAGCAGATTCTTAAATTGAATGCCAAATTAAATGTGTGGAGTTTATATGGGGCTGCATGGTGGCGCAGTTGTCAGCACTGTTGCCTCGCAGCACGAAGGTTGCAGGTTCGAAACTCGGCTGCGGCCTTTCTGCGTGGAGTTGCGCGTTCTCCCCATGCATGCGTGGGTTTCCTCCGGGTACTCCGGTTTCCCCCACTGATCACAACATGCCCTATAGGTTATAAACTGTAAGTCGCTTTGGATAAAAGCGTCTGCTAAATAAATAAACATAAACATATATAATTTAAATACTTTTCATTTCTTTAAAATGTGTGTGTGCGTGTGTGTGTGTGTGCGTGTCACATGTTTGAATGCATGACCAGATCACACAGCACTGCAGATCCTAATGTTTGTGCGAGTGTGTGAATGTGTCCTTGTTGTGCCTTGCTGAGTTCACGTTAACAGCCATTCCTGCAGGGAATGCAGTTCAAGTCCCAACTTCCTGGTTTAATCCTGGAAATTTTGCATTTGCTGCTGCGTGTGACTGTAACCCAATCAGCTGAACGCTTAGTTACAACGTTTGGCTGTGTGTGCATTTATAAGTAAAATTAAAATAAATGTGTGTGTCATTTCTACATGGCCTTTCCGTTGCGTGCAAACATGAGCCGGCGTAATGGACCGACTGTTTTAGCCAATTAAAGTTAAGAAATCAATTAAACACCAAAAGACGAGTTTAGAGTTCAAACACAAAGAAATAAGGACAAACATAATACCAGGATGTAAGTAAAGAGCTCATTTATTTAATTGAATAATTGTTTTTAGCTAATTCCACCACGGTTTAGAAGTAAACATGAGGCGACGGTGCAAAAACACAAAGAAATCAGAGACAGCAGCACATATATGTGGATGAAAATTAGAATAAAAGTAAAATCATTCTGCACAGTAAGTGTACATATTAAATTAATTTGGTAACGTATTCATGTGGAATATTGCTTTTTTAACAGCGTTTACATTCCAACATAAGTTCTTTATCTATGTTATTGTGTGTGTTTACTAAGGTGTTCGCACACACACCAAACCCAACGGGCACAGAATTACCTGCCATTGTGAAAAAACAGTTCTTTATGGGCCAGAACCAGTTTAAAATGACACAAGCTCTTGCAATTATTGCAATATTATCATCGTTTGCTTCTACAAGTAACTTAAACCCTCATTAACTACAAAAACACACACACATGAATGTTGTTTAGCTCATTTAAAGCTAATTTAAAGCTGCAATCCGGAGTTTTGCCCCTTTCACAAATTAAGCACGCCATTTAGAAATCAGTAAAAGGGATATTTGTACCATGTACAATGTAGGAAATCGTATTTTTCGCTAAACCCGCCCCGTAGAACACTGAGCAATATGAATTGAGCAATAGCATTAGGCATACGCTTATTAACAGATGTCAATCAAAGAGAAAGTGCGCATTTGCTAAATTGATGCAGAGTTGGCACCTTTTCCTTTGGGCAATAGAACAGCATAATGTGAGACTAATACCTGTAAAACTATGTGTTTTAGCTCTGTTGCCTGGCTAGAGGTGCGTGCTCACAACTAAGAGATGTTGCCTCAGCTGTAATCACGGAGGTAGGGAGAGGGGCTTATGGTGTAATTTATATTTCCGCCTCTAGATGGTGCCCTCTGAGAAAAAACTCTGGATTTCTGCTTTAAAGCCAAACATAAAATGGGAAACTATTTGTCTAATAATATCATCAGCACAGTCATGGTTAAAACATGACTCAGCACAAACAAAAGACAATGCTGAACACATTTTAAGACGTGTTCACTTCTGTGTGTGTGTGTGTGTGTGTGTGTACTTCTTTAAAATCACTAAACATCTAAAGAAACAATTAACTAGAGGTGCTGAAAAACAATCGATTCAAGTCTGAATCGGGATTCTTATTTATAAAGATTCAGAATCGATTCCAGGAACTCAAATGTTTGGCATGTTACAGGTTTGAGATGCACTTTTGTCTGTTTTTTGGTCATTGATAGGAGAGTCAGTACTCCGTTTACTTTTGCAGTCCCATAAATTGGGATGATTTATGTTTGAATCTGCTGATATGTGGGGACTAGAATGTAATTTTTTCCATACTCAGAAATTTGAGATATTCTCATATTTATTTTCTAAGTTGATAAATCAGTACTCAGGATTACTCAAGTGTTTATGTGAAGTTATTGATAAATGAGAGATCACATTTTCCTTTGCAAGAAATCTGAGGCACTTTTTTTGTAAACAGTTTGAGGACTCAAGTATTAAACTTGTTTCCACACATACTTAAAAAGTATTTGACTGTATTACTTTCAAGCTACTGTTAGGTAACTAAAGATTTGTTATATTTTACAATGTAAGCAAAAATAAATGTTGCCTTTGGGTCAAAAGATTGTTTCCGTTTACAGTTTTAGAATCACTTTATTTTACCTTGTAAATTAGCTTTTCTTTTAGCTTGACCACTTTAAAGTAAAATAAAAAAAAATCCCACAGCTTCAACTAACTTGCACAACAAAGTAGTTAATCCTGGAGCTGACACTCTTTGTTAATATTGATCGAGAATCGATTCTGAATCGAATCGGCACCCCGAGACTCGGAATCAAATCAAATCGTGAGTTGCTCTGAGATTCACATCCCTACAATTAACTTTCAGCTTTTTACCCCCAAATCACCTCAAGTGTGTTTTTTCACTAACATAATCAACTGAGGAGTAGCCTGTGGTCCCCACCTGCAGAACCACACCTTTATAGGGGATTTCTGGCTAATTGCCTCCTGTTGTCTATTCCATTTGCACAACAGCATAAGAAATCAATTGTCCATCAGTGTCGCTTCCTAAGTAGACAGTTTGACTTCACAGAAGTGTGACTGACTTGGAGTTACATTGTGTTATTTAAGTGTTCCCTTTATTTTTTGAGCTGTGTTTTTTGTGTTTTCACCAAGATAATCAAACTGCCACAGTTGAGCATCTGATTATAATGACCGAAAAACTACCCTATGATCCTACACTGGAAGTCGAAACGCCAGAACGCCATTCCTACCGCCTCGCGACAAATCAGCAAAGCAGTGGGAGATGTCTTGCTGCACCATGTGGCCCCGAGCAACAGCTGCAGATGCAGCACTGTGATTAGTGGTCACATGCTCACTACAGGTCCAGGCTGAGCTCTTAATGGCCACATTAAATACATATAAAAGTCAGTCGGCTGTTGATTTCTGCTTTCATGGATTCTAAGATTTGTGCATTGTTGACTGTAAAGAGCAATCGGAACTCCAAACATAACTGAACCATGTTCTGAAAGCACGCTTTGTAGTGTTCTATAGATTGTTAGCGTGGTTACGCACAGCAAAATCTCAAGAACAATGTTTCTCAAGATGTTTATCGTGTGGTGCCACATCAATAAGCATTTCAGTCAATTTAATCACCAGCAAATACAAATCTATTCAGCACCTTCTGAGGTCATAACCAGGGATGCAACAATACCACTTTTTTCCAAACCGATACGATACCGATACTTGGATCGGAGTACTCGCCGATACCGATTACCAATACCGATACTTTTACCACACAAAAAAATGCAATGATTTGGAAAACAGATTTTATTTTCTGCTCTGCTTTCTACAGGAAAAGACTGTGAGGTAGATCAAAAGTAAAATATATGAATGGAAATCATCACAAAACTAAAATATTATGTGAACAGAAATGACAAGTTACAGCGAAGCCATTTTCAAGCAACTGTATTGGTATCAGTTCCTGGTATCGGTTAACTTTTACCGATACCGATACTGGTATCGGTGCCAATGCCGATACCAGTATAGTATCGGTGCATCCCTAGTCATAACCCAGTCTGACACTGAATTAGATTCAACTCAATAAGTAAACATAATATTGGTTGTATTTACAGCTGCCTTGACTTGAAATGTTGATTGATATTATTAAAAAAAACTGCAGGACTTTACCAATTAAAGAAAACTGCTGATTTTCATCAACTAACACTCCTCTCTAAGCTACTGGGTATATACTTCACACAAAATAAAGAATGTCCTTCACTTTCAGTGATCACAAGATCTTAGCTATCAGAACGATACGAAGAGGATTTTTTTATGTTTAATGTTGGATTTGACTTTCCTAATTCTCTAATAATTTACTATATTTATAAGCTCTGGCTTATCAACAGCTAATGAGGCAGCAATCCATGATCCTGTATGACACATCTGTCAGTTTAACACCAGGGGAGCAATGAGTTCCTGTCACTCTGTTCAAAAACAGATTGTATGGCTCCATGTTTAAATCTGTTGGGGATTGTAAGCAACAACTAAACTTTTGTGATTAAATTAGAAATGTACGGGCATCTCTAAGGGATACAAAGCCAGTATTCATGAGTATGTTGGGACTTCAGACTGACAAGCATATAATAAAATTATAAATCTACTCTATGCAATAATCTGAGACCCTCACAGATCGAGGCTATAGTTGATCATTTAAAAAAAAGAGAGTTTTTTAGTCTGTAAACATTTTAAATATTTGGGATGTGAATCTAAGAGCAACTCACAATTTGATTCGATTCCGATTCTTGGGGTGCCGATTCGATTCAGAATCGATTCTCGATTCTCAATTTAAATCGATTCACAATCAGTATTAACAAAGAGTGTCAGCTCCAGGATTAACTACTTTGTTGTGCAAGTTAGTTAAAGCTAAGTGACATTTTTATCTGACTTTAAACTGGTCATGCTCCAAAAATGCAAATTTACAATGTAAAATAAAGTGATTCTAAAACTGTAAACAGAAACAATCTTTTGACCAAAAGGCAACATTTATTTTTGCTTACCTTGTAAAATATAACAAATCTGTAGTTACCCAACAGTAGCTTTGAAAGTAATATGCTGAAATACTTTTCAAGTATGTGTAGAAACAAGTTACATGAGTAATCCTGAGTACTCATTTATCAACTTAGAAAATAAATATGAGAATATCTCAAATTTCATTCTGAGTATGGAAAAATGACATTCAAGTGCCCTCTTATCAGCAGATTCAAACATAAATCATCTCAGTTTATGGGAACACAAAAGTAAACGGAGTACTGACTCTCCTAACAAAGATCATAAACGTGCATCTCAAACCTGTAACATGCCAAATATTTGAGTTCTTGGAATCGATTCAGAATCTTTGTGAATCGATTCTGAATCTTTATAAATAACAATCCCGATTCAGGCTTGAATCGATTTTTTTCAGCACCTCTACTTTTTCTTCCTCTATTTATTAATTTGGACACAAATGAAATTTATTAATGAGACATCGTCATCAATCATGTATCTATAGACTTGAGTCTTCCCATCAATTGTCCACATGCTCATTGACACATGATTTTAACTTTATATTAACAAAGCACCCAGTTAACTGGACCCATGACTCTGTGAGTTTCCCATTTGTGAAAAGACCCTCTTTAGTGTGGGGGTTAGCACTGATTATTTCGTTAGCTGGGGATGGTGCAGTCATACAACCATCAATAGAAAATCTAATTGTATTATGGTCTGGAACATCCAGGTCTTTGAAACACATCCGACACCCTGATACCTCAGGGATCCTTCCACATCTAAGTCAATATTTTGATCCTTGTTGACTTTAAAAGCTTCATATGACAAATATTGTTTCTTTTACGGCTCATCTGCAATTGAATACAAAGTTGAAAGGCAAGTAGTGCAAGAATCCAGCTCATTTTCCTACCATCTTGTTGCTCCTGCTGACTTCTGACCTCCTGGCAGCCAGAGGAAAAGGATGCTTTCCCTCATGTTTTCTGTTTTAATAAGGTGATCATCACTACCTGTTTATATTAATATCGCGCATCTGCCCCTGCGATCCATCAACTTCTAGCAGGCCGACAATATTTAATGTGAATCCCGATCTAGTTGAAAGACCCACAAAACCCGTCTGGTGACTGCGGCCCTTCAGGGTAAGCACGAGCAGCAGGAGATGATCTCCAAAACCAGCGTTTTAACCTGACACACAACGACAAATCAAGAGAAGTGTAGCGTGCGCCATCAGAAGCAGCTTATGTTACTCACTAAGTGGTCCTCCAGGTCCGAGTACCTGGTCTTTGGCAGGTGGAGTACCGCTCTGACGCTCGAAGTTGCCAGGGTTGGAGAAATAATCCCTCAGTCTCGGAAGCTCCCTGCCTGCTTCCAGCAGTTCAGTGTGAAACTCCAAGGCCGTGAGAATATACTGGTCCTTTAATAACTGAGCAGCAATGCCATCCACAGAAATCCGAGTCTCTGCGGTGCCTGCCATAGCGGTGGGAGCCGAGGCCGACACGCAGATGCCCTCAACACTGGGGCTCGTACGGTTGCCGGACAGTGGAAGCGCTGGAGGCTCGGCGTCTGCAGGGGGAGAAAACGGATTGCCTGGTGGCCCTGGCGCTCCGTCACTCGGACTCCTTTCTGTGTCAACTGTTTCATTAGGACCACGCTCAGCTTCTTCTTCCGAATCGCTGAGATTAAACGGGTTGACCGACGCCATTTTTCCCACTATAAAGATTTTTTTGCAACCTAACCAAGCTAAGCTAATCAGAAACGCCTCTTCCTGAACGGATAGAGATGGAGGTCGATTTTCATGAGGGACGAGAATGGGAAACTCTGATTGGCTACATTTAAGGTGCGTCACACTAAATTCCGCCTCTTTTGTGGGCTGCTACAAAATCATTGGATGATTTCCAGCTAAGTGGGCGGGGCAATTGTAGCTCATACATTGACAGCTCATACTAGCTAACGAACTGTCAAAAAAGACTGTCAAGCGACATACTTCAAAAATGTACATTTTTACAGATAAATACATGATGAAATAAAACATTAGTTCTTGATTAAAACGTTAACTGTAAAAACCCTGCTAGAACATAAAAAATGGCAAATTCCTACACTACCCACAATTCCGATGTAGGCACATGCGTAAAAAGTCTACGTCAGGTCACAACAAGGAAGTAGTGGAGCGCGCATTTCTTTTAATCTTATTAGACACAGGGGTGCTTAAAAGCATTCAGTTAAAGATTACGTTGATCTTGTTTTAAACAACAGCAGCAACCTGTTCGAGTCTCTGGATTTTATCTAGGAAGATAAAACCGAAGCTAACAAATCAGTTCTGAATGAAAGAAAAGTTGAGCAGAAATTCGTTCTCTTTCTTCCCTTAAAGCATTCCATGTTAAAGAGTCGCTGACGCTGCAAACAGGTAAGATAACTTTTGTATGGCCTACGATCTGAGTGAATTTTAAAGAACTGGTCTCTTGTTAAACAACAGTGACAGCTGGGGAAAGCAAATACCAGAAATAAAAGGATGATTTGTGTTTTCGTCTTTGTTGGCATGTTTGTGATGGCACGTGGTTAAGGGATTTGTGCTGTCTTAATCTTTCCATGGTACAGCCATTCTGTTTGTCCCGTTAACTTGACCTTTATATGAAATAGTTTGGTAACACTTGACAGTAAGGGCCTCTTTATTATTGTTACTTAATGCATTATTAAGCATTAAAGGCGTGGTTTGAAATCCTCATTCTTTCATCTGCTGCCATCTTGGATCCAGTGCTACCTTGACAGTCAAGATGAGGATGATCACCTTTTTCCTGGTTGGACTGGCGGTCCACGTTGTCTTCTTCCTGTCCATCTTTGATATCTACTTCACATCTCCGCTGGTCCATGGTATGACACCCCAGACTACACCACTGGCACCCCCTTCCTCCAGACTGGTGTTATTTGTAGCTGATGGGCTCAGAGCTGACAGTCTCTTTACATTACTTCCTGATGGCTCATCAAGGACTCCATACTTGAGGTTAGAAAATTGATTTAAATATATTGTTTGGCAACCTCCTTCCTCATATTGAATCTGAACATCTCCGTGTTCTCATATCAGGAGTGTAATAGAGGAGACGGGTACCTGGGGTGTGTCTCACACACGAGTTCCTACTGAGTCTCGACCCGGTCACGTTGCTCTCATCGCAGGCTTCTATGAGGATGTTAGCGCAGTCGCTAAAGGTATAACTAAAACTAGTTGGGATATTTCACGTTCATCCAGTTCTGAATGAGTGATTTCGTCATTGCGTGTCTTTGTGGTGACCTGTTTGAGCTCATTTTCAGGCTGGAAGGAGAATCCAGTGGAGTTTGATTCAGTGTTTAATGAGAGCAGAAACACCTGGTGCTGGGGAAGTCCAGATATCCTGCCTATGTTTGCCAAAGGTAGACATGTTCAACCTGATAAAATCACACACAGAAACTTTAAGCTATTGTAATCATATCAAATGTGTCAAAATGACTAACAATATCATTATGTGGAAGTTTGATATCAATTCATTCAGTGGTCTCCAATCTTTTCAGCTTTAGACCCACAAAAGAGTCATTTTCCAGACATGCAATCCCCGGGTTGATTCAACAGAACATTAATAAATCGGGGCATGAAGAAAAAGTGCTTCTGCTCATTTTCACCATTTAGTTGAACATTATTATAGAAGTATAACTTCAGCAATTGTTTTTCCGTTTTACTTTGATTTCTGGAAATCATCCTTACCACGGACTTAATTAGTAGTTTTATTCCTTACAATGTTTCTTCATTGCAATTCAAATAATGTTTATATTTCTGAGATAATCTTTTTTTGTGGTTCTTTCAGGTGCCAGTGGAAACCATGTTCATACTCACACATACCCGGCAGAGGAAGAAGACTTTGCTTCCACAGATGCCTCCAGGCTGGACACTTGGGTGTTCACTCAAGTCAAAGTAAGCGGATTGTACCAGAGTTCGCTTGTTAAGTTTGACCCTCTCACTTGTGTGATAACCCCAATAATGTTTATTCTTTTTAACAGTCCTTTTTCCAGTCATCAGAGTCCAACTCCACCCTGAAGGCCAGTCTGCTGGAGGATAAAAATATATTTTTTCTGCATCTTCTTGGCATTGACACCAACGGTCACGCTCACAGACCCATGTCAAAGTGGGTAGACTGTTTGAGATCAATTTATCTTGTTTTGCTTTTGAAGTGTTTATGGATTATTCTTTAAAGCAGAAATCTGTAGTTTTTTCCTCAAAGGGCACCATCTAGCGGCGGAACAATGTATTGCACCTTAAGCCCCTCGCCCTACTTCTTTGATTACAGCTGGAAGCGACGTCTCTTATTGGTGAATGACCACCTTTGGCCATCCAATAGAGCTCAAACACAGTTTAACAATTATTATACTTGTCCGTAAGAAATGTCCACAACTCTGCATCAGTCTAGGTACATCCACAAATGTGCTTCCTTGATGTGATTGCCATCTGTAAGTGGATGTCTAACACTACTGGCTAATCCAAACAGTCACTCCAAACAGTTTCAGTCTAGGTCACGCCCCCTGCATCTAATCAATACGATTCCCACACAATAGCGGCTATCGACTCATTGGGGGTAGGGGTATTCATAAGTAGTTTCTGTTTGTTAAGCAACAACAGACAGCTATAGTTTATAACCTTGACTCTCCATATTCCAGATTTCATCAGGTTCTACAGGGCAGGCTTAGCAAAAAAAATAAAAAATAAACAAATAAATAAAAATCACGGTTTAAAGGGATTATAAGGAAGTTTGACAGTCAAAACATGTTTAGAAATGATACATTTCTTCTTCATACATTCTCCTGCAACAGTTCAAATCGAAACGGCGCCATATTGGCAGGCAGAAGCCGGCAGCTGGGCTATTTGTTATTGTCAGAAAACTCAATCAAACAGGAAATATGGTAGATTCCTGTTGTGCCCCAGGATGCAGAACAGACACGGGCGACATAAGGGATGAGCCATCTACAGGATTCCCCAAGATCCGGAACGCCACAAACATTGGATCATTGTAAGAAAACGCGCTAGTGACTGGGCTAAAATGAAACTGTGGGACCCCGAGAGTAAAGGTTTTCACTTATGCAGCGACCGCTTCATATCAGGTACTTAAACCAACGTTTCCTCAACTGTGTGTGGTGTTTATTTTAAATGCTTTTATTACGATTCTTAGTGGGCTTCCTAAACTTATTTTGGCGTGGCTTTTTCTGTCTTATTACTCACAGCAACAAGTAAACATCACGTAAAACGTTGCCTCGTGATTTCTGCGTGCTGCCGTTTACGTGTTTTATGATCACAGCAATTAACCGGCTAAGCTGTATTTAATTTTTAAGCTATGGTTGATCAATTGTCAGATCACACATAAAAAGCACTTTGGATTGCTATTATCTGTCTCACCGAGACAGATCTCAGACAGATCCTGAGACGCTCCTGCCTGACATATTTATTTTATTCACGGACAAAAATCAGACTAGTGATTTCTCTTGGAGTTCAGTTTATACATTCAAACAGCACAGCACTCTATTTAAACTTCTTACATGTAAATCTATGTTATTTGTCCATCCATCCATTTTCATGCGCTTATCCAGAGTCAGGTCGCGGGGGCAGTAGCCTAAGTCGAGAGGCCCAGACTTCCCTCTCCCCAGTCACTTAGGCCAGCTTCTCCGGGGAAATCCCAAGGCGTTCCCTGGCCAGGTCCGGTAAGAGGTCCGCTCCGACAGCTTCTGGCGTTTTAAAAAGTATCCCAGGGGCATCGAAAGGGTCGGAGATGTTTAATCTATTTAATTACTGACTATATAAAACGATTTCTTCGGTTTTAAAGTGTGAAGTAAACTCAGACGGACTAAAATCCAAGCCGATCCCGTTCATTTTGTTTACCTTTGTTGTCTGCCAACATGGTGTCTACTCTCCGAGTCACGTGACGTCCGGAGCTCTATACCACATTACCTGGTCACTTTTACGCATTTCTAAATGATCACACATCAATCTAGCCTGGCAAGATATCCTACATATGCGAGTATGTAGTCTAGCCATGACCCACAGACAGAGCTCGGTCATGGGGCGGATTCTTCGGTTGTCTTGAAAACTTTCCCCACATGCTATTGGACAAAGAACAACGTGGCTTACTTACCGCTGCGGATAACAGTAAACGGGACAGTTTTCAACTGTCGGAGAAATATGTCCTTTTTCTAAATAAGGAATATTAGTACCTCTATTACGTCCCTGGCTCTCTAGGAGAGATGAGGATAGGGAAGTAATAAAATTGGTGTGCGGGTGAAATAATAACAATGTGCTGTGTCGCTAAAATAACAAAGGATTTTATTACAAAAGAGTATTTACAACATTAAAAGGAATATCTTTGTACAAAACAAAAGGAGCTATATACAAAAAAAAATGGGGGGAGAATGGAAAACGCCAACCCAGAAGGGGTAGGGGATTAACCAACCGAAAATATGAAGAGCTTTCCTGATAAGCAGGAAAACTCGGGAGATCCGAGGTCAATGTCAATAAACGTTCCGAAGTCGAGTTGCCAAAGGGTCTAATCCTAAATCCAAATCCAAATGAGTGTGTATACCGACGACGAACGAGAGCAATATGAGTTTTACCAGAAAAGCGCATGAGGAGAAGAGAATAGTATAAACTCAGACGAGTCTACACTACCCTGGACCTTCTCGCTGACTGGGAGGTGAGGCTAATGGAGGGAGCTGGTGATGACTAATAGAGAACAGCTACAAAAGAAACAGGATGAGGAGGGAGCTAAGGTGGCCATCATCTAGTGGCAAGAGTACGTAACAACCTCTATCAGCTCTTGACAAAGAAAAGCCCAAGTCTAATGGGCCATTCCCATCTGTACCGGGTCAGCCCGGGCCAGGTAGCGTAGGTTGTTTACATATCTGGGTGGCCTGGTATTTTTCCGGGCCAACCAAGGCTCATTCTCAGCCCTCTTCTCGAGGGGGTCTGCTTCAGGCCGTCCAGGGCCAACACACCCACTGCTGACAGCAAATTCACACCTTCCATTAGAGCAAGCCTCTGATTGGTGGGTAGAATCAGCCCACATGGGCTTAAGACAAGGATGTGTGGAATCAACCGGGCCAGGCTGGGGCCGACCGGGGCTACCCGGCCCGGGCCGACCCGGTACAGATGGGAATGGCCCATAAATAATCCAAAGTTGATGATAAAGCCGTTTCAAATGAGCCGCCACCATCTTAGTTGTTCAGCTCCGTTGCATCATCCCACTCGCCAGATCGATAGAGCGCTGTGATCGGCAAGGCGCAAGACTGGTCAGCCCTCCTGAGGCTCCAAGGGAGCCTGGTTAGATCCAAATCTAACCTTTTCTTTAGGCTACTGTCTGTACACTTCTAGGCTAACATAATTCCAGAGAGGAAGAAAACTCTGGATTTCTGCTTGAAGATTAAATTTTCCAAATTGGCACATCACTGATATGTCTTTGGTGCAGGGAATACCTGGACAATATTGTCCTAGTGGACAGAGGTGTAGCTGAACTCGTGGACGTGATAGAGGACTTCTTTGGTCGTGATGGCAGAACTACCTATGTGTTTACCTCTGATCATGGCATGACAAACTGGGGTAAGAGTTTTGTATTGGACGATTGTTCGTAACAAAGTGTCACTTAGAATTTTTCCACGTTTGTTTCTTTTTGTCTCCAGGCTCCCACGGCGCCGGCCATCCTTCTGAAACCCTCACACCGTTGGTGGTGTGGGGATCTGGGGTCAGTAAGGCCCAGAGAGTCACAGAGCCCCAGCTGTTTGAGGGTGATGATTTCCTGCAAGGTAATAAGCTCCGTGTTGTCCTCCAGTTTTTACACTTTTAAATAGGGATGCAACAGTACCACTTTTTTCCAAATCGATGCGATACCGATACTTGTATCTGGGTACTCGTCGATACCGATACTTCTACCTAGGGCTGCTCAATTAACCGAATTTTAATCACGATTACGATCTGAGTTTTGAACGATTATAAAAACAAAACAAGCCGATTATTTGCTCCTCCCACTTGCGCTGCCCCGAGTTGCAAATGAAGCGCTCTTCCCACAGTGTCGCCAGCTTGGCGACTTTGACGCTATTTCCAACAGCTTTTCAGACCCCCTTCTTGACTTTTTAACTTAAAAGTACCTAGCGAACACCTCAGAAACATCTCTGGTAACCCTTAGCTACTTTCTGGATAACTGTCGTCGACATTTCCTGCAGGTTAGCTAAACACTCCGCCTGCGCTCCGGACCGTTCTTCAGGACATTAGGAAAGGGAATGATGTAGTGATGTGTCAGCCGCTAAAGAAACAGCTCTCGGAGCCGGCTCCCTGTTGGAGTAACCAGAGTGAGTGACACACACACCGCACCTGCGGACTCCTGAGCCACTAAAAACGGCTAAATGTGCGCGTGCGGCGTGCTAAACACACGTGCAGCTTGCCCCGATTGCTGAGACCGGGTTGGGGGGTGCAGCTGTGGTTGGGACAATTATTACATTAACTGATGGACTTGTAAATAAATAGTTTATGAATAAGGTAGAAATAAGTTCCTCACGCTGATAAATAATAACTAATCTCTCTGAGGACACGGTGCTAGTGCACTCTCCTACAGCACCTTGACACGACTCAATAAATGTTATGCAACATTTTATGAACATCAATTTATTTGTTATAAATGCCACTGTATAATTCTTGCTGTCAGTATTTGCAAGATATTGGTATTCGGGTCTGTACTGGTTAGACTTAAATGAGTTAAACCAAGGTCTATAGCCCTTGGGTCATAGACTATGAGCTATAAGTATATTGGTCTTTTTATACTGGGGATCAGGAGTTATTTTAGTGATCATCTTGTTTCTTATTTACTTTTGTCCTGATTGTGTCCTGAGCAATTTTATGACTGAATAAAAACAAATTAAATCAACATGAATTGAAAAATCGTCCTAAATAATCGAGATCTCAATTTCAGTCACCATAATCGTGATTATTATTTTTGCCATAATCGAGCAGCCCTACTTCTACCACACAACAAAATGCTATGAATTGGACATTTGTTTTACTGTTAACAGACTGGAAGTTGGAGCACATCCGTAGAGTCGACGTCAACCAGGTCAGTAGGATGAGCAGACTCTCACTTAGCTTTTTTGTGTCTCAAATAAAATGTTTGCTATCTATAAGGTGTTCATTTGTGTGTTTTTTTTTCCTTAGGCAGATATTGCTCCACTCATGGCTTCTCTAGTCGGTTTGCCTATCCCCGTTAACTCTGTTGTAAGTCTTCATAAACTCAAGACATTTCAAGAAAGCTGTTTAAATCACTTTAGTTCTTGTAAGAATTCATCTGAATACATTTTTCATCCAATGTTTTTGTGCATCCATATTTAAGCGGTAGTCCACCGTTTGGTTTAGCGTCTGTGTGTGTGTGTGTCTGTGTGTGTGTGTGTTCAGGGTGTGTTACCGCTCCTCTACCTGAACAGCAGCGACAAGTTCAAGGCAGAAAGCATGTACACGAATGCTATCCAAGTTCTGGAGCAGTTTAAGGTACCACAGCGGACGTTTGTGCTGCCCAGCATGTGGATCAGCATCTACTTACACAAAATACCATTTTTTACAATAGTGACAGTTATCTGTGATCTGTTATTAGGTGAAAATGCGTCAGAAAGAAGAAACGACCTTGTCTTTTTTCTTCACACCGTACCAGTGAGTACATTCAGTAAAGTTCTTTGTTTTCATTTGCAGCAAAAATGCCAAGAAGATAAATTTCCCCTTCTCGTGTTACTCTGTCTTCACGTGTGGGAACAATGGAGTAAACGATGTCGAGGGCACAGTGTTGTCATATATTTTTTATAAAGATGAATATATCACATTGGGATATATTTTTTAATCAAAATCGTGATTTTTATCATGATTGTTTGTCATTTGTGGCTCGGGCGTCTGGTCAGGACGCCTCCTGGTGAGGTTTTCCGGGCTTGTCAAACTGGGAGGAGACCCAAGGGAAGACCTAGGGCACGCCGGAGGGACTATGTCTCTTGGCTGGCCAGGGAACGCCTTGGGATTATCGGGGAAGAGCTGGCCCAAGTAGCTGAGGAGAGGGAAGTCTGGGCGTCTCGGCTTAGGCTGCTGCGCCCACGACCCGACTCCAGATAAGCGGCTGAAAATGGATGGATGGATGTTTGTAAATTTTTAATTGTTGCTTTTTTTATATCCTCATTTCCAACAACACTCTTCCTCCGTTTTATCAATGCTGAAATTAAATTAATATATCTGCAATAATAATTAGCTGCTAAAATGTGTTAATAATGAAACTGTTTTGCTAACAGACTAAAGTCAAAAATCATTACAAGGTAAACACATCCTTAGCGATACTCGCTTTCTTTTTATAAATCCACAAAAAAAGGGATCAGGATCAGAGTGTGTCGCATCTAAATGGGTCCGGGCGGAAACAGTTCTCTGTTCTAAATCTGACGGGTCTGCTTTTGCTCTGCTTTAGCCAGTCGTCAACACGTTCAATTCCTTCAGTTTTCTATCAGCTGCTGTGTCAACATCACACAAATGATGGAACTAACAGTTTACATCCTAATGTTTTGTTTCGTTGTGTTATTTTAAGACATCTGACCGAGTCAAAACAAGCCGATTTTACCCAGAAGGCTCGGATACTGATCCAGCTGGAAAAGTACAGCGAGGCTGTAAGTATCAGTGGAAATGAAAAATTATGAAAACGTAACAGTGATATACTAATACACAAAGGTTTGAACTTTTGACATTTAAGCCTAATCCCGACAAACTGTGGCAGCGGCAAAATATTTTGCTCTGCTGGTCGGTCGAGCGGAAGCAGCTTCTCTAAATCCAAGACCATCAGGGACGAGATCCTGCCCCAAGCGGAGGAGTTCAAGTATCCCAGGGTCTTGTTCACGAGAGAGGGAAAGATGGATCGGGTGTACCGGTCTGTCGTGGTGAAGACAGAGCTGAGCCAGAAGGCGACACTCTCGATTTACGTGTCGATCTACGTTCCTGCCCTCACCTATGAGCTTTGGGTAGCGACCGAAAGAACGAGACTGCAGATTTAAGGGGCCGAAATCAGTTTTCGCCGCAGGGTGGATTGCCTCTCCGTTAGAGATAGAGTGCGAAGCTTTGCCATCCGGGAGGGGCTCGGAGTAGACCCGCTGCTCCTAAACATGGGTGAACGTGCCTGCAAGTGTAGAAAACAGCTCTGATAGCATTCATATTTCTGGATGGTTATAAAATAAAAACAGCACTGACACGTTATTACCGGTAATTTGCATGTTTAGAAGAAAAGAACAGCGCTGACACAGCATTAATAAGCCCTGGATGATTAGAAAATAAAAACTGCACATAAAACATGCCTGGTTAGTAAATAAAACACACTCGCCTACCAGAAGAAGTCATTTGCTCTCATCTTCCTCTTGCACACTAAAGCCATTAAAGTCCTCTTCTTCAGTGTCGGAGTTGAACAGCCTCAGAAGAGCTTCGTCACGTACCGTTTCTGTGGCGATGTCAGTGTCGCTGTCCGTGTCGCTGTCATCATCCCCGGGTGAAGCTCGCTTGAATGAGTTCTTCCCGTTGCCGTCTCCAGCGCCGAACCACGGATTCATTCATGCCAAGCTCACGTGTGGCAGCACTGTTTCCCTCCTTTACTGCCAGATCGATGGTCTTCAACTTAAATGCGGCGTCATATGAACTCATACGTGTAGTCACCATGATGAGGGGGTGTGGATTTGAAAACAATTCTTCATCGTGCCGGCTGCTTGCATGTGCTAAATTAAAATGAGCACTTTCTTCGATTTCCACTTTTCACTTCCACCTGTTTCACTTTCTGCTAAAGCGCCCCCTGCAGGTGAAGGAAAATCTTTAGTAAAGCCACACCTCATTATAAGCCGCACGGTTCAAAGCGTGGGGAAAAAAAGTAGCGGCTTATAGTCCGGAAAATACGGTAACCGTAGGCGACCAGAATGGACAGAGAAACAGGATACCAGTAACAATGATGGCAGCAACAAAAGCAGAATGAGATGAAGCTAAGCTAATCAGACGTAGATGGTTACTTTCTGAGTATTTCATGAAAACGCATCTAGTGAAAGATGAGATTATTGCTTGCTCTTTGATATATCCTGTTCTTTTGTCAGATCTCGCTGTGCCAGACTCTGATATCGCTCTCCTTAGAAGGCCTGGTCTACTACCACACCTATGACCGGTTCTTTCTGGGCTGCAGTGTGGTGCTGGGATTTGTAGGCTGGACCTCTTATGTCATTTTAATCATACTGAGGACTCACGCCAGCCTTAATCGGCGTCCTAATCTCACCAAACAGGTCAGAACAATAGAGTGTAATTCATACAAATCAGGATATTTTCCCCTCAAACAGGTCGATGAGACGTGTGTGTCTTGTTCAGCCGGCGTCATTCTTTTGTTTTCCGTGCACAGATCTCCAGTCGTAATTTGATGAGGCTTTCTGTTTCCGTGGCAGCGGTGATCACAGTGTTCCTGCTCCTCCAGAGGAGTCCCATTACTTATTATATTTACTGCTTACTGCCAGTTCCTGTGTGGTACTCTGTCCTTAAAGAGTGAGTAACATTGTGTAATGTAAATGGCAAATCTTCCCCTTCCCACATAAAAAATGATGTTGTTCTGTTTCAGGTCTGGTGCTCTGACCGATCTGATACGATCAGCCCCGTCTCTGCCTCTGGGGAAATGCTTAAGCTCCTTCGTGTTGGTGGCGTTTGGGATCGAGCTGCTGGTAGAGTTCTCATAATCAGTAATTATTGCTCGTGCTTAGCAGTATCTGTTTGGGTAACACGTACATGCTACAGAGCTTATCAATGCATAGAGCAGGGGTGCCCAGTCCTGGTCCTCGAGGGTCCAGCACGTTTTAGTTTGAATTCTGCTTCAACACACCTGATTTCGATCAGCAGGTGATTAACAGGCTTCTGCAGAGCCTGATGAGATGCTGCACAGGTGATTCAACCAGTGAATCAGGTGTGTTGGAGCAGAGAAACCACAAACCTGCTGAATACCAGCCGTCCAGGACCAGGATTGGGCACCCCTGGCAAAGAGCATTCGGTTAAAACCGGATCACCATTATGTTTGTGGGCCTTTGCTGCCCCCAGGTGGTGAGTTTCTTCCATCGCGCCATGCTGACTGTGGGCTTGGCTATTCTCTCGCTTTGGCCCCTCCTCACCGGACTTTTTTCCAAGGCGAAGGTGACTATTCTGGTTCTTGCATCACACCAGGAAAATACATGCTAGTAATTTTTTTTAGGTCTGTTTTTTTTTACATTTTTAATTTTGGTTATGGAAAAATTCTCTGTCCAGGATTTTTCTTACTTGAAAATAAAGATGAAAGGACCTTCTTTGATTGGGTTAGGGTTATTATGTTGAATATGTCTATTTTTATTAAAGTTATAATTCCATCATAATTTTCATATTTATTTAAAAAAAACTGTTGTGTTTTCTCTTCTACAACGTTTTAATAACCAAAAGATCAGATAAAAATAATTAGTCGTATTCCCTAGAACTCCCTAGTAGGAGTTCTAGGGAATTTCTGGGAGGAATTTCGTAATGACAAGAAGACATCGTTTTGTTTTGTTTTTTGTTTGTTTTTTTATGGCCCTCTGTAAGAGATCCGAAACGATGGCATTGTAGGGGGAATTCTGCCGCTTTTTCGGTATTAGGAGTTTAGAAACGGTGATTTTAATGCAACAACGCTGCTCTTCTAATTTTACAAACGCCGATAGTTTTGGCGAGGTCTGTCGATGTCATTTCCTACCGAGTTAGAACCAATCAGTATAAATTAACCAACCAATCCTGCCCAGCAACTAGCTTTCCGAGTACCAGTGGATGACTGAGGTCATCCATTGATTTCTGAAATGGCCCACAAAATGGTCCTTTCTCGCCAGCCCCCTGAAACGGAGACACTCATACTGCGAAGGTCTGCTGTTGGAGCTGGACACCATAATACCCCTGTTACTGTTTTGACACCTAATACTACAAACCAACTACCGTCTCCTTTTTAGACGTTTAATTTTCAAAACTTTGGTGAAAAAAGTGTATGTGCATCAACTTTTAATCTCATGGAAACATGACGTTGAAAAGATGTCAAAACTAATCCAAATGTTGTAAAGCTATCAGTTAGCCCCCTTATTGCAGTTTACTTTTCCAGTGTGCCTGTTTTTAATCAGTGTTGTGTTTTGTTTGCTTACAGCTGCTCTTGTCTTACTCTCTGTGCAGTTCCGTTCCCTGAGCTGGTTTGTGGCCTGTCTCTGTTTGGCTTTTTTCCCCCTGATGCCGGTTGTGGGCAGAGAGGCTAACTTACATCTGGTGTGAGTCTTTGCTTCATTTGTTAACGTTTATCAGAAACTCTACCAGAGCATCCAAGCACAGCACTCAAAAGTACTCAATAAACCACAATCAGTGTGGCTATATTTAGACCCTGACAGAGAACATTAATGTTGAGCTTCTAATTTTTAGATGAAGGGGGGGATAAAGAATAGAATAGAAAATAAAGCACAATTTTGGTCTAATGAGCTTTGAAAGAAAAGCGTCTGGACTTCTTTGAGTTGCTTGAAGACGTTTCACCTCTCCTCCGAGAGGCTTCTTCAGTTCTAAGGTCAAATGGTGGAGACCTTAGAACTGAAGAAGCCTCTCGGATGAGAGGTGAAACGTCTTCAAGCAACTCAAAGAAGTCCAGACGCTTTTCTTTCAAAGCTCATTAGACTACAATGACCTGGATGACTGAGAACCTTCACAGACATAAAGCACAATTTTGTTGCCAAGATACAAGTTATCAGACAAAAAACCTGTAGATTAGTTTATTTCTCCTTTATGATCATTTGAAAGGTGTTGTGTAACTTTTGTTATACATTTGTTATCAGCTGCTAAACAAAAACAAAGTGAAATAATTTATACGTCCTTTTTCCAAGTATAGTAAACACAGCATAAACCTTTCCCCTGTCAATCCTACGGAAACTGAGGTGGCACAGGAGTTAAATGCTCGCCCCGTAATCGGAAGGTTGCAGGTTCGAGCCCCGCTCAGTCTGTCGCTGTCGTTGTGTCCTTGGGCAAGACACTTAACCCACGTTGCCTGCTGGTGGTGGTCGGAGGGACCGGTGGCGCCAGTGCTCGGCAGCCTCGCCTCTTGTCAGTGCGCCCCAGGGCAGCTGTGGCTGCATCGTAGCTCATCCCCACCAGTGTGTGAATGTGTGTGTGAATGGGTGAATGACTGATTGTGTTGTAAAGCGCCTTGGGGGGTTCCAGGACTCTAGAAGGCGCTATATCAAATACAGGCCATTTACCATTTACCATTTTAAAAGGCCAAAGCTACCATGCATGTTTCTGTTTTTTCTATTTTACTCCTTTTAAATAAATACAATAACTATAAAACGTATTAATACTTTACTCTAATTTATATCATTTAAATTGTTTCATTATCTTGTAAAATGTCCTCAGGTTTGATAGAATAAAGAGCAGTTTAGCAGCATTCTTTATAGTTGATGATCTCATCTGAAACACACACCTTTATCAAACATTAACACCGAGTGAGGGAAGTCGGATCCTAACTAACAGATTTTTCTGGTTAGATATTAAAAAGTAAATGTCTTTTTAAATATTATAAATAATTATTACCTTTGTTGCCTGGTTTAATAAAAGTCATATACACTTACCAGACCTATTGGAACAGCCTCACTTAGGAGAAATGGCTTTTACCTCTGAATGGGCTAATGAATGCAGCCACATACTAAGTTCATACGCTATTATTTTATAACTTTTTAATGCAACAGTCGTATTCTTGTTACACAACTATTTTGGTTTAATTATTAAAGGTGTGGAACACTGAAACTCCATTTTTAATGACTCTTTCTGATTATAATTGGTTTTTCATGCAGGCTGAAGATGAAAATAGTCTCCTACACCTATCTCCTGCATTAGCTTCTGATAGAAAAGAGGCGGTGAAACTCCAGGAGTTAAAAACCCTGACAGGTCTACGACTCACCCATGGTGACTTGTGACGAAGAAGGCTGTTGTTGGTTTAGTGTCCAGGAAACAGCAGAGAACGGTAGATAGTAGATGCTAACCGTTAGCATTAGCAGCTTCACAACACAGCACAACTCCTTTAGGCTTGTGTTGTTTGTGGAGATGAAGCATCCACCGTGCAAGTCAGTGGTGGATTTGTGTTGCTGTTCTGCAATCCGAGGCGAGATGTCCAAATATCAGGAAATAAGACTCCAAAACTTGCCGTCTGAAGCTGCTTTCTCCTCCAGCTGACTGAAACAAAGAGAGGAAAACTAATTGGTCTTTGCTGTAAAAGTTTGAGATGGAGTCCAAAGCTTCTATGACATGGATTTGTGTGAAATCTAATTAAAACTGATGTTACGTTTGCTCAGCACCTGTGCAGGTCTGCTCACCCTCGTCACTTCAGCCTGTTTTCTCTGGTCGTCATGGCGGAGGTCGCCGCTGCACGCTAGTGACAGATGGCAGTTTTTTATTCAGGTTACTAAAGTTCACTCTCAAAGTCTGTGTGTGATATTTTATCTCGAGTTTTGTTAGAAACAACTTCCAACTTGTCTGCCCCAACAGATGCTCCTTGTGGCTGTGTGCTCGTTCGTGCCGTTGCTCACACACTCCAGCCTGCTGCAGAAACGAGGCCTGCCGCTTCTTAACCAGATCATCAGTTGGAGCACATTAGGTAGTTTAAATGAACTGAACGTTGAAATGTCACAGCCAGTGTTTATCGTCTCCCTCCCTGCCTTTAACGCCCTTCACTTCTGCTTTCTCAGCATCTTCTATATTAGTTCCTTTGCTGAGCTCGACGCGCATCTTCTATCGCCTCTTCAGCATATTCCTGTCTCTCACATCCACGTACCTGCTGCTCAGCACGGGGTAGGGCCAAACAATCCACACACATCTACACTTCAAACTAGAGAGTTTCACTGCCACAGCAAATTTTGAAGATGCGTCTTTTTTTTTTTTTGTTTTGTTTTTGCCAACTTAGGTCAGAGGCATTGTTTCCTCCTGTGTTATCCTGGTTAATGTTTGCATGGATCAACATAGAACAGGAAGCTTTACTCACTCAAGGTGTCCCTGGCAGGCAAGAGGTGGAGTCTGTTACATCAAATATGTGTATAAGTTACTTTTTCTTATTTGAAAACAAAAAACAAACTCTATACAGGCAAGTTTGAGTAATTTTTTCCTGGTTATGTATATACATTTATATGTGTGTGTATGTATATATATATATATGTATATGTATATATATATATATATATAGATATATATATATATATATGTATATATATATATATATATATATATATATAGATATGTATATATATATATATATATATATATATAGATATGTATATATATATATATATACGTATAGATATGTATATATATATACGTATATATGTATATATATATACGTATATGTATATATGTATATATATATATACGTATATGTATATATGTATATATATATATATACGTATATGTATATATATACACGTATATGTATATATATGTATATATGTATATGTATATATATATATATATATATATACATATATATATATATACACGTATATATACACATGTATATATATATAAATATATATATATATATATATATATATATACACGTATATATATACACATATGAATATATATATGTGTATATATATATATATATATATGTATATATATGTATGTACATATATATATAATGTTTGTTTAGGTGGTCCCTATTGTTCAAACACGCTCACAGCTGCACAAGATAAACTCAAATTTATGATGAAATAGTTGTAAACAACTCTACGTGGGTACATCTTGGAGTTTTTTAAATTGCTTCTGTGTTTTCTTTTTCCAGTTGTCCACTATTGATTTCTCAGCAAACATTGACATCACTAAAATCCGTCAGTTGAAGCTGGATGACATCAGAAGATCCTATTTTTTTGTATCCTTCATTTGATTTTGAGGAGTATTAAAAGTCAGTACCCCACTCAGCTGCTGGTGACTATTTGGAAACAAGACATTGTGAGCAAAAAGGCTCATTTTCAGTCTGAACTACACTGAATTGGTGACTTGCAACACTTGTGCATGTGAAAAATACCAAAAATGTGTCATTTGTTGCACCAGTGAGCACGCTATGCTCGTGGTTTTGTCCATGTCTATTTCATCATCCTCCATCAATCAATCAATATTCATAGAGCACCAAAATCGCCCAAAGGCGACCAAAGTATTTACCAAAATAACAAAATGTAAATAAAAACAAATAAAAACTTGTGATGTACCACAAGGTTTTGTTTTGGACCCCTTGCCATTTCTGTTTTTTTTTTAACAATTCTGTCACCAACAGTCTGCCCAGCGGGATAATGTCCTAAACACAAAAGAGAAAATTCATAAAGGTTTAAAATGACTAATTGTTTAACTTTGTTTCTGGTTTTGCCTTAACTGCCCATTTCTTCAGGTATTTTTTATAATAACAGCTTTCTTTGGCACAGGAAACATAGCCTCCATTAACAGGCAAGAACCTTTGCTTGTCCTTTCCTGTGCTGCAGTAGCACAATGTTGGGTTTTGTTTTGGGAAGTTGCAGTGATTTTAGTTAGAATCAGTGGCACTTCACTGAGAGTGCATTACTTATTCTGTGTTTTTTATTTTTTATAATCAATACTTATTGGAGTCTTTATTCGACTACAGGAGCTAACCATTGCACTGCTTAATCAACTCATTTCTGGTGTCTTGTTTGGTTAAAACTGTTTTCAGAGCCTCAAAAGATGATGATCACTTTGCACCAGAGCACAAAACTTTTAATTACTTTTTGGGAACTAATTGGTGATTTCTGTTCTTGTCCAGCTTTGACCCAGCCTCTGTTTATTGTTTTCTTACTGTTTTCAACCCATTCATCATGGGAGGACTCATGATGTGGAAGGTACTGTCCTTTTTAATTAAATGTATCTCAGCAGAACAGGGTTTGGAAACCCTTCCCCGAGGGCTGGTCTTCAGCACGCTTTCCCTCCTTCAGCACATCTGATTATAGTCAGCAGGTGATTAATTGGCTTCTGCAGAGCTTGATGAGCTGCTGAACAGGTGATTCAAGCAAAACATGCTGGATACCAGCCCTTGGGAAGGGAGTTCCCAACACCTGCAATAAAAGAATTATTTGTAGAACATTTTACATGCAAAACATGTTTCTGTTCAATATTTTTACATGCCGCCAATTGGCAAACAAAAAGTGCTACAGTTCAGTCAGTTTTACAGTTATTGAGCTAAAATCCAGGGTCATGCTAGTCAAGAGTCATCCCCATCATACTCTTGCTGAAAATCATCTATTTGTTTGCAAAATGTATGGGCAGATAAAAAAAAATCTCTTGGAAACCATTTACTGGATGTGCTTAAACAACTGATCAGCCATTTCTCAGTACCCAATTAGTCTTGCCTACTTGACAAGTACATTCTTAGCAAGTACAGCAGACAGTCCTTTCTACCAAGTATGAGTACAAGGTCGTCATTTGTAACAGAAAGTTACATCATGTCAACAAGCGCTACTTTATGCTACGGTTCAAAGAAATCACCTGAAGTAAAATAATAGTCTAGTTTGTCCATTAAATAACAATGAATTCATTGTATTTGTATAGTAATTGGTCAATTTTTATTGTTAGTGCTTATTTTATCAACATTTCTATGCAATTGATGAAATACCATCATTGCCCGCTTTAATGAAGAAAAAAATGTTTCTTTATAATCAAAACATAACAGAATATTTAAGGCAATGCTAGTTTTATTTTAAAAGTGGGTAAGCTAATTAGCATTTTGTGATATCAACCCACACACACACACACACACACACACACACACACACACACACACACACACACACACACACACACCATATATACCAAGTAGTGTTTCTATGGTTACATTGTGATTTCTTAGTAAATATTCTATTTGGTGAGAGATAAACTTTATTGTATTTATCCTAGTGAATCTATAATTAAATGGGTAAACTAGTAGTAGCGCATTCAATGTCAAAGAAAGTAAAAAGTTATCATCAGGAGAGGGAGAATGTTTAAATGGTTAGCAACAGTGTGCTAGATGATGGCCCCCTCCATGAGGCCACCACAGCTCAGCAGAACATCATTGTAGCTTCTTCTGGGGAGAAAAACATTTAGAGAAAAAATAAAGTTAACAGCTCAAATTGCAGGAAATAATACAGTTAAAGAGCAGATTGTAGAAGAAAGTAGTTGAGTGTGGAAAGTGGTCAGTGTATCCTCCAGCAGTCTAAGCCTATAGCAGCATAACTACAGAGATAACTCTTGATAACCTAGCCTGTTAGATGGAGGCATGTTGGAGGCAGGGCAAGGGAGAGCCGTCTTTACCATCTGTACGCTCCACCTCCCTCTTCTCCCCCATCTTTACAGGTTAGACACAATTATCTACAATGACTTTATATTTATTTAGACTTAATTTGTATTTTTGACATACGGACATTTTCATTTATGAGCTTTCTCCTCTGCCTTTTTTGTTTGGGGTATAACGGTTTGTGACGCAACGCATAAGGGGATACCTTGCTGTGCCAAGTCTGAATTTTTGATAAAATTGGCAGAGCAAGAACTCATCCAGGAACTTTGAACATACTTGTCATGATACGTGCTTGAAATTGGAACAGTACTTGGGCCATCATTGATGACATTTCACATGTACTTGAGTACACAAGTTCAGACATGTTGAGAAATGGCCATTCATTTTTGGGGTTTAAAATGGCTCCCAAAGGCAGTTCCCCCGTCAGCACCAAATTGGTTCCAAGTCAACTAAATGTGTTCATCATAGTAGCTGAGCTGATGCAATCTTGCATCATTGCATGGTATTGCAGAATTGCAAGTGATATTTTTTATTTAGTGAATTCATTTGATGAAACTTGTGAAATCGTCTGCTTTTCTTCTAGGTTCTTATTCCATTCATCATAGTGATGTGCACATTTGAGAGCATCCAAGTCTCAACACAGCTCTCATCTAGAAGGTGATCTACTGATGACTTTAAGAAAACACTTTAGTGAAGTTAAACGCATCGAGTCAGTTTTGATCTTCTGATATTTTTAATATAACTGAGCTAGCACCTTCTCTTTTGGGTTTATGCCCAAAAGAGCATTACATCATGATTGTAATGTTTTAATTATGTATGTTCTCTGTTTTCTAGTCTGTTCCTCGTTGTGCTGGTCATTTCTGATGCGATGGCTCTGGTAAGACACTTTTTATCAGGTCCCATACACACATAGCCAGGCATGCCACAAAATAAAGATCATTTTCTATGATCTAGCCAGTCATCCACGCGAAAGTGAAGATGTATGCCATCAAATACGACTCTCACAAACTGACCAAAGTTGTCACTATTTGACTTTGAATGTAAAGAACTGGGGTTTTATGTCTCCCTACGTCACTGCTCGTGTAAACGTGCCCTGACATCACATGTGCGACCTGTGTTTACTTTTTCTTGCTTGTTTAATAATCATTTAATGCTCTGTGAAGAAGATCACTAGCGAAGGACGACGTTAAGGATGGTTAATGTCTGCCATCTTGTCATTCTATGTCTATGGAATGTAAAAAAAAAAAAAAAGTAAAACTGTTGTACAATTCAATAAATTATATAGAAGAAAACTTTTGGAAAATTACTCATTTGCTAATGAATTATGATAGACATCAAGGACTTGGTAAAGCAATTAAAGTCAATAAGATCTCATTTTGATTTAGATTTTGGATTTTATTTAAGATGTAAAAGTATAAGTGTTTATATGATTTCTTGCTAATGTGAAAAATCCTATTTTGCTTATTGATTTTGTTTATGATGTATGTGTAGAGATGTTTATTTGGATTTTGGAAATGGAAAGATGTTGAGGGATAGGGCAATGAAAAGCCTTGAGCTTCTCCCTATTCCCCTTTAAGGACCAAAGAGGAATCTCTAAATCCTCTAGATAAGAAATTTTTATTTTGTATTTGAATTTAATTTGTTTGAATGGTCTGAAGTGATTAAATAAATAAATAAATAAAGGAATGGTTTTTTGGCCAAGACGATGATGATTTAGGGAACTACTGCCCCCTACAGGCTTGCCTATGAACGTGCTTCACAGTGCTCTTGTTTTTTGTTTTTTTTTTTTTTTTGCTGAAAACAATGTGGCGCGTACTTTTTTTGGGTTTCTACTAAAACCCAGCTACATGCGTGCAAGGCCTCAGGTTCAAGGGCTTTACCACTAAAGGTGCATCGCTTTGATCTCTGCTGAATAAAAGTTCCACCAGTATTATTTTGTTTTGTTTAAACAGAATCCTTGTGAGCCTGCCATAATAAATGTTTAACCTCTCTGCAGCATTTCTTCTTCATGGTGCAGGATTATGGAAGCTGGTTGGACATCGGCACAAGGTAAATGAGTTACTAATTAAATAAGCACACACACTGCTCCTCCATTTCTTTGTTTGGCCCTTTTTTTGGGTAGCACACACACACATTAATGTGTTTTTGATTGTTTTCATCGTTGCAGCATCAGCCACTATGTGATAGTGATGTCCATGACCATCTTCCTGATGCTGCTCAGTGTGGTCACACACCTTCTAACCTCCAAGCGACTCATCCTGTGGAACAGGCACAAGATGCACTTCCCTTAGCTTCTAAGGTTGGACAAAACCAGGAAGCTACTCATAACATATTTTGTATTTTGTATGTGCTCAGTGCTGTTTTACAGCAGCTATTTGTAGAACTCAGGCATGAGGGATGTTGTATACTAATGTTTTTGCATATTGCTGTTTGCACATGCCACTTTCACTGCAACACTGTTTCTATTTCAGGTGCAGTTTTTTTTAAGGAAATAATTAATTCATTTGAGTAAATTTACTTGAATATTTAGACTAAACATTTGTCAAAAATAAAATTTAGGAATAAAATTGAAAATGTGTGTTGACTTTCTGTTAGAACTATTGCTAGTAGATGTTATCAGTAGAGGTGGGGGTTTCATTTAGAAATTAGATTTTGATTATAATTAGGGATGCACCGATGGATCGGCATTTGATCGTAATCGGCCGATAGCGCCCCTATCGGTTTTGATCGGAATTTTCAAAATAGATCAAAGCAAACCGATCAGGTAGGGTTGTCACGGTAACCAATGTAGCGCTAAACCCCGGTTAAAAAAAAAAGTTGACAATAATAACCGTCTTGTTTTTAAAAAAACTATATTATCTTGGTGGGTTTACCGTGGCTGCGGTGTAGGCGCGGTGACCCTTACCAGCCACCGTATCATCTGCAGAAGTTGCCGGCGGCACATACACGCTTTGTTTACAACAAAACTTTCTTGAAGCTAAAGCTGAAATAATGGTCAAAGGAGGAGACGGCAACACTCAGGAGGACATTTATTATCCCTCAAAGAAGACAAAGTCGGAAGTACGGGCATATTTTAGATATTTGAAGAATGCCGAGGGAGTTTATAGAAGACGGGCGGCTATCCTGTTTGCAGCACGAGCAGAAAAAGTGTCTGTGAAAGGCAGCAACGCTTCAAATCTCATGACACATCTGCGTGACCATCACCCACAACTCTACAGTCAACGCAAGGCAAGCTAACGTTAGCGTTTTAGCTAAAATGCGTGATCCGAGGATTTGGGTCGAGGGAGAATGCAACGAGTCGCTATATAAAGCAGCCGCAGCGCCGCTACCTGCATATAAACCGTGTCGCAGACACCCCCATGTTGAAATGACGCTATGCATTACGGGGCTCCCAGGGGCAGATAAGAGTTGGTCTCTCTCCGAGAATAATTATGAATTTAACAACGATTACTGCCTGATGACATTTTCCCACATCTGCAAAGCTCACTGGAAGGACACAAACCGAGGACAATATTTTCCTGAAATACGGATTGCTCAAGTAAGGGTAAAAAAAAAAGTATCTGATTAGAAGGCTACTTGAGTACTGAGTATCATCTGATCTAATATTTTTAAATGATGACATCAAACAGACAAAATACGAAGTTATGGGCAAATATTGGTATTTTAAAGACGAAAGTGGAAAAATGTAAACAAATAAACAACAGCATTACAAAATAACACATTTTAGGCTAAATTTAGACACAAACTGAGGACAATATTTCCCTGATATACAGTGTTTACTTAATTGTGTGAAAATGTAGCACGTTTAAAAAAAATACCGCGATAATACCGAAAACCATGGTAATTTTGGTCAAAATAACCGTGAGGTTAAATTTTCACACCGTGACAACCCTAATACAGACCATTTTAGATTAGGTTACATTTCCTTTATTCCCAGATTATGTGGTTTGTAGCACTAATTATAATGTAGAAAATTTCTGGCCAATCCACGTGATCGGTATCGGTGATCGGTATCGGTGATCAGCATTCTTTGATATCGGTATCGGTGATCGGCAGCAAAAAACCTGATCGGTGCATCCCTAATTATAATTTTTATTTTTTTTGTTTTAAAACTTAAATGCCAAAACATCAGTATGTTCTTAATAAGCAGTGGAGATGCGTGAGTAGTACTCTCAACAGGAAAAGCTTATTTTTAGAACTTATTGGAAGAAACACGTAAAAAAAGCAGTTTTACTGGTCACTTACCCACTACAACACATGAGTTGTGTCAGATTAAAGTCTCACTCCAATAATCTCTTTTTTAGCTGTTTTAAATGGTTCTCAGTGGTCTTTAAACTAGGATTATGCTGTTTTTAGCCAAAATCCCCAAACTGTACTTAGTTCTACATAGAGGTAGTAGCTCATTAAAAATTTTCCTCTGGGTTGTGGGCGGACCCAAGGACAGGGACACCCGACATACACTCAGGGGACCCGGGTTCGAATCCAAGCTGGGCCAGATATTTTCATATTAGTTTAGAAAGATGGACCGAGCATGCTCGCACAGAAGCCGGTCTGACGGGACAAAGCAGTGCCGGTCAGCAGGGGGAGTGAAGGAGGAGCTCCGAGCAGGCGGATGACTTCTAAGCAACAATCAGGACCTCCGAGATCATCATCAGGTGTTAAGATAATTATATGTGTTTTCTTTTATCATGCTTTATGCCTTTATTACAATTAAAGATTGTACCATTCATGCTGAACAGTTGCTGTATTGTTTGAAGTCTCATGAGGAGACTTTAAGAATGCAGAGCCTTGGTCCTGACCTAATGTGACCCAAGGACATCTGCTGACTTGGACAACTGCTGACTCGTGCAACGATCTGTTGCACATCGTGTGATTAGACACTGATTAGAAAAACATTTTGCTCATTGTGTGATACTGAATGCTCTTTGTGTGAAACTTGTAACAGTTACTGAATACTGAGAGCTGCGTTTCCCCCACCCTTCATATCAGCTCATCAGACGTGTAACTGGGGAACTCCCAGCTTGTAATAAATGGAGGATGCTTGGATTTCAAAGGCAGAGTGGTTTTGGAGGATCTGCCGGCCCAGTGGAGACTGAGCTGGTCGGACCTTATTCCATTCTCCTCGAGCATAAAACAGAATTCTGACTTTTGTGTCTCTTTTCTTCTTTGTGTATGATGTCTAGAGGTTTAAACCTGACATCGGGAAATGTGTTTGTTCATTCTGGGCTTCACTGCTCAGAAGTCATCCACCTGGTGAGTGTTACGTCACGGGGTTTGTGTTCAAAAGCTAGCCTGTTCTGTAAACTCGCTAACGCGGCTTTAACTTATTATGATCATTATTATTGTTATGAGGACCAGTGATGGGAATAACGCCGTTTAAAATAGCGGCGTTACTAACAGCGTTCTTTTTTTGGGGTAACGGAGTAATTAATTACTTTTCCCACCGTTGCAACGCTGTTACCGTTACTGGGGACGGAAGGCTGTGCGTTACTATGTGCTTGTCGAACGTTGAGCAACAGTGTGAGGCTTTCTGACCGCCACACTTCAGCTGCAGCCAGGGAGAGAGAGGTGTCGGTAACGCACTTACAAACACGATGATGATCGGCCGGGTGGGCGGAGACCCTCACTGTCTCAGTCGCTGCCTGCTGTAGACACAACAGAGCAGTGATGGGAATAACGCCGTTTAAAATAACCGCGTTACTAAAAAATATTTCTTTCAGTAACGAGCAAACTAATTAATTACCGTCTTCTTTTATCAAAACGTCGTTTCTGTTACTGATAAGAAAAAGCGTGCGTTAAGCAACGCAGTGTGTTGAAGCTGTCATCAGCTGATCAGGAGCTAGAGAGGCAGATGTTTTCATCCAAGCGCATCACGGCCCGTGAAGAACAAGGAAGACGTGATGAATATCTACGGCTGCAGGTGTGGATCTGCAGCCGTGCCCTTCTTAACGTGACAGCGGGACGTCCCGAAGGTCCGCTCACCTGTTCACCGCTCAGACGTCCTGATCTTCTACCTTCCTAGATCATCCAGCTGTAACCTGTTTCTGATCATGTCTTCAGTCCCGCTGTAACACTGATGCATCAGTCTCAGACGTCATGGAGCTCAGGTGTTATTAGAACTACCTGTGTGTGTTTACCACCCAGCTTCAGCTCTTCTGTGGTTGGGTCTGACCCACGTTAGTAAATGTAAGTCCTCCATCAGATTTGTGCCTCTTCTAGTGTCATTTTAAAGGATTTTATTTATTTAACAATTACCAGATTACCAGCAACAGAAATGCTACTAATAACAGACAATTATGTGAAGCTGGAAAAATTAAAATACTGTGCAAAATTACATTCATTTCTGTAATTTATGTTTATTTATTTGGCAGACGCTTTTATCCAAAGCGACTTACAATTTATAACCTATAGGGCATGTTGTGATCTAACTAGACTGGGAGACCATTTAAAATCTTGGGAACCTTTACAGGTGTTTCTATTTGCATTTTTAAATTTTGACTGATTAGGGTCTTGTTAAATATCACACAGTGACACTTTAATAGTCTAGATTAGTGTAATGTTCCTGTTAGTAGTTCCTCCTGTAAAACGCTTATTTATTTGAATTATTCAGGTTTATAAAAACATTTTGACATACATTTTATTACATTCCAGTCATTAGTCATTTATATTTCACTATTGTAGTAATTTATAGTAAATTAAGTAAGTTCAATTACCCCATTTTTTTTGCATTCTTTAATGAAAAAAGTAACTAAGTAGTTATTTTTCTTGGTAATTAGTTACTTTTATAATCTCGTAACTCAGTTAGTAACTGAGTTACTTTTTTGACAAAGTAATTAGTAACTATAACTAATTACTTTTTAAAAGTAACGTTCCCAACACTGATGAGGACGACCCTGAACTTCAGGCAGATTTTCTTCTTTACCAGATGCTCAAACACCAATCAGTGGTCACGGACATCGGGTGCAGCTGCTATCCCCCCTTGGAGTAAAAACTCAGAAAATCCATGCTTTCTCATGGCCAACAGGTTTGAATTGAATTGATTTATTTTAACAAATAAATCAACTTTTCCAATTGATTTAACTGTTATAAAAATTATCTATTGCATTTTGAGTATTTTTTATTAGAAAATTTCCAAATTAAAGCAACTTTTTTTATCTCTACATTTGGACAATTCAGGTGTTTCTTTTAAGATATTGCAAGCACATCAATGATTAAAATAAATCTTCCAATTCAAACTAAACTTACCAAGGTCCTTTCAGTTTATTATTATTATTATTATTATTATTATTATTATTATTATTATTGTTGTTGTTGTTGTTGTTGTAACACTTCTTGTACATTTCTGCCATGAGGGTCTCTATAACGCTCCAAATGTGGAAAAACCTGTATCTATTTTTGTCTGTATTTGGTTTTAGTAATTAAATGCCTAAAATAAGCCTTTCTGAAGGCTCATTCTGGAAGGTATTGAAAATGCCAAAGTCTTGGACCCGTGACACTGTTTCCATTTTGAAAAACTGTCCCTGTAACCAGATTTCACCACAGCCTCCATTCCACTTCTGTGATTTGTTAAACATTATTCAACAAGATAAATAAAGCCCTCAAAGTGCTCCCACCTTTTTGCATTGGTCTCTTCCTTGTTTTCTTGTTTACTTAATGGCTGCAGTGAATTGCACAAACTAATAGACATAACATTACCATTACCAAAGACCGTTTTGCAGTTTTAATGGACTTGTTCAGGTTTTTAAATTATTTAATGTATTTGGGTGCTGGAGGGTTTTTGAAGATGATGGTCCTGTTGGCTTTATCAGAATGTGATTTCCGGCTTTTGCTGGAGCAGTTCACAGCTGAGTGTGAAGAGCAGCTGGGATGAGAATCAGCTCCTCTAAAGCCGAGACCCAGGTCTTGAGTTAGAAAAGGACACAATGCCTTCTCCAGGTCGGGGACAAGGTCGTGCTCAAGTGGAGGAGTTTAAGTATCTCGGGGTGCTGTGAGGGAAAGATAGATTGGGAGCTCGACAGGCTGCATCTGCAGTGATGCAGCCTGTCGATCTGCCGTGGTGAAGAGAGAGCTGAGCCGGAAGGCAAAGCTCTTGCTTTACCAGTCAGTCTGCGTTCCTACCCTCACCTATAGTCACGAGCTTTGGGTAGTGACCCAAAGAATGAGATCGTAGATAAGCAGCTGAAATGAGTTTTCTCTGCAGGGTGTCTGGGCTCTCGCTTAGAGATGGGGTGAGAAGCTTGCTCAAAGTAGATCTGCTGCTCCACATCAAGAGGAGCCAGTTGAGATTGTTCAGGCATCTGATTAAGATGCCTCCTGGATGCCTTCCCGGTGAGGTTTTGCGGGCACAACCAACCGGGAGGAGACCTAAAGGAAGACCCAGGACACGCTGGAGGGACTATTGGGCCATTCCCATCTGTACCGGGTCGGCCCAGGCTGGGTAGCCCCAGTCGGCCCCAGCCTGTGATTCCACACATCCTTGCCTTAAGCCCATGTGGGCTGATTCTACCCACCAATCAGAGGCTTGCTCTAATGGAAGGTGTGAATTTGCTGTCTCAGTGGGTGTGTTGGCCCTGGTCGGCCTGAAGCAGACCCCCTCGAGAAGAGGGCTGAGAATGAGCCTTGGTTGGCCCGGAAAAATACCAGGCCACCCAGATATGTAAACAACCTACGCTACCCGGCCCGGGCCGACCCGGTACAGATGGGAATGGCCCATATGTGTCTCGGCTGACCAGGGAACGCCTTGGGATTCCCCCACAGAAGTTGGCCGAAGTGGCTGGGAAGAGGGAGGTCTGGGTCTCTCTGCTTAAGCTGCTGCCCCAGTGACCCAAGCCATGGATGGATCAATACTGAGAAAATGTTTCATTTGGCTCTGCTCAGTAATGGTTTTGGTTTATCTCCACCCACTTCTCCTTTACATGTAAATTAGTCAACGCTATAGTTTTGTATAGCAACTTTCTGCAGTCAGTTGTCTCACGCCGTCTGAGTGCTGTTTGCGTGTTCTCATGCAGGCGGCAACAATTTATACAACTAAACCAACGTAGAGAATAATGCTCATCTTGCTGCGTTCTACCCGACAGCAACACTAAACGAGTAAAGGATGTGGACGGAGGGTTGGTCCAAAGGAGGAAGTAACTAGCTCAGTGGTTAATGTTGAAATGAAGTCATGTCCTATTTAGACTGAAGACAGACACGATGTAAAAGCTCTTGGTGGTTCCTGAAACATGCATCTGATCTTTTCGTTTTATTAACAACTAACTTTAGCTAAGTGGGAACTATTCCAAAGCTGTGCATGCTCACAGCTTCTTCTATCAAATATTTAACTGCTTGATAGAAGACGGACACGCCTTTCATAGTTTGGTTTGATCATTTACCATCAGTCTCCAGACAGAGCAGGTAAGTCTCTAATAAACTCTCCAGTTTCAACTTTGTACTCAAAATTCTGCTGCTTTTTATTAAAATATAAAGATAAAATAAGATCAAAAAGACAAACTGTATCTAAAGTAGATAGATGCTTCTATTTTCATTCAGCTGCTTTTGTTTCTTCTGGGGCTGCATGGTGGGGTTAGCACGGTTGCCTCGCAGCATGAAGGCTGCAGGTTCGAAACTCGGCTGCGGCCTTTCTGCGTGGAGTTGCGTGTTCTCCCCGTGCGTGCGTGGGTTTCCTCCGGGTACTCCGGTTTCCCCCACAGATCACAACTTGCCCTCTAGGTTATAAATTGTAAGTCGCTTTGGATAAAAGCGTCTTCTAAATGAATAAACAAACACATTTCTGAGTTCTCCGTACGTTTTGTAGTAAACCGGTAAAAGTACCAGTGATCACCGTCGCTCTACTTAACATCCGTGTGATAACTGGATCAGAATGAATCCCATCAGCTACTTTCAAATCAGCATGTCTATAAAAGGACTCGTGAACATGTTTTAAGTTCTGAAATGATTAGAAACTTCTAGCGTCATTTCTGCAGAAGCTTCATAAAGGACAGATGTTGAAACCAGAATCAAAAGTACTGAAAGACTGGTACCCAGTCACTTCAACAGAGAACATCAGGAAGAACAAAACCAAACTTTAGCACTGCACTTGCACAGTTCAGAGGCTCTATTTTGGTCCCACTGTGTGGTATGACCTGTGCACACCAACAAAGTGAATGGTACTAAGGACACTTTACTTTGCTCATCTAATTCACTTTAAAAGTATTTGAGTAATTAGATTTTAAACAGCTCTACAACGCCTATTCAGTGTTTTTGATCATAAAATGCACCTTAATAATGTCATTAACAACTCTTTTGCAATTTACACTTAATTTGGTGTTTGACATAACAGAGTTGGACATTTGATTGTCCCATGAAGCCTCATGCAAATGTTAAATCACTGGACCGTAACACAAAGCCTAAATCGTTAGTAATGCTGGACGTTGAGAACGTTAACTTGGAATTTTATAGGCTATACATGGAAATACTTCCATACTAGCATCAGTTTTTTTTTTTTTTACATTTTTGTCATTCTTTTTAATTTAACAAATGTTTTATCTTTAAATAATTTTTTTCTCTCTCTCCCTTTCTGTTTCCTCCCGTTTTGAGGATGAATTGCACCCAACCTAATGTCTCACACTTCAGGGTTCAAGGGGATTCTGAGGCAAACTGCACAGTCCCAGGTGAAGATGAAAGTCACACGATCCTTCTGGTCATCTATTCTGTGGTTCTGCTCTGCGGCACAGTCAGCCTGAGCCTCACGGTGTACATCTTGAAATCCCATACGACATCTTCCACCTCCGTCGCTGTCCTCAACCTCATCTTCGCCCACTTTATCTTCCTCATCACCGTGCCGTTCAGAATTTACTACTATGCGACACATCGTTGGTACTTGGACTTCGAGTGGTGTAAAATTGTAAGCGCCATGATTCATGTCCACATGTACATGTCTTTTATGCTGTATGTAGTCATCCTTGTCACCCGTCTGTTGCCGTACTACTACCGAGGTGCACGAGTGACATCGTTTAGTAGCATGCATGCGCTCATTGCCAGCGTTTTGGTATGGATCATTGTACTAGTCACAGTTCTTTTGGTCATTCGTTTTGTATACGCCAAGGATGACAAGATATGTCCGCAGGTATGTCAGCATTGCTTCCGTTTTGCTCACTGCATGGCGTCCGTCAAAGGGCTGAACTACTTTTTGAGCACATTGATCATTCTGGTGACTGTGGTGCTGACAGTCCTCCAAGCCAACGTCCTGTTGGTTTTATACAGGAAGTACCGCGCGAAATGCTCCTCTCAGCAGGACTTCGAAGCCCAACTCAAGAGCCTCTTATTTGCCCTGATCATGTTTTTCTGCAACGTTCCCTACCACATGTTCCGACTGTACTACATCGAGCACTCCGACCTGGAAAATATCAACGAGGTGCTCTTGGGTCTGACCACTTTAAACTGTTTGGACATGCTGACCTTCCTGGGTAGAAGAACTTGCATTATGTGCTTCCCAGGAAGTGGTAGATGAAACCCTAACCCACAACAAACTTTGCAGACAGCTGGAAAGATCACGTTGTGTTGTCTTTGTTTATTTTTCTATAGCTTTGCACCCAAATCAAGTGAGTTTAGATTTTGTACTGACACAGTCAGTAAGCTAAAGGCTAGTCCAAGAGGCACTTCTGCAATTGAAATTTTATAGACCCTTTTACTGTCTGTAAACAATATGACGTCAGCGAGAATGCACGCGCAGCTTGGCAACAGAGAATGGCGTTGTTTCAGGCTTTATCAAGCTACGCTGCAGGGTTATCACCGGCAAATCTTGAATGTTACATTATTAAAGTCACTTTAACGAATGGCAACAGACTCCCGGATCCCTGTGGCATTACAGAATGGGTGGAAGATGTAGGTGCGTGGCCAGATATCCAGTGGCCCGATATATGTACGTTTTTAGTGGAGAGGCCCAGTAAGTACACACGTGAGAAGCTACGGGCATACAAATCGTTAGATGCATACAACTATGTTGTCTGTGGCCACGTACAGAAAGTAAAATATCACGACATAGACTCTGAGTTTTGCGTCTTGAAGACAGAAGTCCTTCCTAGCCAAAGACAAGGACACAAGACCGCTATGTACGAGGCTTGGGTCATAGTAAACAAACCAGAGAACTACGTCTTCACAGCCAACTGTACCTGCATGGCAGGGTGAGTATAGCATAGGTTTCTTTTTTTAGCGTGCTCAGAGTACAATCGTGTTAATTTTAGAGAAATACAGTTTACACTAATATGCAGTGGGAAAATACAGATGAATTAGAGTGAAATGTTAATTTGAAGCATGAAATAAAGCGTATAAATTTGTGTAATTCTGTCATTTTGATGTTCCAGACTTGGGTCATGCTGCAGCCACGCAGCAGCAATTTTATTCAAAGTTGAGCTTTGTGTTAGGATGGGAAAAACAGAAAAGGCTGCAGTTACATCTCAGGCATGTGCATGGAAAGACCTGAGCAGGAAAAATGTAGAACTTCGGAATTCTGTAAAGTTTCAGTCCACTGCTTGAAGAGGAGCGATTCTGGCATCCATACACGCAACAACCCGACATTTTTATGTGCTCAGAACTTCAAAACAATAGGTTTAGTGTGAACGAGGAAGCCTTCACTCGTTGCCAGGCTGCGCGCGCAACTTTTGATGACGTAGGTAGTAAAAGGGTCTATAAACCTTGATATGCTGGTGAAGTTTCGCAGTCAGCCAGTTCACGGTAATCTGAAGGGCTTTGAATGAAGGCGACTGGACTTCTTTGGTTTCTTGAAGACGTTTTGCTTCTCATCCGAGGAATTTTGTTAATTCTGACTGGAATATGGGAGCGCCAAGCTTTAAACAGTAAATGTCTGTTGTTCCTTAATGAGCTGAAACTAGCTACGAATACCCCCCGCCTTACTCCTCGAGGAGCCATTGATGCCGTTAGGTCCCATTGTGTTGGAATAGTTGTTTTGATTAGATGCAGGAGAGTGTGACCTTCACTGAAGCTGTTTTGGAAAATTTCTATGACAAACGGGAAAGACCCACATTAAAAAGTCTAGCTCACACCCTCCATCTAATAAAAACAACCATTACAACACAATAGGGTCAAACAACATCGATGACTCCTTGTGGAGTGGGTAGAAGTGGGGTATTCATAGGTAGTTTCAGCTCAACAATAGACAGTTACCGTTTAAAGCAACTCTCCCATTTTCCAGTCAGAATTGACTCCTCCTTGGATGAGAAGCAAAATGTCTTTAAAAAAACCAAACAAGTTCAGCTGCCTTCATTCAAACCTCTTAGGATAAACCTTGATATTTCAGTCAGTTTTATGATGCCGTTACTGTATTTACAAGGATTGTTTTATTTAACAAGTAGGTGAAGGCATGCTGAGGTACTTCTGGTGCAGCCTGTGAGACTTCCAGTTGAAACGTTATAATTTTTCACGTGGGATATTTGTATAGCACGAAGCTGATGGAGATTATTCTAAATAAGTTTTTATGGAAACTGATATCAAACTGGAAACTTAAATCTGTTTCAGTCTTTGTTGCACATGGACTAAATGTTTTTAACACTTTTAGCAGAACGCCACCTCTTAATAAAAACTGTTTAAGAATTGTTTTCATTAAGAAACTATATTATTTTTATAAAGTTGCTGTTTTTTATTTTCTTTAAAGTACTTTTTATATTGCGTGACGATTATGTAAAGATAAACAAAAACTATGAAAAAAGATGGTCTGCTTCTAAAATCATTATTTTATTATTGCTTTGCTCATTTTTAAATAAACTGTGTTTATTTGTCTGAAATAAAAACAGGCAGGAAATGGTCACGTGGACTTGACTCGCACTAGATTAAATCCTCCCATCTGCTGGATTTTCTTTTTACTACACATGGTTCAGGTGTGGGATTGGTAGACCAATGGAAAGTGGAAGTAAAAATTTATTTTGTTTAAATTTTTCTTTTTAAAAATATGTAAACAGAGATTCTGCAAAAAGTAGTTTAAATTTAAAATTCACCTTGTGGATAAAGCTGTTCAGTTTTATACCTGGGAAGGAAAGTAAATATATTTTTTTTCCACCAAGATTTTGTTAAGTGTCTTTCTGTACACACACACACACACACACACACACACACACACACACACACACACACACACACACACACACACACACACACACACACACCTGGCAATCTCTCCCCTAGTTTTTATGAAGCCGGGTTACTGTTTAACATCCCCACCCTGGTTTGAGTTTGTTTTAGTAAATCGATCTAATGACAGGACTATGATGGCGCCATCCAATGTGTTGCCTCATGAATTATAAACCGATCTGCTCTCCAACCTTCCCTTTTAATGTTGTCGAACACCTTTAGGTTTTCCCAGCGCTCGGCGCTCCCTAATCCAAAGGGCTGCTCCTCGTCAGGGCACAGCAGTAAACTTGGATAAATGCTCATAACGGACGGGAGCAGGAAACACAGGTAGGTTGTTGCTTTGCTTTCATGCATATTTTATGTTTAGGCTAACCCAAATAAAAATATTTAGACGTGAGACTAATCAAGAAGAACATATTAGGGATTTTAAGGGCGTTTGCTTCTACGTTCCTCCTTAAAATCACATGGTTTAATGTTTTGGCGGTAGTGGTGTGACTCAAAGCTCAGAGCAGTATGTCCTGTTACAGGTGAAAACAGATAAGAAAGAATCACTTTGTCACACGAATGCTGTGCTGTAAAGATCACGTGATAACCAACTTCACCTGATCAAGGACAAAAACAAGAGCTAACCATTAGTCCATCCAGTTTTCCCTCTAAAAACGCTCCTCCACGTCTTCTCGCCGATAGGGAGTGATTTTATTTACTAGTCGCATCTTTTTAAAGGCAAAAACAATTGCTGTCTACTTTACACTGCATAAAAACGATTGATTCCTCAATTTTTATTCAAATCAAACATGATTTCCTTTGTAATTGTAATTCTGATATAATGTTTACTGTTGCTTTAGTTTCGGGAAGTAGAGCTTTACAAGCGGGACATGGGCTGTGACTATTAAACCCTCTAGTTTAAACAGAGGTGCTGGTATTATGGCCAGTTCACACAGAAATTGCCTTTTAACAACACGGTTTTATGGCTGCAGGGAACTTGCGGTTGATAGGCGGAAGCAATTTTTCTGAGTAACCCTGGTGTACTTGATCTAAGCTGCTGAGTGCGTCATGAGATGAACAATAAAAATTAAAAAACATGTAAAGCTCATTCATTTCTTTGTTTTGAATATTGTATTTTTATCCATACAAATGCAGAAGTGGTTAGTATGGAAAGTCTGGGTGGGAAACGTACGTCACCCTGACCGTGAGCAAATAACTGTTCGTGGTGTTATTACCCTCGAAACTTTACATTCATACAGTTTTTTGTGCTTTTTTGTCTCACTCGGATGTTTCAAATTGGGAAGTCAGTACAAAAGGCAGTTTTCAAATGAGGATTTCATTTTTTTAAGTGCAGGTTTACTTGGAAACTTATTATTTTTTAAAATAAGTTTGGTGACTCTGAGTTTCACATGAAGGGTGAATGTGAAAATAGTCTTCTACCCCTACTTGCTGCATTAGCTACAGATAGAAAGCCAGTCAGAGCAACATTGTAAATTTATATAAATGGAATCAGCTCACAGTGGAGAAGACTGTGTTTATTTTTGCAGCTGGAGGAGAGTCCACGTGTCGGCTAGTGGAAGCTAACTGTTAGCATTAGCAACTCCATAACGTGTTAAAACTCCCACAAGCTTGTGTTATTTGGGGAGATAAAACATCATCGATGCAGAGCAAACGGAGGCAATGGAAGAGTTGCTACTAGCCCATCCAAGGAAAGATGCCCAAATATTGTGAATAGTAATGAGTAAAATTCCAAATCCTGCCATTTTCTAGGTAAGGTAAGACGATCTTCAAATAAGTAAAGCAAGCCTTGGGTGAAGATTGTTGCTCTGTTTTAGTCATTTGCCACTTGGCTAGCAACTCGTAGCTACATGCTATGACAACAGCGTGCGTGCACTACACGGGGCAAATTTCTAATTCGCAAGTTGCACCAAATAAACTGAAGAATCTCAAAAACTAAACCTCAGATCTGTTGGCTGAAGAATTTGGTGTATAATATGTGCATTAAAAGACGGAAACCAATACAGATATTTTCCGATTTTACATTTAAATGCAGATATAGTAGTCTGCCCTCCACTTACATCTGAAGGATAAGGAACACACTTTTGAAGATGACAATGTACACAATCTGGTTAGAGAAGATGGATTGTTTAAGAGAAGAGTAAGGAAGCTATCTTTTATAAACAGAAAAGACTGAATTTAAACGGATGAGGAGGCCTCAGGTTTCACTTTTCCAGCACCTACAACACAGCTCTAAATCTAATTACAAAACAGTGTCAGTCTAGATCCTGCATCTAATCAATTGAGCCTAATGACCAATAACCCCTAAGGGGGTAGGGGAAAGGGGTATTCATATGTAGTTTCAGCTCGTTAAGCAACAATAGACAACTACAGTTTATAAGCTTGACTCTCCCATATTCCAGTCAGAATTGACAAAGTTACTCTGATTAGGAGTGAAACATCTTCAAGAAACCTAAGAAGTCCATTTGTTAAAGGTTAAAGTTCCATTAGTTGTCACACACGCTGATATGTGAGACATTTGCTCTGAGGGAGTGGTGAGCTACAGACACAGCCGCGCTCGGGAACCATTTGATGGTTTAACCCCCCCAATCCAACCCTTACATGCTGAGTGTCAAGCAGGGAGGCATTGGGTCCCATTTTTTCAAAGTCTTTGGTATAACCCGACCAGCAATGGAACTCTGACCTCCCAGTCTCAGGGCGGACACTCTACCACTAGGCCTCTGAGCTGGTTGTCTTCATTCAAACTGCTTTAGATTACCATGACCTGGATGACTGAGGACCTTCACTTGCACACACACCTGTAGAATTGATAAATTAAATAATCAACCATCAAAACCTGTCTGACAATAATAAGCTAAAAGATCTAAAAAGGCAAAGCACCGTGCATCATTCTGAATATATTTGGTACTAATAGCATCTAAAGCACTGCAGGTTAAGATCAAAGTTCATGATTCAACATAATAAGAAAGAGATCTAATAATCAAACAAGGTGGAGGTAGTGTGATGGTCTGGGGCTATAAGCTGCTTCTGAATATGGACAACTTGCTGTAAATGATGGAGAATTATACTTCAGAACTGCATTTTGTATTTAGTCTCTTTCTTTGTTATGGAAATGTGTTTGCAGATCTGAAACATTTATGAAAGGTAAAATAAATAAATACTGTAAGTGTGGGAAGCCTTGTTTCCCCTGTCACTGTGCACATTATTACTTTGTTTTTGTTAGTTTAATAAAGCCTATTCAACACATTGGGGTTGAACCTAAACCCTGCTAGGGGATCAACTCTTCTTGTAAACAGTCATTCTTTCTCCACTCTGAAAACCTGATGACTCAGGAGGCATGACCAAACTATCTGGTTAAATTATAATCTGCCTCTCACTTCTTTCCCCTCCCACACCCAAGCTTTCATATTCTCTTTTTAACCCCTTTTATCCACACTCCGCTATAAACTAATACCAATCGGAGCCAACACTGATTGCTTTCTAGGGTCATGTGCATTTGGACATGACCAAAAGAGCAATAAATCATCATCAGGCCTGCACAAGAACGTCTTTACTTCCTTCTGGTTGGTCCTCTCATCACTGACGCGAGGCATCAAATCACCCACAATGCCATCTCTTATCATTTACAGCCCTTTCTGTCACAATGCCCAAACTGATTGCCTCTAAAACACACAATAAGATTTACTGCAGTGAAACTCTGAATGTAGAATGGCGTGAGTGAGAATATTTAACTAGTTTGGGCCAAATTAGAGAATGTTTATAGCAAATTTGTCCCAAAGGAGGACTGCAGTGAGAGGGGGGAGGGCGGCTTTAAGTCTTGAGTTCTGCTCTTGAATCCTTCTACCTGTCAAACAGAATATTAGACATTTTTTTTAGTTTAAATGTATTTTAGTGCACACAATGAATCATTTCCAAAGGACTAGATGCATGGGCACATTCTTAGTGTTCTCTATTTAGTGTTGTATCTTTATAGTCTATATCTGCAAAGGTGATATCACTTTAGTTTTGATTAGATTAGGAATCCCTGGAACAACACTTGTACACAGATACATCACCTATGCAGTTATAAATCTCTGCAAAAGAAAAGGTTTTCATGCTTTCAGATACATGCATGCACAAAGTTAAATAATAGTGGTCAAGCAATTAGAGGGGAAATAAACCCCGCAACATTTGTGGAGAAAATAGTGTTAAAATGGATGGTGGTATGGAAAAAAAAACATTCGCCACTATCTCATCATCCTTGTGATAAGTGTGAGAGAAAAGAACAGATAAGTGAGGTACAATAAGGTAAGAAGTCTCCACCCTTTTTCTTGTTCATGGCCCAATCAGATCAGATTATAGATGTGTTATGCCAAGGATCTTCCCGGTCATATATTTAAGAATTAGCAAGAGATAAGAAGACAGAAACTAAAAGAGACCAAGGAGTGAATGGACAGGAGAAGACAAGAAGACGTAGCTCAGACTGAAGCAGGGATGAAGTATTCTACAGCTCCTCAGACAAAACCACTGTTAGATATGGAGGTGGCCAACTACTGCGAAGGCCTGGATCCATCATACAGCACACTGGGCTTTGAGAGTGCAGAGGTACTCTATGGAGGAGGTAAGTGAGTGTTCAGGCAGAACACACACACATGAAAGAAAAACAGAAGGACTTTAAGGAAAGATAAATCATAGAATGTACAATGGGAAATCAGAAATTGAGATCACTTACATTTATGATGATCAATAAAAAACAGATGCACGGTCAGTAAATGCTGACACTTTACCTTTCTCTAGAAAGCAGAACAAAGTAGGTATAAACAGCTGAAAAATACTTTCCTAAGGTAGTATTTAGGAAACTGCAATAAAATTATAAAAAATGACCATCCAAGAGAAGTAGAGGACAAGTTTAAACAAGACAGCTTTCACAAAATCGCTGGACTGGTCATTTGAAAACCCCAGTTTGAGTAAAGATGGTACTGTGGAAGAAAACACACTCATATCTTCATGGAAGATGGAAAGACAACGTTTTGTGTAATTGGCTCCAAAATAGATGGATTTTTATTTCATTGCTTGAAAAGGAGATTCCAAAAGATGGCTGAATTTGATGGCAAACACAAATGTCTCCCAAAGCAGCAGACATGAGGTTGAAACAACCTAACAAAATTAGACCAATTCACATAGAATGATTAAATGTTCCTCAAAAGGATGGATTAAAAACTCTTGGCTGGTTGGAAAAAATATTACCGACTTTATTGATAGTCGTGATGTTACTGATTACTGACTGGCCTTACAGAGTACCTTTCATTTTTGTCTGTTTAAAGCTTTAATAGTAAAAACTACAGTATAGTTTAGTGTTGGTTCAAAATGTTTGTGTTCATACAAGCAGAATGAAAGTAATTAACAATATTTGGAAAAGCAAAACATTTTCAAACAATGACTGTAAAACCAACTTAATCATGCAATATTTAACAGGCGTCCCACAGAGCTTTGTATTCAACCCAGTTCTATTCAGGAATATTACTTGCATAAAAACCATTTAACAGGTTGTTTTTTCAAACTCACGTGCTAGCTCCATCAATGTTGTAACATGTGCCTTTAGTACGTTTGACAGCTCAATTTTTGTATTGTATTTTATGTACAAGTTTTAATGAGAAGAAGTAACTTCCAAGGACAACATCTCAGTATCGACCGATATTCTGTGAAATTAGATAAATTGGTCTATGATCTAATGTTTGGCAGCTTGTAACTGAGTGGAATATTTATACTAACAAACTAAGTTAATTATTTGGGATAATAAACTCCTTAATTTTTGTGTTTGCATTGTATGGAAAAATGGCAAAAATATATAAGATTGTTTTTCTATTTCAATGGATTCTGCAACACTGAGTTTCTCCTGCAGCCTATTTCAAATATTTAATACTTTAACTGCAGTGTTAAAAGAGCAAAACAGACCATGGTAGATTATATAATCTCACATTCGAAAAATACATTTAGCCAAGCTTTTATTATTTGTTGTTGTTTCAGAACATCACACCAGTAAGTCAGGCAAGACTTATCCTAGTATCCAATCAATACACTGAAGAAGTGAACTTTTGGAGAATCGAGGTCAACATAAATAAATTAATTGTTTAAATAGTTTCATTATTTTACTCTTTGTTGTATATTTTTCTCACAAGAATTGGAGTTTTACTGTATTGGTCTGGTTTTATCATTTTCATATCTATACAAACATACTGCCAATGGAAAATACCTTTAATGACTCAGTTTATCCAGATTATGGTGCATTACTTCATTCAAAAACTAATTAATTAATGAAAGGACTGATAACGTTCAAGAATTAAAAGCTATAGTGTGTAAAGTTTAACTTCTTTCAAAGAAAAAACAAAACAAATAGTCTTCACCTTTGCAAATTTTGAGTTGTGGTTTTTGCAGCTGAAATAGAAGTTTACTGAAGGACAAAAACTCAGCAACACACTGATGTCATGGCAGCAACTGATGGGAGTTTGATAAATATATGCATTAATTTCACATCAGCATGTTATTGTAGAGAACGGAAATAGGGGTAGGAGGGGTTATCCTAGGGAATTAGAGCGCATCCGTGTGAGCAGTCTCACTTATTATGCAGATCATGTGTTTTCTTTTAAAGGACAAATAGGCATACAGTAATCATGACTATTAGATGTAAGAGCACTTATGTACAATCTTCAACCATGCTATGAAATCATCCACTTCAGTCGAATGATAAAGCTAAGTAGACAACGGTACTACTGAAAAATGTTTTTGTTTGGTAAAATAAATAAGATTTTGCCCTAAACTAAGTATGCACAAGGCACATGCACATGGAAGTCTATTTACCTGTTTTTGGGGGATGTTTCAGACAGCATGCCAACAGAACCAAGTCACCCAGGTCCAGATGGGCTGAGCAGCAACTGTGCAATATGTGGAGACAAAGCTACAGGGAAACACTACGGAGCTTCCAGTTGTGACGGCTGCAAAGGCTTCTTCAGACGCTCCATTCGCAAGAGCCACGTGTACACCTGCAGGTAGAAACGAGCAAGAAACACGACGTAGGCAAAGCATTTGCCTAAAAAAATACACAAATACAAATTTGTACAAAACAATCTAAGAACACCTCATCCCGTTTACTCAGTACAGAGGTATCATACATTTACAGCATAAAAGAAAGCCCTTCATAAAGATGTATACATATGTGCATAAACAGGGTTTCACATAAAGATGCACGTTTTGGCAGATACTTTGTTTCTGAAAGTTAGTCACATTTTGAACGTACGTGTGAATGCATTAAGTCCTGGGTCTCACTGGATTTTTTGTTGAACAGGTTCAGCAGACAGTGCGTCGTTGATAAAGACAAGAGGAACCAGTGTCGCTTCTGCAGACTCAACAAATGCTTCAGAGCTGGCATGAAGAAAGAAGGTAGGACCAAAATGACTACTTGTCACGCGTCAACATAACACTTCCATATCAAATCATATATATTTGATGGGCAACTAAGTCTGGCGGAGATAATTTCAAAGCTTCGTGAGAATAGAAATGGATCAATCCATAAAAACAACTGTGTGTGTGCTTTGTTTGTACTATTTTAGGGACATTTTCCCCATTTTTAACATGTAATGTGGGGAGATTTTGAATCTGTGGGGACATTTGGCTGGTCCCCACAGTAGAAAAACCCTAATACTTGATTTTGATAAGGGCGACAGTGGCACAAGAATTAAGTGCTCACCTCACAATCGGAAGGTTGCAGGTTCGAGTCTGCCGTTGTGTCCTTGGGCAAGATGCTTAACCCAACTTGTTTGCTGATGGTGGTCGGAGAGACCGGTGGCGCCGGTGTACGGCAGACTCGCCTCAGTCAGTGCGCCCCAGGGCAGCTGTGGCTACATTGTAGCTCATCACCACCAGGCTGTGAATGAGTGTGTGAAAGGGTGAATGACTGATTGTGTTGTAAAGCGCCTCGAGGGGTTCCAGGACTCCAGAAGGCGCTATATCAAATACAGGCCATTTACCATTTTAGAGGTGTGGTGTGAATCAACTTTTTCTGGGTTAGGAATAGACGAGTAATGGTTAGGGTTGGGCATAACGTCACTCAAATGAATGAAAGTAAAAGTAAGTATTGCAATGTGTGTGTGTGTGTGTGTGTGTGTGTGTGTGTGTGTGTGTGTGTCTGTACTTGTTTAAGTGGACACTTTTTGACTTTAATCTGTGCTGTACGGACATATTTTGCTGGTCCACACATTGCTAAGGGCCCTAAAACTTGGTTTTAGAGGTATGGTGTGAGTTAACTTTTAGTGCGGGTTAGGTTTAGGAATAGATCCACATTGGTTAAGGTTAGGGTTAGGTATGGTGGAGTAACTAAAATGAATGGATGTCAATGCAGGTCCACACAAACATATAAATACAAGTGTGCGTGTGTTTTGTGTGCCTGTGTGTGTGTATTTATGAGGGGTATAACCTTGTCGCAGAGTTTTATGACACCTAATCCTGTGATATTGAGACGTTTTGTCCTGGATTGCAACTTGTTAACGTTTTACTCCGGTTGCTGAGGCCAGCATGTACGGCTACTTTTCTATAAATATTAACCACTCTGCTGTCTGTTATCATTTCCATTCAGGACCCCACCTCAGCCTTTTCCACTGAGACTTACCAACAGAAATCCTGGAGTGGATCTTAGTATTTGTACAGGAGGAACTGTGTTTTGAACTTTTATTTAAGGTGTCCTCTTTGGTTTTACTCCTGCTTCTTTTAAAATCTCAGCTGTGCAGAATGAAAGAGACCGGATCAGCTCCCGGAGAGTTACCCCGGACTCCCAAGACCTTCCACCCATCACTATCCTGGCACAAGCAGAATCATTATCCCAACAGGTAACAACGTACTTCTGCATTTTCCTTTTTTGACACCCATGCACTGAGTGTGATGTCAGCTTCATCTGTCAGATGTTGACATGATACCTTTTTCCTGCAGATCACAACTCCGGTGGGACTTGCCGACATAACGGAGATGAAGTCGGCCTCTGTAGGGGATATATGTGATTCTATGAGGCAGCAGCTGTTGGTACTGGTTGAATGGGCCAAATACATTCCAGCCTTTGGAGAGCTGCCGCTGGATGATCAGGTAACAGGACACGACTATTCATGTGCACATTCTGAACTTTTGCAGCTAGCTTGTAAATGTATTAAACAGTCTAGTTTATTAGGATCTTGACATTTTGTCTTTTATTTTAGTGTAAAAAGTGGCCAAAAGGTAACTTTGTGTGTGTGTGCGTGTGTGTGTGTGTGTGTGTGTGTGTGTGCGTGCGTTCCTTAGGTGAGCTTGCTCAGGGCTCACGCAGGTGAACACCTCTTGCTCGGGGTCGCCAGAAGGTCAATGACATTCAAGGACTTCCTGCTTTTAGGTAGAAACCGACCGTCTTATTTCTGAGTGGTTTAATCATGTGTGAAAACAGAGAATGATTAACTCGAGCTTTGCTTTTTTCTTCTTTTTTATTACCTTAAATGCGTTCTTTGTAAGTTTCATTAATTACTGGAACCTCAGACTGTTAACAAAACCCACATTTCAAGCAACTATTTTCTTTGACTAAAGCCCTTTGAAAATGACCTCTAAAGGCTATAATAATCCAGCCCCCCCCCCCCCCCCCCCCCCCCCCCCCCCCACCACCACCACCACACACACACACACATAACTTTCTTTTCCACTCACCTATTCCTTGGTGTCTCTGCAGGTAATGGCTGTGTGATCCCCAGGAACAGCCCTGAACCTGAGATCTGCCGGGTTGCCAACAGAGTCCTGGATGAGCTGGTTCAGCCCTTCCAGGATATTCAGATAGATGACCAGGAGTATGCAGCTCTCAAGGCGATTGTCTTCTTTGACCCAGGTGATGAATATATGAATATATATTAACCTGTCAGCAAGTACATTAGCCAACCACTAAATTTGTCAAGAACATTTTGTTTTTGCACATAGTAACCCTTTTAGCATTTTACTCTTCAATGGAGGTGATTGTAGACACAATCATGAGAGAGTCAGGTTTGCTACAACTGTAGATGGCTACTTAGCCCTTTGAGTGTACACTGTAAGAAATTAAAAGTTGAATTTACTTAAATAAGTTATGTCACCGATTTCCCCCTAAACACAGTTGCTTACATTTTACTCCCAAGTCAACTTTTTTTTTCTTGCTGATAAACTATTTAAATGAGTCTCTTATAGTGCTGTAGACATGTGTAGTCATTATTCAGTTAGTTTATTATTTTATTTTTAAAAAGCCTGTTCAGGTAAAAACACTGCTCTACATAGATTTTTAATCAGCAATTGCTGTTGGCTAAGACGTACCCAGTGATGTTGCCAGTAGCATATTGCGTGGCCACACTGCACTGGACTGCAGCCGATTCTCGCCAACTCCTCAAGCTGGCTCAGCCGCTCACAAGCTGATATAAAATGATACGCCTCAGAGCCGCTCACCTCCTTAAAAAAATCCTCCTTCTTTTCTTTTTGTGCATGGAAGGGAGAGAAGATCCTCCACCATTTTGCTCATCCGGCTGAGTGCTGTGTGTGTGTGTGTGTCTGTGTGTGTGTGTGTGTGTGTGTGTGTGTGTGTGTTCGTCAGCGGCTCATTTCTCCCACTGAGAAACTTTGAGAGCGTGCTGGGGTGAAGGGGTTGAGGGGATGCGGTCAATCACTGCCTCTGCTCCTCTCTCAGTCTGCCAGGCGAATGCCTCCTTTAGGTGCATTTTTCAAACAGAAAGTGTGGATGGAGGTGACTGAACCTTTAACATAACAATAACAATGTATATTACTCTTTAGACTTGAAACAGAAATTGTCAAAGGGTACCACCTAGAGGTAGGCTAGGCTTAGCAAAAAAACCCCACATTTCCAACATTATCACTAGCTTTATTGCACACCAACGCATTTCTGCGCAAATTACCTGCTTGACCCCCTGGGTTGGTGCTTGCCTTGCCATTGTTGTGCAAAGACATCAATTTCAGGTGGATAGGTAGGTGTTACGTGCTCATGTTGGCTGGTCTGACGTCCATTTTCACTAATTCCTGTTATTGTATATTGTATTCCAATTATAATTGGAATAAAAATTAAACCTCACCCCTTATCTGTTGTATATCTGTAACGCATCCCCGTCTTCGTTAGAATAGCATCCATGTGATATCAGCTTGGCCTGGTATGTCCACTGTCCCAGCTCCAGTCATGTTACCTATTCCCATTTTCCAGGTTATTCCATGATTCCACTCGTATCAGATCCTCCTATGTACCTGTCCTGTCCTTCATTCCTTCACACCGTCATGTGTTAATGCATCTGTTGCATGTTTTTCTTTCCAATCTGCAGATGCAAAATCTTTGCGTGAACCTTCAAAAATTAAAGCTGTGCGTCTGCAGGTGAGTCAGCAATAACATTTTTTAAATTTCAATGCAATATAAAAACCTTTTACATTTATTTCACTTTGCACAGTCAAACATTTTCCTCAAAACTCAAAACAGGCACAAGTGATTCTGATTCTTTGTGTACATTCCCCAGGTTCAGATGAGTCTTGAGGACTACATTAATGACCGTCAGTACGACTCAAGAGGGCGTTTTGGAGAGCTTTTGCTCCTGTTGCCCACCCTGCAGAGCATCACATGGCAGATGATTGAACAGCTTCAGTTCACCAAGCTCTGTGGCCTTGCCAAGATAGACAACCTGCTGCAGGAGATGCTGCTGGGAGGTGAGACCATTCTTGTAGCTCCGTATGCCGATAACATGACCCGCAGCAAAACAAGAGCTACTCAGAGGCGAATGTGTCGAACTGTACGAGGATCAGCAGAGAGCAGAAGCAAAAATGCTTAGCAAAGTTTTCTTGGGTGTAAACAAGAGCTGAAAGTTTAAAATTCTGTTGAGGAAAACTTTAGCTTTGAACAAAAAAAAAATGCATAAAAGGCGAAGGTGAAATGTGTGGCGCTACTGAGAAATCTGCACTCGTACCTTACAATACGAGACATAAAGTCTATTCTCGGGAGGGCTGTGTCAAACAATGCAAAAACACAAGATCAGGTTTGATGTAACAAAAAAAGATAAAATCTCCAAACATGTCCCCCAGCTTTCGCCTAACATGCTGAAAGAACCCCTCCTGGATATAGAAACTTGACTTGGATGACAGTGTACAGAGAGGGATGCTTTTTCCTTGTCAGAACATTCTGTCAAAATGTGGCACTGACACATAAAAAACAGAAATAACAACTAACCTTCCCCCCTCTCAAATGAGTGTTGACATTATATTTAGTAATGTGAATCTGATGCTTATAGCAATGTGTTCTCACTTTACCAGTGGAAGCCAAACCAGAATCAATATGAACAATAAAAAATGGGATTTAAAGTGTTTTTTTTGTATAATTACAAACACGATTGTTCACTAAGAAACAGTTTTTTGCAGAGCTTCACATGCAGCAGAAGATAAAAAAAGCTTTATATCCCTATTTCCTAGCCTGGCAAGCCAGACTAAATAAATGTATTATTTAGGCCTAGTCCACACGTAGCCGGTTTTTTTTTAAAAACGAATATCCGCCCCTCTAAAAACTTGCATCCACACCACCTCGTTTAAAAAAAAAACTCTGTCCACACGTACCCGGATAAATACATTGTTAAGGACATGCCTGACCTGTAGGCGGCAGTACTTCCCCCATTCTTAACCTCGTCCTTCGTCTGTGGTCTTCCGCAAGGAGCAGTAATTCCGCTTGCAAAAACAAACAAGCAAAAAGCGCTTGGACAACTGATAAAGCGAGAGCAGCTCTGAGGGCATCCATGCTGTCGGCTAGTGTAAACACAGGTCGCACACGTGATGTCAGCATCTTTTTGTCGCGGAAAGTGACGTTGCGGTCCTTAAAACTCCGGTTTTGTCTGTCCACACGCAGACACCCAAAACGGAGAAAACACAGATCTTCACTTTGGCCGGAGTTTTTAAAAAGATCTGTTTTCGTGTGGATGACAGGCCAAAACGTAGAAAAATATCTACGTTTTGGCAGATCCCCAGCTACGTGTGGACAGGGCCTTAGTCTGGCAACGCTCCATTGACGGCTCTCGGTTGTGGGGCGGGTTCTCCCATTGTCTTTCAAATGATCTTCGCATGCTACTGGACAATGAATGTGACATACTCACCGCAACAGCCATTGGTAAATGAGGCGGCCCGCAGTTGAAGGAGAAAACGCATACTTTTTCTTTAAAAAAATGCTCTTAAATACATCTATCTGCTCTTGATTCTAATGAAGCCCATGTTCTAATAGTCCAAAATGGATGTAAAAGCCGTTTCAAACGAGCTGTCGCCATCTTGTTTCACTCTGTTGCATCATCCCACCCACCAGGCATATAGAGTGCCCTGATTGGCCCACAAAGCAGATAAAGCTCTGTGATTTGTTCACTAAGCAGATAGTTTACTATGATTGGCCCACCATTATGGACCAATCACAGCTCTTTATGTGTTTGAAACCCCTCTAGAGAGCCGTGATTGGCCAGCCAGAATGCTGTTAGGGGCTGCAGAGGTTCCAGTGGAGCGTTCCTAGACCAAACTTTGCAAAGCAAGAATTTGGTCTAGTTCACTAGGCTACCTATTTCCTGCATTAGCCGCAAAATGGAAATAGGTGGGGTGACGCTCGGATCAGAAAATCCACGCTGTTACACAGTGAAGTGTAGTGAGGACAAAAGACACATGATGACTTCGTCGATAGACAAGGAAAACCAGTTTTATTTCCTCTGGTCCGAAAAAAACAAAATCGGAAAATCCCAGCACGATTCAAAATGGCCACCCATCCAACTCTCTTAGCAGTCTCTGTCACTTTCAGAGAGGAAAAACGACCCTTTGCCACACCCAGCAGTCCACCTATATACTCTCCGACCCCCCCTCCAATTCAGGTCGGCCAATCACATCAGTCCACTCAGGCATTTCCTATATAAAGGCAGCAATAGAGGCGGGCTTCCTCTTTAGCTGCTTCAAAATGGCTGCCACAGAGGACACCTAATGAGGGTAACAAACAAATTCATGTTACATAACAAATTACATTCCTGAATGAACACTCTTTGGTTTAAAGACATGTTGCTTCTCAACACACGCAGATCAATGTTACACTGTAAATTAGCATTTGTGGACTCATTCATCTTGGCTTGAACAGCAGAAAGCTGTGTCGATTGTTGCAGCTAGAAGAGAGCAGAGTGAATCTCAGCTAGCAGAAGCTAACCATTATTAGCTATCAACGCTATCAACTCCTTCAGGCTTGAGGTATTTGTGGGTTAGGGTGAAACATGATCTTACGGAGGCAATGTTTGCACACCTTGAATATCAATAAGTAAGACTCCAAATCCTACCGTTCTTTGCCCAGAGTAAAGAACCCCACCAACTCCAGCTAATTTCTACTTCCTGAAACAGGAGCACCAGAGCTTTCTTTTCCCACAGAAAATTGATCAAAGCTTTATTCACACTAGAGATCACAACATTTAAAAAACGTGAATGAGAGTAAGACTGAGTAGTTTCCTGCTCCTCCGCCCTGCTGGTTGAAAGTAGTATTAGAACTGTCGTAAACAACCCTGCTGTAGCTAGTGCTAACAATGAGCTAGCACTAACATGAATCAACTAATGCAAAAATAAACCACAAAGTAAAAAGATCCAAACTGTTCTGTAAAATATTACTTACAAGTCCAGTACCAACAAAGCCAGGTCACCATCAGTCTGTGATTTTGAAGCCTCCTTTAGCTTCCTCAAATTAGCGTAGGCCATGCCGATGTTCACGCTGGTTTTAATGATTTGCTTTACCTCCAAAGAAGTTACTCTCTTACTTTTACTTCCGGGCTCCGCCATGATGCCAACAGAAAAGCAGACCTCTTTTTTTTCTTCTTGTGCTTTTTATTGATGATCACAAACTGAAAACGCTAACTGCTAGCATAACAGTTGACAGCCGTAAAGAGCGCCCTCTATAGAGCACCTACCTGCTCCACAAAACCATCAAGTGTGGATTTTGGTCAGCAGCGGGCTGCAGAGTGATGTCAAATATGAAACTAGTCAAGTTTCTAATTCATCAATCACTGAGATCAACGTTAAACTCTAGATTAAAGTTATAATATATTTATTGTTACTTTAAGGTTACTCATCTGGTCAGGTGGTTCAGAAGTGTTCTTTTTTTTTTTTTGTCTTTGTTCAGGTCTAACATCAGAACCCGTCCACCTTCATCACTCAGCACACACCCAGCTAGCCCAGGATCCCGTGACTGGACACACACTCGTTATCAGCACAATGCCTGTTGGCCACATTCCACAAATGGGTAAGATCCATGAAAAAGGAACAATGAGCAATTTTTAAATTGGAATAGAAAGACCCACAGTTAAAATCCAGACATGGATGTAAATACTAACACAAATATAAATGAAAGAGGAAGATGATCCATAAAATAAATCAAATGTTCTGGTTGTTTTTCATTCCACAGCATCACCAGACACGCCCATCCCATCGCCGCCGCAGGTTCCCGCCACAGAAATGTACAAACACTTTCCTCAGCCCCACTGTCCTCCCTCCAGTCCCTCCCCGTCCACTCGGGCAGAACCCTGACCTCTTCCTGCCCAACAGACTCTCTCCCTTGATCACATTCTTTTGCCTCTATTTTGTTAAAGCAAGAAATAAAAGTATGATGACGCAATGCTCATTTGACCCAAAAACCCAACAAAACCTGTTTCCTTCGGACTCCGATTTTTAAACCTGTGGGAGCGACGCAGCTGTCCTCAGGCTGAAACCACTTCTTTTATAACATCATCAGACTGACTTTTCTTTTTTACCACTGGTTATTCTAGTAGATGATAGCTCCAGTGCCTTTCATCTAAACCATGTGCCAGAAACAAATACAGATGGTGGTGGGACCTGGAGTTTGCTCTGCAACAGTCTTTAAAAAGCTCTGCTGCATGTTAAAGACCAGAGATGAATGTTTGCAGTACAAGATGGCACGGGGAAATCACGAAGGGAAGCAAAAAGAATCACCGTCATGTTCACATTGATGGTTTCTTTCATTTTTGAACTTTGGGGGTTCACAAATGTGTTGATACACCATTGATATACAATTTTAGCCGCACCTGGTTTGCATTTGCACACGCAGCTACTTACTAAATGTCCAAATGTCTATTTAGTAGGAAACAAAATTACTATCAAAATAAAGTCCCAGATCACTATTTCTGTTTTTTTTTTGTATAGTATCTTAATTGTCATGTGCAACTTTTTGCTGATGCACATTTTAAAGTTCAACTTTGTTTTGAAAATAATGATTTTTTTGGTATAAAATGTGATTGCATTTTATTTTTCCAGTCCCAAAACTGATTTTATGTTTTAATCAATAAAAAAAGAGAAACATGTAAATATAAAAACAATTAATATTAGATTTTTTTTGCAAAAAGCTGAATTTCAATACTCTATTTTGTATATACCTGGTATTTTGTATAAAACAGCTGTAGGACCAGATCATTTATTTTGTGTTATAAATGTTTATTTATCTGGATTTTATGTTGAAGATGATCAAATATGACTTGAAAAATATCATGTCTAAATTTAATACTGAGCCGTAAGTGTGTACAAAATGGTTTACTCACATCATTTGTGTTCTAGCAGCTAAATATTATTATTAGAAACTACATCAATAATGATAATAATGATAATAATAATAATGCATACACACTTTATACACCTTACAAAATTTACTAGAATAAAAATATGACAGGAGTCTTATGAGAATTGGATAAAAAATCTAATTAAAAATGTAACAAATTGAATATTTTGTAATATTTAACTGAAATCTAAACTTTTTTTTTCATTTTTTCTAACTGTTTTTTATGTCCTTGATATTTGTGTCAGTGGAGTGTACACATCTTAATTTAAGCATTGACAATAGAACTTGAATCGGAAAAGGGTAGAAGGCCTTCTCCGGGTCATGGATGAGGTCCTGCCTCAAGCGGAGGAGTTTAAGTATCTCAGGGTCAAGTTCACGAGTGAGGGAAAGATGGAGCAGGGCGTCGATAGGCGGATTGGTGCTGCGTCTGCAGTGATGCGGGCGTTGTACCAGTCTGTCGTGGTGAAAAGAGAGCTGAGTCAGAAGGCAAAGCTCTCGATTTACCGCTCGATCTACGTTCCTACCCTCACCTATGGTCACGAGCTTTGGGTAGTGACCGAAAGAACGAGATCTCAAATACAAAAGGCTGAAATGAGTTTTCTCCGCAGGGTGGCTGGGCTCTCCCTTAGAGATAGGGTGAGAAGCTCAGCCATCCGGGAGGGGCTCGGAGTAGATCAGCTGCTCCTCCACATCGAGAGGAACCAGTTGAGGTGGCCCGGACATCTGGTCAGGATGCCTCCTGGACGCCTCCCTGGTGAGGTTTTCTGGACACGTCCAACTGGGAGGAGACCCAAGGGAAGACCCAGGACACGCTGGAGGGACTATGTCTCTCACCTGGCCAGGGAACGCCTCGGGATTCCACAAGGCAAGCTGGCCCAAATGGCAGGGGAGAGGGAAGCCTGGGCCTTTCTACGTAGACTACTTCCCTAGTGACTCAACTCCGGATAAACGTATGAAAATGGATGAATGGCCTACAACCATCTCAGCACGGCATGGACACTGATCAGCCATAACATTATGACCATCGCTCTAAACTCATCACCTCGAAGGTGTTTTCAGAGATTGTAAAGTTGGATCTTGTTGAATAGATGTCATCAGAACACTCCAGGATGGCATCTAGTTAGTCTGAAGGCCAAACAAGCACCTTCACTTCCTTTGTTGCTGCACCTTGAGACAATTAGGTTTGAGAGATCTGTTGTTGTCTTTGGTCTGAAATGAGTGCAGCTCCTGAAAAGAAGAACAACTACTGCTGTCATGCAGATTTGTTTAAGGCAGGTCATATCAAAATAACAATAACCTGAATATTAGAATGAACTGTCATGACAATAAAGCAACCTTTCCGTGGCCACAATGTTGTCTGTTTGGTGTGCAGAGTGATTAATCCAACAATAAATAAAAGTTATGTATTTTGGTCTGTGGTTTTGCTTAAAAATTTTTTTTCAAAAAGTAAAAATTTCCCATCAGTCATTTGCTGCGGTTTGCAAAACGTTAAAACAACAAACATTTCTTATATAAATATATTTAGTTATAAAAGGAGAAACAATCCCAACCGACAGATCAAGATGAAATGAAGGGAGTGTTTTTGAACAGTTTCCCCACGTGCAGCCATGCTGTGCACGGTTCATCTATTATTCCCTTCATGGAAGTCATCAGGTCTCACCGTAGCCCCGTCGGTTCCACATATACACTTTGCAGACGAAGCTTTATTGGCATGCTACTGAGCCCACACCGCTGGATGATGCTGTTCATCTAAAACCAAACTAGTTTTCCGTCTCGTCCGTCTGAGAATACACACTTTTGCGACCAATCTACGATCCCAGACAGGCACGGCTGACTGCGCGTTTAAAACCTCTCTGATTGTTTACATTCCCCCTCACTCAATCACTTTCTAGGGATTTATGTGAATGTGTGACAGCGAACTTGCAGGAGATGAGATCGGAGGATAAAGCTGAGAGCCCTCCGTATATTGTTGTGAGGATCGGAAGGAAGGAAAAGAAGAAAAACCAGGGTATTTATAGCCGAGGAGATGATGTTGTCTAGAATCAACACGACCAAATCCTTCTATCAACTCCATAATGGACAAGCTACCTGGCTTAGGTCAAAACAACACCACCTGCGATGGGCATGCGTGTGTGGGTGCATATTCTGTGCATGTGTGTGCTCCGGCCTGCAATTTATTTATAATCTGAGGGGGTGCATGCACATACACACCCTTATGTGTGTGTTTTTTGGAAGTGTGTCCATGTGTGTGCACCCAGGGAGCTTTAATCAAAGGCCTATACTGAGGAGATGTGGGAGCCCTGTCTCTCTCTTCTCCCTCAGATAAAACTGAGTGTTAGCATGCCAGTCACATATCTCATCTGAGACGCACCGCTCTCCTACACACACACACACACACACACACACACACACACACACACACACACCTCGCCACGGCCCACACTGACAGCACACTATTACACACCAGTATGATGCTCGCTCCACCTGTGGAGGATGACAAGGAGAGGGGAGGGAGAGGAGATGGAGGGATAAAGGAACAAAGGATGGGCAGGAATATGAAATGTCTTATTTTATTTGGTTGCTCATCAGTTTGTTTCGTTAAAGGTGGTGTTTGCTAAAATAGCCGGCCTCAACTCAGGGGAAAAGAGTGCATGGTGTACGCTTCCACCACACATCATTCAGAAAACTCATTTTACTTTGTTCTGCAGCACTTTTCTTTTTTTTTTAGAAATGATTTACTCTTTAACAAACTTGATTAAAATTACATACTATATTTAAATCAGATATTTATGAATTTAAACATATTTGGCACACATTTATTGAATGGTAAATGATCTACTTAGTCATCCAATCATCGAAAAGTCTTTGACTTTCACAGCCACTAGGTGGCAGTGCACGCCCATGTTTTCATGAAATGCACCGGCTCTTCTTCAGGCTTCTGCAGCCTGCATGAGTGAATTAATGAACGAGTCAATAAGTTATTAAATGAAAACGTTTCCGACTTTTTTTTTTAGAAAAATATCAAATCAGATCAGTGTTGTAAGCATCACGTTTATGACTGCAGTAGTTTTCCTGATTTTAAGTTTTTAATTGAAAACAAACACACCATTGCGTTCATTCATTCATTCATTCATTCATTCATTCATTTAGTCTTCATGTAGCTGTTCAGACCTGTAATCAGGAATCCAGGCCACCTTATTAACCTTTTGACCTGCAGGTCAGCCACCTGGCAGAGCGTATTTTAGCCTCTATATCTTAATGAAGTGAGCACTGCACTGAAAAAATAAAAGCTGCTAAACCAAAATGAAAAAAAAAACAGAAAATTTAAATCAAAGTTACATTATTATTATATTTATATAAATGGTACCGAACCGTGTTTTGCAGCCCTTCCTGCATCATATGAAGGAATAAAAAGCTAAAATTGAAAAGAAAATTACATTTAGTAAATTACGCCAAAATAACAAAAACGCAAATAAAATTCACTGTTTTGTTTTAGTCCGTTTGCAGTTCACAATAACACTTGAGAAAATTGCTAACACTCACACACCATCTAGCTGTGTTACATGCGACAGTCCAAAAAAGCTGACTACCATTCCTCACTAGTACATTTACCCAGAATTCCCCTCCGCCAACACGTCCAGTGATACCTCCCTCCTCTAGGAGATGAGGTGAGGCGGTTTGAACCTTTGACTCTGGAATAAATAAAAAGTGATTTTCCCTGTCCTGCATGTGCTGAATCCATGTGTTCGTTGTGATTGTGAACCACAGGATTGGTGAAGGGAAGGAAAGAATAAAGCGACAGCTTGATTTCCAAAGTTGAGTTCACATAAATGAAGGATTAAAGCAAACAGGAGGGTTGAAGTTCACCTCAGCCTTCAGTGACAGCTTTCCCTCCTTAAAATCACTCCATCTCCATCTCTTCCGTCAACCTCCAGACAAATTTTTCGCCCTCCACTTTTAGAGTTTTACTCTGTTTAGATTGTCTATTTTGTTGTTTTGTTTGCAGAGATAAACCAGACAGATAAAAAGTGGGGAGAAAACTGCTTACTGATGAAATGGCTGCACACACACACACACACACACACACGCACACACACACACACACACACACACACACACGCACGCACACACACACACACACACACACAATGATTTACATAGGTGTATGGAACCGAGGTGTACTCTACATCATGTCGATGGGGAACAGGTTAGAGCAATGAAATTAGGGGTTGGGACCACCATGCAAGGGTTTGTGTGTGTGTGTGTGTGTGTGTGTGTTTGCTGGGGTACATTAGGGAAATGAAAAGGGGTGGGCCATTGATGGGCTCGGCAATGTAGACTTGTTAGAATAAAGGAATATATAAAAAGGACAGGAGGCAGAGGAGATGACAGGGTGGATGATAAGAGTAGGGCAGTAATGAAAATGGGCCTGTGTACCCCGAGATTACACGGGGAATGAGATTGGAGAGGGGGGGGGGGGGGGGGGGGGGGGGAGGGGGGGAGGGGGTGTACTGTAGGAGAAAGGGGTTGCATTTTGAGAGAAAGAGTAGAAAAAAACAAAGAAATATGGAGACTCGTGTATGATGAACCATGGTGAAAGTCAACTGGAACAGACATGGCAAGTCGGCAGGAAAGGGGGGTGGGGTGGGGTGGGGTTTGGGGGGTGGACAAGAAGAGAGGAGAGAAGAAGAGGAGGAGAAGAGGTATTACAACTCGGAACGATGCAGCTCCACTCTGAATGATAAGTGTCTCGCACACTCCGGGTTATGGGAAGTTCACACAAACAAATGACTCCCATTTGCTGGAGGCGAGGGACACAATTGAGAAAGGGGTGGGAGAGAAAAGTAGGAGAAAGGGAAAGGAGGAACAAGGAGGCAGAGGACTGAATCTGGGAGCCGTGATTTCAGATAACTCCATCTGCATCAAGGAAATTCATACATTTTTTGCTCATCTTGTGTTTTCACAGGTTTGCCACTGACACCTAAGTACCTTCAATCCAAAGGACACAGTGAATGCTATCGCCGAGCACAGTGGAAGTCTTGCCGATTTCTTAAATTATTGGAGGGCTATGAACCTTGGTCAATAATACAAAATGTTTCACAGATTGTAACGTGTGGGTGGGCTGTGTTTGGCACCATCGGAGGCGCTATCAAACTGTAATAAGGCTGCATGAATGCTGCCCTTGTTTATACGGCGAGGGTCCCCAAACAGCTGAACCACTCTCCGAAACGTCTTCACTCCAGTCGTTTTTAACTAAGAGTCGGAACATTTTCATTCGCACCAATCGGAGCCGCCTTAGCTTCCAGCTGTTTGGGTTCAATCAGATGTTACAGTGAAGCACAATCTTCATTGCCAAGTCGTCATCCCTTGTTTAACTCATTCACTGCCAGCCGTTTCCTGATCGCTAACGGCCTTCGCTTCCAGCGTTTCTCACCGTTTTTACTGTTTTTTTAAGAGTCACAGAACGTTGCGCGCTAGCATGATGTCGATGCCAAAACAACCAAAACAAAGAGGAGACTCACCTCTTACATCAGGAAGAAGCCATGTGTTTCGAGCGTTATCCGTTCTTTCATAATCCGTTGTCGAATTGTGGTCGGCAGACACTTTTCCGGTTCGCGCCTCACTTTTTTTACAGGAACAGCCCAAAACGATCTCCAAACACATGGATGGTCTGCTTCCTGATCATGTGGTCTGTGACGTATGCGGATGAAGATCGGCTTCAGGGCTGAGATGTTTGTTCTCTCAGCGCGGGGGCTCGTTCCAATGCTCAAACAGTAAAAAAAACGCAAATGACGACTTTAGTCGTCATTGGCAGTGAACGGTTGGATCTAAAATGACGACTTTAGTCGTCAATGGCAGTGAATGAGTTAAGAGTCTGCTGAGTTGCTTTTCAGATAGTGAGGTTTTAATAAAAGTGTTATTTAGGGATATTTGGAGTCTTGTAGCATAACTGTTGGGTGTACTGCTATGCAAAGTGGGAAATGTTGGTGAAGCTTTCAAAAATAAAATGGTCTTCATTGTGCATTTTTATCCTTCACCAACATGTTTACTTAACCCCATGCAAGAACTTCACCGCACAACAATTTAGTCGAATGAAGGAGCTGCAAAGAAGGTGCCGTTTTTGGTCTTGGATGAAAGCATCGATGCAGTGGGTTGTAAAGCCTAGTTTTACATGTTTGCACTCACCTCTGCTGCACACTGGAAGCAAAAGCGACGCGGAACGGCAGCAAAACGACACTGCTTCAGATGGAATCCATTATATTCTATGGAGCGTCACAAACCAGCCGCGATGCAGAAATTTTCAGACGCGTCCCAGCAGCGCCGAGCCGCTAAAGATAGGATCGGGTTCTA